CTCCTAGCTCCATTTGCTCCGTGCTCCAGCTGCTCCTAGCCTAGCGTCCAATATGGACTCCTTCCGTCGTCTTCGTTTCGATGCAGAGGGGCGCCCGATAGATTTCGGCACCTGGCTCCACCAGACTCAGCGCTATCTCACCAGTCAGCGCCAGGACGGCGCCACCCTGTACGCCCACGCGTCCGGCACCCTCCAGGCACCACCGCATCCTGAGCCCCTCCCTGCCGTGCCCCGCCGACTCCGGAGGCGCAGGCGGACTATGCTCGTCTCGTCTTGGCGCGGGACGTTTGGGACTCCCGTGACGCTGTGGCTGCACTCGCGCTGACCGAGCTCCTTCCACCGACTGAGGCCGCTCACTTCGACCTGGTAGAGACTGCGAAGGAGGTGTATGATGCTATTTCTGCACGCTATTCCACCCCGTCCTCTGCCTCCCTCAGACGCATCCTCATGCCGTTCGTGTTTCCCGACCTCGGCTCGTTTGCGACTGTCTCTGACCTAGCCACACACTTGCGCTCCCTTGTCGCTAGCTACCGAGCAGCTCTCTTGTTGCCCCACCTCCTATCTGGCTCACCGTCCACTGGGTAGTCACTCGTGTCCCTGACCGCCTCTCCACTGCCTGTAACGCACTTCTACAGCAGCACCCCAGTGAGCTTACGATTGATCTTCTCGTGCCTCTGCTGCTGTGTCGGTCTCTGAGGACACTGCAGCTGTTTCTGCCGCTGACAGGCAGAAACGGGGCAAGGGAGGCAAGAAAGGGGGGAAGGGGGGTGGAGTCGGTGGAGGAGGTGGCGGTGGTGGAGGCGGCCCTGGGGGCGGCAGTGGTGGCGGTGGCGGTGGTGCCCCAGGCGGAGGGAGCTCTGGAGGAGGTGCTGACCCGCCTGCTGGAGGAGGTTCGACCAGCGGTGGTGCGGGGCCCCAGCAGCAGCAGCCACAGCAGAGACAGCAGCACCAGCAGGGACAGCAGAAGTGGCAGGCACCACAGCAGTTTCGGTCGTGGGGACCCCCACTGCAGTGGGGTCCGCAGCAGCACTGGGGCCCTCCGCCACAGTGAGGACCTGGAGGACCCGGGAGCACTGGCCGCAGCAGCAGCACTACCAGCTGGGCCCCTCGCCCCCCGCGGCGCGACACCGGCCCCTGCAACCACTGGTGCGTCACCGGACCAGGCAGTCCCTGTGTCTGCGGCCGTGACGACCACTCTGCAGCGCGGTGCTTCCGCCGTCTCGACGACCTCTACCGTGCACGCTGGGGTCCTGAGGCGACCACCCCGCGCTGGGCTCGCCTGCTAGCTGGTAAGGTTCCTGTATTTGAACTGTCTATGGACGATGCTCGTCAGTATGCTTTGTATGCTGATGGATATGTGTGCTTGCGTGTTCGTAGTCTAGGATGCTTGCCTCCTGTTAGTATAGACCTGTGCCTCTCTAGTCTAGGTGCTTGTGTCTCTGCTCTAGGTGCTTGTGTAGCCTCCGGACCTGCCACGCCTACGGCTGAGGCGTCTCTGTCGTTCACGCTGGACTCTGGTGCGCCGCAGTGTTTCTTCCGCGACCACACGACCCTCACACCACTCCTTGCTCCGGTTCCAGTAGCTCTGGCTGATCCTTCTTTAGGACCAGCCGTTGCGCGCAGCTCCACCACCCTCCCGTGCCCTCTGGTCCCCTCCGGTGTCCTACGTGGCCTCCACATCCCCTCGTTCACTCGGAACTTGGTGGGTGTTGGATACCTCCAGGATAGGGGGATCACCGTTACCTTTGTGGGGGGTGGGAGGACTGCGGTCTGTACAGACGCCGCTACAGGTGCTCTTCTCGCCACGTTCACCAGGGAGTTCCGCTCTGGTCTCTACGTTCTCCACACCGAGCGCTCCCCGGTTATTTACTCCGTTCAGGTCGCTGCGTCCCCTCAGGTCCTAATGTCTAGTCCGGTTGATGTGTCCCGTCAGGTAGAGGTGTCTAGTCAGGTTGCTGCGTCTTGCTCCTGTCGATCCCTAGCCCACCCGACCGTCTTGTGGCACCACCGCCTTGGCCAGTTGTTGCTCCCCCGCCTCCGCAGCATGGCCAGTCCCCTGGTGTTGGGTCAGCCTTTCACGTCTGGGGCTGCCTTGCGCTTGTCCGTGACACCTCTGCGGACAAGCTCTCGACTCGCGCCATCCTCTGTGTCTTCCTTGGTTTCCCGGTGGGCTCTCCCCACTACTCCTTTTACCACCCGCCCCTCCACCAGTTTCTAGACTATCGTGACGTCCGGTTTGACGAGTCAGTGTCCTACTACACCCGGTACCCCTGTCGAGGTCTCCCGGTTCCCCCTTCCCCCTCTTCCTCGCACCCTCTCCTCCCCTTGCTCCTGCTCCTCCGGTACCCCCGCCCCCCCCTGGTCCTGCCCCGTCAGGTGTGTCTCACGCTACCCCTCTCCCCTCGGTCGCGCGTCAGGTAGCGTCTCCCTCCCCGCAGTCCTCCTCACAGTCCCTTCAGCAGCCTTCGGCACTTCCGCGACAGGTTACTGTAGACTCGGTTGGTGTTGGAGCTGGAGGTGCTGGCGCAGGTGGCGCTAGCTCTGGGGGTGCTGGAGCTGGAGGTCCTGGCACTGGAGGTGCTAGTTCTGGGGGTGCTGGAGCTGGAGGTGCTGACACTGGAGGTGCTAGTTCTGGAGGTGATGGCGTTGGAGGCGCTAGTTCTGGGGGTGCTGGTGCTGGAGGTTCTGGCACTGGAGGTGCTAGTTCTGAGGGTGATGGAGCCGGAGGTACTGACGCTGGAGGTGCTGGTACTGAGGAGACGGGAGCTGGAAGCTCGCCTACTACGTCGCCCACTGCGCGTCCCCACCGCCACGACACCCGTTTCCAGGCCCTTCGCCGGCTTGAGCGCGAGGAGCAAGAGCGGGTGGAGCAGGAGAGGCAGGAGCTGCAGCAGTTGGACCAGCAGCAGCAGCAGCAGCCGCAGCAGCAGCAGCAGCAGAAGCAGCAGCAGCAGAAGTAGACGCCATAGCCGCCACCTTTGCAGCAGCTGTTCCCTCCAGTGAGTGGCCTTCAGGCCCTTGGTCTTCCTTCCTCTCCTCCAGTCCACTCCCAGTCACCTACTGCGTAGAGTCCTACGTTTCCTCCTCCAGACTCGACTCCGGCTATTTTCTCTCCTCCTCAGTCACGGTCGTCTCCTCCTGTTGTCCCGCATGACTGGACCAGTCGTTGTCCTCCGCATGCTCGGCCCTCGTCTCCTCTTGCCGACTTCCGCACTGTCTTGTTTCGTTCTCCTCCTCGCCGTTCTCCGCCTGTGTCTGTTCTCCCCTCACCTCCTGATTCGTCTCTCACCGTTTCCTCTCACCCTATCACTGACTACTATAGTGCTGCTCGCCCTGTTGTCTCGCGTGTTCTCACTTCTCTTGTCACCGACCCTCGTGCCTCTCTGTTGTGTGTCTCGGCTCTTACTGCCGCTATCGCTGACTTTGCTTCCACCCGCCGTCTTGACTACGCCATCGTATGGTGGCTGCTCCACCTCCCTGTCCTCCGTCCATCGGGGGTGAGTCAGCCCTTGGTTGTGACGTCCTAGAGGTCAGGCAGTTTGAGCTAGAGTTCTTAGCAGCCGCATCCCCCTCTCTCTGTGCCATGCTGCTTTCCCTTGAGGGAGACCCCGACGCCCTTGACATACCGACACCTCGCACGTATCGTGAGGCAGTGTCAGTGAAGTGGGCCTCTCAATGGAAAGTGGCTATGGATGCAGAGTTAGCGTCTTGAAGATCCACAGGCACGTACGTCGACGCAATTCCCCCTCCCAGGGCGAACATTGTCGATGGCATGTGGCTCTTCAAGGTGAAGCGGCCGCCTGGTTCACCGCCTGTGTTCAAGGCGCGCTACGTGGCTAGGGGGTTCAGTCAGCGTGAGGGAGTTGACTTCTTCCAGACCTTCGCCCCGACCCCGAAGATGACTACTCTTCGGGTGTTACTGCACGTAGAAGCACAGCGAGACTACGAGCTGCACTCCCTTGATTTCTCCACTGCATTTCTCCAGGGCCGACTGCACGAGGAGATCTGGCTGCGCCGTCCTCCTAGCTTCACTGACACCTTCCTACCTGGGACCCAGTGGAGCCTGAGGCGACCAGTCTACGGTCTCCGCCAGTCGCCCCGTGAGTGGCACGACACTCTTCGCTCCACGCTTCGTGACCTTGGGTTTAGGGTGAGAACCTAAACCTGTGTCGAGAGCCTCGACTGGAGAGCAGGGTGAAACATATTGACGTGAGGTACTTCCTCCTGCGAGAGTTGTAGCGACGCGGCCAGGCACGCTTGGACTTTGTGGCCTCAGAGGCCAACACTGCCGACGTCTTCACAAAGGCCTTGGCGCCTGGTGACCACCACAAGTTCTGTGTGCAGTTGGGGCTTGTTGATGCTGGTGTTCGATTACTGTAGACTTGCTTCTTGTTGCTTGATCTGCTTGTTCCTGTATCTATACATATTGTGAACTCTTGAACTGGCCTTGTGGCCCTTTACTTGTGCTCAGATTGTGTGGTGACTTCGTGATCCACCCTGAGCTTGCTGTGTTCCTTCTCTTGACTGGTCTTGTGACCCTTTGTTTCCCTTGGTTGTTTTGATGCCCCTCACTTAGCCTATGGAGGTGTGTCAAATGTTTACCGTGATCTCCCGCCTAGAAGACCCGGGGGTCTTATCCTAAATGTGCTCGAACTGGGTTGTGGGGTCTTATGTAATGACATGAAGTTCATAAGACCCCTGGACATCTATTAATTAATGGAAAATGGATTGTGTAGTGCAATGTTGAAGAAATTCAAAAATTTCTGTACTGAATTTTGGATTCCTTCACAGCGCAGAAATTCATTCTCAGATTCTCGCACTCGAGTCTCCCTGATTCCTTTCCGCACGTTCAGAAATGCCTAATAATGACAGGCACGTCAGCATTTGTTGCCTGAAGGGCGGCAAAAACGCGTGATTGATGTGGCATCTTGACTCCCTTGACCACAAATTCGCCTGACTAAGTAAATTTGGTGGTTTTTTTGTGTGACTCTCTAACCAGCTCATGAACTAACACCACTCATTATAGCCTGAGGGGGGGTCTTATAATGATTTGGGTCAAAAGGCGGGTCCTCTCCAGGATTGACCTAATAAAAGACCCCTGGGCCGGATAGAAGACCCACGGGGCTTTTATGCGGGGGGCCTTGTAACCGGGAGATCACGGTATATGTTCTAGATGTTAGTCATTCTAGGCTACAGTCTCTTGTTCCTAGTGTCTCGTTCTAGTCATCAAGTGTCTAGATGTCTCCTTAAGATAGGCTAGGAACAAGTCCGTTGTGTGATGGATTTGCTATTGCTGTTGCTGCTGCTGTGCCTGTGGTGGCTGCTGCTGCTGCTGCTGCTGCTGCTGCTGTTGCAATTGTTGTTGCATAGGCTGCACATGCTGCTGCATTTGAAGCTGGCGTGACTGCGGTGGTGCCTGCTGCTGCGGCTGCTGCTGTTGCAGTTGCTGCTGCGGTTGTGTCTGATGTGACGCCTGCTGCTGCTGCTGCTGCTGATGCTGGGGCTGCTGCATTTGTTGTTGCTGCATTTGCTGTTGCATGCGTTGCTGGTACAGCTGCTGCTGCCTCTGCCGCTGCTGAGCGAGCATCTGCTGCTGCTGCGGTGTCAGGTTCCCACGTTGCTGCATCTGCTGCTGCAGCTGCTGCTGCATGTGCTGTCGCTGTGCTGCCATCTGCTGGCCTTGCTGCTGCTGCTGTGGGCCCTGCTGCTGCTGTACTCGTTGCTGCTGCTGCATCTGTTGCTGCATCTGCTGCTGCATTGTCTGCTGCATCTGCCGCTGGGGATAGTGCGCCTGTCCCTGCATCTGCCCCTGCATGCGCTGCTGCTGCATGTGCTGCACCTGGGGCCTCTGCTGCCCTCCCACTTGCTGTGGAGGCTGTTGTTGCTGCTGCTGCGCCTGTGGCTGGGACTGCATGTGTGCTTGTGTCTGTGGTGATAGCACTTGCCGCTGTGCCAAACCTTGCTGCTGTGGTACCTGAGGCCTCTGTTCCACCTGTTGTTGTTGCTGCTGCTTCTGCTGCTGCTGCATCTGCTGTTGCGCCTGCTGCTGCTGTGGTGGCAGCGTTTGCTGCTGCTGCTGCTGCTGTTGCTGCACCTGGTTTGGCTGCTGCACTCCCCCCTGCTGCTGCGCCCCCTGCTGCACACTGCCAACTCCACTAGGAACAGCAGCAGCAGCAGGGGGGGGCGCCACTGGCCTCTGACCCACCTGCTGCTGTTGTTGTTGCTGCTGCTGCTGTTGCTGCTGCGGCTGTGCTCCTGGTTGTGGCAGCTGTTGCTGCTGCATCTGTGGCTGCAGCGGTGCTGCTGCTGGGGGCTGCTGCGGCCCCTGCTGCTGTCCTGGACCAACCCCCCTTCCTGCCACTCCCACTGCTCCTCCACCCCTCCCTGCACCTGCCACTCCACCCATCTGCCCACCTGGCCCTGCCTGTCCTGCCTGTGCTCCTGTCGCCTGCCCACCCCCAGGCTGGCTCCTGCCTGCACCCGCAGGGGCGACGGCAGCAGCACTACCAGGGGTCATGCCTGCAGGGCTTGCGGTGGCAGCAAGTGCAGGGGGAGCAGATGGAGAGGCAGTGCTGCCGGGGGTGGCAGCTGGTGGTGCAGAGGGAAGCTGCTGCCGCTGGGGCTGCTGCTGCTGCTGCTGCTGCCCTTGCTGTTGCTGTTGTTGCTGTTGCTGCTGTTGCAATTGCTGCTGCTGCTGTTGCTGCTGCTGCTGTGGCTGCGTGTAAGGCATCTGTGCTGTTCTCATAGCAGGCCCCCCCTGCCCTTGCTGCTGTTGCTGCTGCTGCTGCTGCTGCTGCTGCTGCTGCTGCTGCTGCTGCTGCTGCTGCAGTGGCACATGGGAGTGCTGCTGGGGTGGCATCGACTGTCCGTAGAGCCCTCTGCTCTGCCCTGCCCCTGCATCCACAGCCCCACCCACTCCTCCCATCACCGCGCCCATACCTGTGCCCATACCTGTGCCCATACCTGCAGCCCCCACTCCAGCCCCCATGGCCCCTTGCCCACTCATTGCTCCCCTAGGCCCCATCCCCATACCACCTGCACCCATCCTTCCTGCCATGTGCCCCATTCCTACCGTGCCTGTCGGCGAGGCTCGGGGAAGCTGAGGTGGGCGCGGGGGATATGCCTGGCCTGCAGCGCCTGGGTGCATTCCCCGGACCTGATGGTGGGGCCCGGGAATAGCATGGCCCCGCATGTGAGGGAGGCTTGGGCTTCCCGGTCCTGCCACCGAACCTGGACTGGGGTAACCTACACCCGGAGCTACCTTGGCAGCTCCGGGGGCACCAGGCATTGGGGGAGAGGTAGGGCTAGGTGCAGGGCCGGAGGCAGCGTATCCCGGACCTGCTGGCCAGGTTCGGTCCATACCTACAGGCTGGGAAGCAGAGCCCGTGGGTGCAGGAGGTTGGGACCTAGGATGGGCTATGCCTGCCACAGAAGGGGATCCCACAGAGGGGCTCATAGTATGGGGTGTGACAGTATGGGGGGGTGTGACCCTGCTGCCGGGAAGGCCATGAGGGGAGGGCGTATGTGGGGAGGCAGCGTGAGACGGCATGGCATGGGAAGCGGCATAGCCTGCATGGGGAGGAGGGGTGGCATGTGGGGGACCCATGGCGTTCCCAGCAGCGGCTGCTGCTGCCCCGTTTGGTCCCCTTCCCATGCCTGCTGGTGGCACACCCCGCCCCATCCCACCCATTCCACCCATCCCTGCCATCACCCCGCCACTGCCAGCCGCAGCAGCAGGGGCAGCACGGGAAGCCATGTGGTGAGGCGGGCCCCCCACAGCCGCACCTCCTAGCTGCCCAACCCCACCAGCAGCAGCACTGGCAAAACCAGCAGCAGTGGCAGTAGTAACCGCACTAGTGGGAAGAGAACCGGGAGCAGCAGCAGGGGCGGGTGGAGGGGGCATGGGCGCCAACCCTCCACCGCCCCCAGGGCCCCCAGCAGCCCCACCCTGCCGTGCCCCTGCTGCTCCCGCTCCCCCTGCCCCTCCTTGGCCCACCACACCCACCCCCCGCCCGCCTGCCATACCCCCCCCTCCCCCTGCTCCTGCTGCACCTCCCATCCCACCTCCAGCCGTCCCACCACCACTATTCCCACCCGCAGCAGCGCCGGCAGAAGCGGCAGCGGCGGCGGCAGCAGCGGCGCGGTCGCGGGCGGCGGCGGAGTTGGTGCTGATCTGCGTGGCGGGGTGCATGTGCTTGGGCAAAGGGATGACCTGATCCTCCATCATGTGCCACCCCTCGCGCTGCACCTGCAGCGGGGCGAAGGGGAAGGGGAGGGGAAGGGCGAGGGTCAGAATGAGCAGTAGGTAGAGGGGAGTGAGAGAAGAGGTGGAGGGCAGCATGGTGGAGGGCAGAATGGTGGAGGGCAGCATGGTGGAGGGTAGCATGGTGGAGGGCAGCATGGTGGAGGGTAGCATGGTGGAGGGTAGCATGGTGGAGGGCAGCATGGTGGAGGGCAGCATGGTGGAGGGTAGCATGGTGGAGGGTAGCATGGTGGAGGGCAGCATGGTGGAGGGTAGCATGGTGGAGGGTAGCATGGTGGAGGGCAGCATGGTGGAGGGCAGCATGGTGGAGGGCAGCATGGTGGAGGGCAGCATGGTGGAGGGCAGCATGGTGGAGGGCAGCATGGTGGAGGGCAGCATGGTGGAGGGCAGCATGGTGGAGGGTAGCATGGTGGAGGGCAGCATGGTGGAGGGTAGCATGGTGGAGGGCAGCATGGTGGAGGGTAGCATGGTGGAGGGCAGCATGGTGGAGGGTAGCATGGTGGAGGGCAGCATGGTGGAGGGCAGCATGGTGGAGGGCAGCATGGTGGAGGGCAGCATGGTGGAGGGCAGCATGGTGGAGGGCAGCATGGTGGAGGGCAGCATGGTGGAGGGCAGCATGGTGGAGGGTAGCATGGTGGAGGGCAGCATGGTGGAGGGCAGCATGGTGGAGGGTAGCATGGTGGAGGGCAGCATGGTGGAGGGTAGCATGGTGGAGGGCAGCATGGTGGAGGGTAGCATGGTGGAGGGCAGCATGGTGGAGGGTAGCATGGTGGAGGGCAGCATGGTGGAGGGCAGCATGGTGGAGGGTAGCATGGTGGAGGGCAGCATGGGCAGCATGGGTAGCATGGGCAGCATGGGCAGCATGGGCAGCATGGTGGAGGGCAGCATGGTGCAGCGCACACACGTACCACTCGGACATAGGTTCGCGCGAATCGATCCGCATACTCCTGGGGAGACGGGTGAGGAGGGAAAGGGAGAGACAGTCACAAGACAGGGGGGCGAGGATGAGGCAGGTGATGTAGGCAGAGCCAGCTGGGGGCGGGAGCAAGCAGGTGGTTGTGTCCTCCTTGAGGTGAGTGTGACTGTGTCTGTGTGCACATGTGTGTTCGCATGTATATGTCCATTGCGTGTGTGCACTTGTGAGTGCGTGGGAAAGCGAGAGCAGCAAGGGTGGGCAGCTCACGGTGTTGGGCATGAGAGGCAGCTGCTGGTCGCGGCGCAGCGAGATGCTCGATCCGCCCGCCCCTCCTGCCGCGCCCGCAGCGTCAGCGTCGCCATCGGCGCCCTCCTGTATGATTGCCTCCACACACTCGTCCTTCTGCCGCCCCCTCATCACCAGCCGCTGCTGCATGCGCCGCACGCCTGGTGGACGTGCAGAGGGGGCAGTGGGAAGGGCAGAGGGGAGCGTGAGGGCAGAAAGGAAAAAGAGAGGGGAGAGGAGGAAACTGAGAAGGGAAGCGAACCAGGCAGGGGTGTTTCAACAGCTACAATTCACAGCAACCAGGTGGATTTAATTATATCGAGTACAGACCTTGTGGGTTGGAGTCGAGGCGCACGAATGTGAGGCCGCGCATCTTGGGCGCGTTGACGTTGACGCCCGCGGTGAGCAGCGAGAAGCGCAGGCAGCGCTTGCCCTTGGGCTCCGCTGCCTCCTCTCCCCCCCCCGCCAGCGCCTGCCGCACCAACGCCGGGTCCGGGTTGCTGCGCTTGGGCGGAGGGAGGGCTTCTGGGGACGATGGCGCTGGCGGATACAGGCCTTGGCTGGTGGGGCAGAGATAAGGGCAGAGACGGGGAAGAAGAGGAGGGAAAGGAGGCAAGAGGAAGGTGGCAGTAAGGAAGGAGAGAAAAAATAAGAGGAAAAAAGGCAGAAGATTGACAAACAGGAGAAAAGGTGAGAACAAATGCATTGCAGTTGTACTCGTTAAGCCCATACACTGCAACATACTGCAACTCAATGCAACATACTGCAACTCAATGCAACATACTGCAACTCAATGCAACATACTGCAACTCAATGCAACATACTGCAACTCAATGCAACATACTGCAACTCAATGCAACATACTGCAACTCAATGCAACATACTGCAACTCAATGCAACATACTGCAACTCAATGCAACATACTGCAACTCAATGCAACATACTGCAACTCAATGCAACATACTGCAACTCAATGCAACATACTGCAACTCAATGCAACATACTGCAACTCAATGCAACATACTGCAACTCAATGCAACATACTGCAACTCAATGCAACATACTGCAACTCAATGCAACATACTGCAACTCAATGCAACATACTGCAACTCAATGCAACATACTGCAACTCAATGCAACATACTGCAACTCAATGCAACATACTGCAACTCAATGCAACATACTGCAACTCAATGCAACATACTGCAACTCAATGCAACATACTGCAACTCAATGCAACATACTGCAACTCAATGCAACATACTGCAACTCAATGCAACATACTGCAACTCAATGCAACATACTGCAACTCAATGCAACATACTGCAACTCAATGCAACATACTGCAACTCAATGCAACATACTGCAACTCAATGCAACATACTGCAACTCAATGCAACATACTGCAACTCAATGCAACATACTGCAACTCAATGCAACATACTGCAACTCAATGCAACATACTGCAACTCAATGCAACATACTGCAACTCAATGCAACATACTGCAACTCAATGCAACATGCTGCAACTCAATGCAACATACTGCAACTCAATGCAACATACTGCAACTCAATGCAACATACTGCAACTCAATGCAACATACTGCTTGCCCCCGGAACGATACAAACCGAAAAAATCCCGACAACCGCAACGAAATTCAGGATCATTGGCAGTCTCAATGTTTGTTCAATTGAAAGAGCATGGAGCACGGACCTCTTGATGATCGATAGCAGCGCTCCCAACGCTCTCTTCGTGTCTGCTGGAGCAGCGACAACTGCCTTCTGCTGCTGCTGCTGCTGCTGCTGCCCCGATGAGCCAGCAGCAGCGGCAACTGCAGTGCTACCAGCTGTAGCCCCTGCAACAGCAGCAAGAGGCTTTGGTTTGTCCCTGTCCTCAGGTGCACCCTCCACCACAATGCCACCCGGGGGGCCGGATGGTGGGGCTGCAACCACTGCCTTGCGCACCTGCTCCCCATCCACCACCTGAGAAGTAGCCACCATGCCTGCTGCTGCCTGCTGCTGCTGAATAGGCAGGCTGGGTCGGACCTGAGGTTTGGCTTCGGGTGGCGCCATTACAACCGCAGGTGCGGCCATACCTGCAGCAGCAGCAGGCGATGGTGCTTCAGGAGGCATGGGCGGGCGAGCAGCAGCAAGAGCAGGAGTGGCGGCCTCAGGAGCACCTGGTTGCGCGGGGTGTGGCTGCTGGCCATGTGTGGGCGGCGGCAGGTGTGACTGCTGAGCAATACCAGGCTTGGCCAGTTGGGGCACTGGTGGGCCTGCTGTCACAGACGGAGAGGCGGCGGCAGCAGGCAGGGGAGGGGGCAGGTGTGGGGGAGTGTATCCAGGCATGGGTGGTTGCGATGGGAGTTGACCTGCCTTGGACTGCATGTGCTGTTGCTGTTGCTGTTGCTGTTGCTGTTGCTGTTGCTGTTGCTGTTGCTGTTGCTGTTGCTGTTGCTGTTGCTGTTGCTGTTGCTGCAGTTGTTGCTGTTGCTGTTGCTGTTGCTGTTGCTGTTGCTGTTGCTGTTGCTGTTGCTGCTGCTGCCGCTGCTGTTGTAATTGTAGCTGTTGTTGCTGTTGCTGCTGCTGAGGTGTAAGCTGCTGTCGATTGCCTTGTAAGAACTGCTGCTGCTGCTGCTGCGCTTGCATCTGCTGCTGCTGCTGTGACTGCATCGGCTGCATGCGTTGAGGCACTTGCTGCTGTAATTCTTGCTGCTGTAATTCTTGCTGCCGCTTTTGCAGCTCTTGCTGTTGCTGGAACCGCTGCTGCTGCAGTTGCTGCTGTTGCTGCTGTTGTTGTTGCTGTTGCTGTTGTTGCTGTTGCATTTGCTGCTGTTGTTGCTGTTGCTGCTGCATTTGCTGCTGTTGCTGCTGCATTTGCTGTTGCTGCTGCACTTGCTGTTGCTGTTGCTGCTGCTCCCTTTGCTGCTGCTGCTGCCTCAACCGCTGCTGGTAAAGCAGCATCTGCTGCTGCTGCTGGTACTGCAGCTGAGCCCCAGCCTCCCCTCCTGCTTCCCCCCTCGGAACAGCAACCCCCACACCCATCATCTCCGGCTTTACCCCTGCCCTCGCCCCTGCCTGCGCCACACCCACAGCTGACCCTGCAGGAACAGACGGCGGGCCTGAACCACCTGCCTGCTGCTGCTGCTGCTGCTGCTGCTGCTGCTGCTGCTGCTGCTGCTGCTGCTGCTGCTGCTGCTGCTGCTGCTGCTGCTGCTGCTGCTGCTGCTGCTGCTGCTGCTGCTGCAACGACTGCTGCTGTTTCTGTTGCAGCAGCTGCTGCTGCTGGAGCTGTTGCTGCTGCTGCTCTGCCATGCCAGGCACGTGGGGAGGAGCAGCAGGCGGCACTTGGGAGGCGAAGTCAGACGGCTGGGGGCGGGAGGATGCAGGGAGAGCAGGAGAGGTGGGAGTGGGCGCGGGTGGGAAGGAGGAGGAGGGCATAGAGGCATTGGACGGGCTTCGCTCCAAGGTAGGCTCGTGCTTCACACTCGCCCTCTCCTCTGCTGCTGCTGCTGCTGCTGCCGGCGCTGGTGCTGCTGCTGCCCCTGCTGTAGGTAATTGGCCAGGGTAAGGGGCCTGGCCTTGCCTTTGCTGCTGCTGCTGCTGCTGCTGCTGCAGCTGCTGCTGTCGTTGCTGCAGCTGTTGTTGTTGTTGCCACTGTTGCTGCTGTTGCTGTTGTAGCTGCTGCTGCTGCTCCTGTTCCTGCTGCTGTTTCAGCTGCTGCTGCTGCAGTTGCTCCTGTTTCTGCTGCTCTAGCTGCTGTTTCTGCTGCTCTAGCTGCTTTTGCTGCTCTAGCTGCAGCTCCTGCTGCTGCTTCTGCTGCAGCAGTAACTGCTGTTGCTGCTGCTCCTCCTCGTGCTGCTTCTGCTGCAGCAGCTGCTGCTGCCTGCGTCGTTGCAGCTCCACCTGCTGCTGCTGGAACAGGGACATACGCTGCTTCCGCAGCACGGGCACAGGCATGGCATGGGACAACCCCGTATCCGCCCCACCAAACTCATCCAGCGACTCGTTCTTATCCTCCCACCCAGCATCCAACCCTCCATCAAGACTCTCCTCCAATCCCCCATCCAATCCCCCATCCAACCCCCCGTCCAGCCCCCCATCCAGCCCCCCATCCAATGCATCATCCAAGCCCCCGTCCTGGCCCCCAGCGCCACCCTGCCCCTGCTCCAGTTCACCCCCCAGCCCCCCCTCTGCTGCCATACCCACCCCTGCTGTGCCACCTGCTGCTGCACCCGCCCCTGCTACAGCCGTCCCTGCTGGTGCAGCCGCTCCCCCAAATGCCCCACCCAGCAGGCCGGCACTCATGAGCAGGAACTCATCTGCACCCATCTCCACCTTCCCACCACCCCCACCAACAGCAGCGGCGGCGGCAGCGGCTACAGCACTGGCAGCAGCAGCAGAAGCAGCGGCAGCAGCGCCACCAGCACCAGCTGCAAGCTCAGGAGCACGAGCAGCGGCGACCTCTGAAGTTGCTGCTGCGTCTGATAAGGGGCCAAAGGCGTCAGCAGGGCCTGCCACAGCGGATGGGAGCGAGCCAGGCAGAGCTCTGGACGTGCCGGCAGCAGCAGCGGCGGCGGCTGACATGGCTGTAGCAAGGGCTGGAGGGAGGGTGGGGGAGAGAAGGGTGCCATCGCCCTGCTTTGCTCCGGAAATACCATACCCCAGCAGACTGTCAATCGATATCTCAGGCACCATCTGCTGCTGCTGCTGCTGCTGCAATTGCTCTTGCTCTTGCTCTTGCTCTTGCTCTTGCTCTTGCTCTTGCTCTTGCTGCTGTTGTTGCAATTGCTGTTGCTGTTGTTGCATTTGCTGCTGCTGCAACTGCTGTTGCTGCTGCTGCTGCTGTTGCAGTTGCTGCTGCTGCTGTTGCTGCTGCTGCTGTTGTTGCAGTTGCTGCTGCTGCTGTTGTTGCAGTTGCTGCTGCTGCTGCTGCTGCTGCTGCTGCTGCTGCTTTTTCTTTTTTAGATTTGCCTTCTTCTTGCTTGTTGCCTTCTCCTGCGTTTTTGTGGACATCCCCTTTTCGTCAACCAGCAGCGTTCCCCCCTTCACCCCCATCTGCTTCTTTGCCTTGGTCTTTTTCTTCTTCAGCGTTTGTTGCTGCAGGGGAGCCTTATGCTCACCCTGCCCCTTCCTTGCTTTCTTCTTTCCCTTCTTCACCTTACTTCCTCCCATTGCTTCTGCAAGAAGAAAAGGAGGAGGGCGAGAGAGGGGCGGAGGAAGGATGTCAGAGAGGGGAGCAATGCAGATAACATCAGTCCGCCCTGTGAATGAAAGAAGCACAGAATACCCCACCCCTGCTCAAGCCACACGTGTCAGGGCACCAGCCAAGCCATGCCCCAGCATCCCATCCCCCACCATCCCCAACGCTTACTTCGTTTTGCAGACCCCTTCCCACCCCCTCGCTCTTCTTCCTCCTCCTCCGCCTCGCCATCATCAGGCGCGACAGCATCCCCAGCCACGGCGCGGCGGAGGGGCGACAGGGGGTCCCACGCGGGGGGGAGGGCGAGGCGCCGGTACTTGAGCAGCCCGCGGTGCCGCGACGCGGGCGGCACGGCGTTCAGCTTCGCCTTGTGGAAATGCTGCTGACGCGCCACCTCGGCCACGCGCGGACTGGGGTCCAGACACAGCGGCGGCTGCACTGCTCTCAGGATGCGTGCTTCCACCTCCTGGTAGGGGCACACGGAGGGTGGGAGGGAAGTAGGGAGGCAGGGAGCGAAGGGAGGGAGTAAGGGGTGAATAAGATGATACCACTGCACTGCATTGGCCCTGTGAATGTACTCCTGCCTCGGCACCTCGGACACGCGTGGGCTGGGATCCAGACACAGCGGCGGCGACTGCACTGCCCTTAACATGCGTGCCTCCACCTCCTGGTGTGGGGGAGGATGGAGGTACTGAGGGAAGCAGAGAGGGAGGCAGGGAGAGAGTGGGAAATAAGACAATCTTGCAGCATTGCATAGATCTTGTGGGCACAGCGGACACTACCAGCAACGAGCAGCCCCCGTACACGTACTGTCACCACTCCGCACCCACCAGCATGACGTGTCACCACTCTGCACGCCCCAACACGCTTTTCCACCACTCTGCACCCACCAGCACGCATTTCCACCACTCTGCACGCACCAGCACGCCTTTCCACCACTCCCAACCCACCAGCATGTCCTGATACGACCAGGAGGCGTCAGCCATGGCGGCCACGTCCTTCGCAATGCTCTCAGACGTGGGTCGCAGCACCACATGCCACGTCCTCACCGGGCCCTCGCCCGCCCGCCGCCCCGCTGCCTCCATTGCTGCTGCTGGCGAGGACCCCGGGGGGATCCGCGCTATGCTGCCGCCCCGCCCCTCCGCCAGCTCGCGGTAGTCGCGCACCTGGGCGCATGGCGGAGGAGGGAGGACGGGAGGCGTGGGGGGTGTGGGAGGGGGAGGGGCTTATATAATGCGCACGCATAATGTATGATGCATGATGCATGGTGAATGCTGTATGCTGCACGGTGTGTGAATAGTTGAGTCGAAATAAAATAAAAGTGTTGCACTGCGCTACAAATGCAGGCGCATGGGAGCAGCAATCCAGTCACACCTCGCAGGCAACACATCCGTTGCGGTAGATGCAGGGGATGTCGTGCAGCAGGTCCCCGGGCAGATGCCCGGTGTCAATCGCCTGCACAGCACACACACGCCAACACATCAACGCACGCATGCATGCACGCACCGCTGGTGAGTCGCATGCCGGAAGAAGGCGAAAGGTAACTTGAAAGCCAAAGCAGCGTGCTCACGATTGCTGTGACGTGAAGCCTGACGCATGGAATAGAGAGAATCAAGCGGGCTGAGGGGTGTACAGACACGGTTACGGAGCTCACATTGGCCGGGCGTGGACTCACCTGCAGGAACGACTCGGTGGAGCGGTCGTACGGGTACAGCTTCGCCACCAGCGCTTCCGGTAGGCGCGGCGGAGGGCGGCCGTCCTGCGAGACATCGCGCCACGCGGGACGGACGAGGAGAGAGCGATCGGGGGGATACGATTGTGCAATGCGATGGACGCTGATTGGAAACGACAAACTGAAGTAACGGATTAGTAACTGTTGTTAGATAGCGACGGGAATCGAGCATCTGAATGACGGTCATGACGCCAAGCTACACGCTTGACCCTGCGATCAAGAACGGGAGCGGGAAGGCGTGCGTTCTACGCAGGCCAAATGGCGCATTGCAAGGACTACACCTAACGAGGCAGGGAAGAGTCTAGAATGCCTCCTACACTGCGGTACCGTACTCGTAACAGCTGCTTCGAACCTGCGTGGGAACGTCGATGGAGAAGCCTTCGGGGAAGATATTCAGAGCGAAGGAGCAGGGCATCTCGCCCACCACGCCGGGCTCCCACGCTCCTCGCCCTCCACCTGACGCCGTCGACATGGACACACCACGCGAACCCTTGCTCTTGAGTCGTTCCCCTGCAACCCTAACTTGCGTAGCAGCAACTGAAAGCTAATCCCAGGAAGGTAGCCGCACGCAAATGCTTCGTCTCGTTCGTCTGCAACGAGTAGTAACCGCGACGATCGGAATATAGCCGCGCTAGACATACAAGCTTCTAGCGGTCTGTCATTGGCTGATTGTAGTGGCGGGGCGACTGGCTCAACGTAACGAATCGTGGGTGATCAAATTGATATAACGCGAATAGCACTTACCTTAGAGAGAACCCAATATATGTGCTCTGGTGGAAGAAAGTAAACAGTTTCCAAGTTTTAATGAAATCCAAAAAGACAGTCTTAATCGTTCAAATTCAAGAGCTCCTAGTTAGGTCTCAGGGTCTCCCAAAGATTTCCAGTAATTTTAAGTGCCAAAATGATTCAGGAAAACTATCCATGATTGCTCTTTCTTTTATGTTCCATAAGAATACTGGAATGAAGGTAAAGTATCGTAGAGGAGCCGAAGTTGTACTCAACTGGGTGGTTCATTCCTGCAATCGCGTCCGACAATGGCGACGACATTGTGTGCGCCAACATGAAACACACGTGCAGGCCCGACGAGCCCAGCTCTCCTGCTGAGCTGGCTGATAGTTCGTTTCCAGCGTGGCAACACGTCACTTGCAACGAATGTCAGAGCACTCGGTACAGTTTCAGTTTCCCGCCAACCTGCTGGGTTTTGTCAACTTTGTCAGAGCAGGCTCGAACGGGAGGCAGTCAGACATTCTCGACGCTGATTTCCCTCTCATCAGCAACTGGTCATCGCTTTATTTCTCGAGTTATGTAGTTGTAGTTCCTGTATACTTGCCTTCCGCTGTCACTCATCCCATTTCGTCGGCGCTTACGCGTGCTAACAACGAATATTGGGTTGCGATCAACCATGGAATCACCAGTCTGGATCGTGCACAACATACGACATCTCTCGTACCACTGATTGCTTCGCAATGGCTGGTTAACAACAAATGGATAGGGAGCGGAGAGCCAGCCATGGCATCGCTTTCACAGTCACAGACGACGGCATTACTTCGGCCAGAAGCATTCAGAGGGCGACATTACCCTGAGTGGCATCCTCCCACCCGCCATCTAGTCACACCGTTCCTTCGCCCTGACTTTTCACCGATTCTCCCTGCTGCACCATCCCCCTTCTTCCTTACCGCGCCACGCATCCCTGCGATCGGCGGTTATGGAAGAAGCCGGCGGGTGGCAGTGTCGTCCATTCTCACGCGGCAGGATGGGCAGGCGGACGAAGGAATGGATGCGCGGAAGGCGCAAAGGGCAGCGCAGAAGAGCGAGGCGGCGAGCGCGGCGAGGCAGGGAGGCGGCGTGACGGGAAGGGGAGCGCAGATGAGCGGAATGCAAGGAGCAGTGGGAAGCGGGGAGCAGGCGGGGGATGGAAGGGAAACCGCAGTGCAACGGCCAAGTGCGCAGCATCAGCAGGATCAACAGCAGCAGCAGCAGCTGGAGCAGGCGGAGGGAGCACGCAAGGCGTCAAGCAGCGTGCGCGCTGTGGAGCGCGTTGCCGCTGCCCGCCAGGGCGGGGCAGCTTCGTGGAGACCTCCCACCTCGCTCACTCGGATGCCGTCCCTCAACCGAGCCTCGGGCTTCCAGGGGCTAGGGCTAGGCTCGGGCATTCAGGGGCTAGGCTCGGGCTTTCAGGGGCTAGGCTCGGGCTTTCAGGGGCTAGGTTCGGGCATTCAGGGACTAGGCTCGGGCATTCAGGGGCGCGCATCAGCAGTGCGCAGCAGGCTGCAGGGGGGCGCGATGGAGGCGGGGAGTCGGATACAGGGCGGCGCGTACGGCGTGGGCAGCTCCCTCCAGGACACGGCCGCCGTGGTGGGCGGCGTGATTCAGGGCCGCGCCGTGGAGGTCGGGGGTGCGATCCAAGGCAAGGCGGTTGCGGTGGGCAGCACGATACAGGACACGGCAGTAGTGGTGGGGGGTGCGATCCAAGATAAGGCAGTGGCAGTGAGCAGCACAATACAAGACACAGCAGTAGTGGTGGGAGGGGCGATTCAAGACACGGCAGTGGTGGTAGGCAGCAGGATTCAGGGCAAAGCGGTGGAGCTGCAGGAGAGAGCGGTGGAGGTGGGTACGAGCATCCAGGACAGGGCGGTGGAGGTGAGCAGCAGCCTTCAGGACCGCGCGGTGCTGCTGCAGGGCAAGGCCGTGGAGGTGAGCAGCACGCTGCAGGACGTGGTGTCGGAGGTGGGGCAGGTGGTGACTGAGGTGGGTGTGACTATACAGGAGAAGCAGCAGGAGATCGCCAAGGTGGTGCAGCACACGGCGGAGGACGTGGAGAGGAGCCTCCCGCCCCCCGCGCAGGGCGCACTGCGCACGGCGGGGTCGGGCGTGCAGGCGGTGGTGAGCGTGGTGGCGCCCGTGCTGGACCGCATTCCCGTAACGCGCGGGCAGCTGGCGGGCGCGGCCGTGGTGGTGGTGCTGTTCATCAAGGCCGTGGAGCAGTGGTGGTACCAGTTCCAGCAGGACTCGCGGTGAGCTGAGGAGGGGGACGTGGAAGTGAGGGGTGTCAGTGAGAAAGTGAGGTGGCGGTTGGGCATTTGGGTGAGGGATGGTGATGGAGCATGGCACATGCACTGGGCTGCGCCCTCTCTGCCTGCATGCCCGCTCACCTCACATGCATGTCCCGCCTGCTGATGCGCCCGCCCTTCCTCCCTCCCTTCCTTCCTCCCTCCCATGCCTGGCAGGGGCTCGACACACTTTGACATCCCGGAGCGCATCCGCGTGGAGGCGCCGTCGCCCCTGCCACCGCCTGTGCCGGTGGCGTCGACGCGGCAGCAGGTGGACGTGCGGCGCAAGGAGCCCATGGAGTGGGTCAACATGCTGCTGCGCAAGGTCAGTCCACGCCCGTCAACGCCGGTCAACGCGAGGCAACGCCTGTCATTGCCAGTCAATGCTGGTCAACGCCGGTCATCGTTGGTCAATTCTGTTCTAGGCAGGTCAATGCAGGTCAAGGCTGGACGTATAGGGTCAAATGCAGGGCGCAAGCAAAGGTTGGAGTCCATGAAAGGCCACGCACATGCCCTGGAACCCACACACAAACATGCTGAGTCTTCACCCACTCCACCCCACCCCCACCCACACGCTCTGCATGTACCGCACAGGGCTGGCGCGGTGGATGGGGAGAGCCCTGCACGCCGCTACGTTGGCAGATACGCTCTTGAAAGGCTGGCGTATCACGTATATTCGCTAGCGTATATGCGTGATACGCTGATACGCTCTGAATTCGCGAAAATACGGCCGGGCAGCCCGGCGAAAAAAAAAAATCCGAAATTGAAAAACTTCGTGACGATGTGCGAAGTCGCGAAGTGTTACCGCGACTTCGCTCATGTGCCCAACCCCACTTCTGAACTTCAAATTTCAAAATCCAAACTTTCCCACCCCCTCAACCACACATCACCCCACCCAACCTCTCAATCCCAACCACCCCCTTCAAATGTTCTTCCATCGTTTGCATGTATAGGTCGACGTTGCGCAAATGCTCTTCCATTTCCTTCCCGCATTTCTCCACTCTTCTTCGTTAGTTAGACTTACGTAGTGCACCATGGCGTCGGGCTCAGCTCCTAGTACTTCGACGAACAACAATCCAGCCTCTGTCCATGGCTCTACTACCGTCAACACGGATCCTGTTGAGGCTGGACTATCTCACCCCATTCTGAAACATTTCCTCATTCCGTTTCACACCAAAGGCAACCCCAAGCTGTGCAAGTTCTGTGGCAAGAAGTTCGAGGGCGGAACAAACCGCTGTGCAATCCATCTCGCGACATGGAAAGGGCAGGAGAAGCGCGCTGTGGCGTTATGCAAGGACGCGCCCACGGCAGTCCGCGATGAAGTCCGTGGCATGTACGAGACCAAGGCGGAACAGCAGGACTTGAAGCGAGGGGCGGCCGCTGCTGCAATTCACTCCGCGCTTGACGCTGTCAGTGGAAACCCGGAGAAAAAGAGAAAAATTACGGATTTCTTTGGCAATGAGGCGACGTGCGCCAAGGAGGACGCGGATAACGCGCTTTGCCTTCTGTTCGCGGCGCTGAAACTTCCGGAGCGCATTGCGGACGATCCGGTCTTCCGCTACGCGGTCCAGTGCATTGCGCGCGCTGGACCTGGGTACGTCCCTCCTAAGAGGCGCTACATTGGAGGGGCAGGCTTGAAGAAGGTGCGGCAGAAAATGGAGGTCGCGCTCGCCCCCGTTGCCGCGAGCTGGAAGCGGGACGGGGTAACGGTGTCGTCGGACATGATGACCGACCGTTGTGGCCGCCCGCAGGCCAACGTGCTCCTTGTCAACGACTCCGGCGCAGTTTTCGAGCAGGCGGTGGACTGCAACATGGAGTCGAAGACCGGGGGGTACATCGCCAGCCTTCTCCGCCCCGTCATTGATAAGGTGGGGCCGGAGAATGTGGTGGCGGTCTGCACCGATGGCGGCAGCAACTATGCATCGGCCGCCAAGAAGATTGCGAGCACATGGCCGCACATTGAGCATGTGCCATGTGCCACGCATGTCCTGGACCTGATGATGGAAGATATGGGCAAAATGGGATGGGCGAAGGGGCTTGTAGAGAAAGGAGGGGAGATGATTACCTTCGTGCGCAACCACCACTTTACCCGTGCCTATATGAAGAAAGTGGGGGGGAAGCAGGTGCTCAAGCCTGCGGGAACCAGGTTCGGGACACAATACATAGCCATGGCCCGGCTATGTGAGGTGAGGAGTGGGCTGGCGGCGATGGTGCTCAGCGACGAGTGGAAGGTGTGGGCAGCGGCGGACAAGGATAGGAAGACAGCAGCTGAGAAATTCAGGGCTGCTGTGATGGATGAGGAGTGGTGGGGGGTGGCGGAGTTCTTTACCTCTCTCATGGCGGTGCCATTCAAGGCCATGCGGGCCACGGACTCTTCCGCGAAAGGCATGATGGGTAAGCTGTATGACATCATGCTACAGCTTACCGAGGACATCAATGACAAGCTCGACGCTTCAAGTGACTTCTTGACTCGGACAGAGAGGGCAGACATCACCAAGATTGTGAAGGACAGGTGGGACAACTCCCTTGCCTGCCCCATGCATGTGGTTGGCCGGATCCTGAATCCGGCCAACCAGGAGGAGGGAATTTTCAGGAACGATGTGGAGTGCACGCAGGTGTTCAAGGACTACATCGAGCGCCACTATGACAACAAGACCTTCAAGCGTGGCAAGGATGGCGCCCCTCGTCGCGCCTCCCTTGTGCTGCAGGAGGCATTGCTGGCCTACATCAACATGGAGGGCAGCTTTGGCAAGCCGGGCGCCATATTTCTGCAAGGGAGGCAGTGAAGAAGGGGGAGATGAGTATGGTGCAGTGGTGGTCGTGGCACAGCACCGAGTATCCTGAGCTTGCCGCCCTCGCATGCCGGGTGCTCACTCAGCCCGTCTCGGCTTCCCCATGCGAGCGTGGCTGGGCGCAGTGGGAAGGCGTCCACACCGCCCGCCGCAACCGGCTCGGGTCCGCCAAGTGTGCGGACCTCGTCTACATTGCGCACAACTGGAACGTTGTGCGCAATTGGTACAAGAAGGATGGGGGCAGCACGGTTGTGCCCGGTAACATCCCGGATGCCCCTATCCCCCCCGGCTATAACATGGATGAGGAGGAGGATGACATGCTGGGGGAGGAAGGAGAGGATGCAGTGCTGGCGGATGAGTATGGGGAAGGTGTGGTGGTGGAAAAGCCCCGCAAGGAAATCGGTTGTGGGGAAGCTAGCTAGAGGGTGGGGTGGGGTGGGGATGTATGGGGAGAAGTAGCCCCAAATATGTATTTCTGGATATTTATGAAATTTAAATTATGACTTGTGTTCTTGGAAAACAATCCCCCCCCCTGAAACAGGTTTTTTTAGCCCTGCCCGGGAAAAAAGTTTTACCTGCCCGCCCAGCGTATTTTTGCCTATCACCAGTACGCCAGCCCTGGCGTACCGCGTATATACCCAGCGTATAATACGCTAGCGTATTATACCCTGGGACGCGTATCTGCCAACGTAGGCACGCCGGTGCCTGTCAGGTCCATGCTCTCCAAGTATACCCCCCACATGCCTTCTCCCCCCTATCCCCCTTTCCCCCCACCCTCTTAGGTGTTCCGCATATACTGCATGGCCTGGAGCGCTGGATGGTGGGCATCGTTCCAGCAGGTGGCTGTCAGGTCAAGGCTCTCAAGGTGTGGCCCTACTCCCCCACTCCCCCCCTTCCCTTCTTCCCTCACCCCTCCAGGTGTTCCGCATATTCCGCACGGGGTTGGAGCGGTGGATGGTGGGCATCCTGCAGGCAGGTGGCTGTAAGGCTTGTAAGTTATGCCCCCACACGCTTCCTCTCCCTCCCCCTCCCCTCCAGGTGTTCCGAATCTACCGCACGGGGTTGGAGCGGTGGATGGTGGGCATCCTGCAGCCGCTCATCGATGAGACGCCCAAGCCACGTGGCGTGCAGCGCGTGCGCATCAAGCAGTTCTTCCTCGGCGACGAGCCGCCCTCCCTGCGCTCCATTGAGCGCCGCACCTCAAGGCGCGGCAACGACCTGCAGTGAGTGCGGTGCAGAGTGATAGAGCAGTGGTGTAGTGTGGTAGTAAGTGGTTTCATGGTGTATGGTGCGCATCAAGCAGTTCTTCCTCGGGGAACGAGCTTCCCTCACTGTGCTCCATTGAGAGGCGCACATCCTGTCGCAACAATGACCTGCAGTGATTATGGTGCCGTGCACTGGCATGGTGCTACTAGTGTCCAGCCCATCGGACTGTGTCTTGCTCTTCACCACTATCTATCGCCGCAGACGCCATGGCACATCGTGCCGTCATCCACTCGCATTCCGTCTTCTTCTACCAACCATGCCATTGACGTCCTTCACCTTCACCCTCACTGTGGCACCTTCACCTCCACCATGAATGCCACTCCCTGTGATGACATGGCACTCTGGGAACCGTTCCTCACAACCGCACCTTTTATCCCCTTCACACCATTCCCTTCACCATCCCACTCCCATGCTCATCCTCATCCCCATCCTTATCATCTCCCCTCGGCCCAGGTACTACGTGGGGGTGGGGTACCACGTCCAGCCTTATCATGCGGTGCAGAGCGATGCTGCTGTCTATCACATGGCACATCCTGCCTGTCATCCACTCTCGTCCCATCCCCTTCTCACAACCATGCGATTGACTCCCTTCACCTTCACCTACTCTGCACCACTTCCTGTGGGGCCATGGCACCCTTGGAAGACATGTCATCCCCTTCACCATTTCCTTCACCATACCCGCTCCCATCCCCATCCCCATCATCCTCCTCACCACCAGGTACCACGTGGGGGTGCGGTACACGGGGGGAATGCGCATGCTGCTGGAAGTGCCGGTGGACGTGAGCATGGGGCTGTCCGCCATCCCGCTCACCGTGCCCATCCCCGTGGGCGTGCGCAACTTTGACGTGGACGCGGAGGTGTGGGTGCGCCTGAAGCTGATCCCCGTGGAGCCGTGGGTGGGCGCGCTCACCTGGGCCTTCGTCTCCATGCCCAAGGTCAAGCTCACGCTCGCGCCCTTCCGCGTCGTCAACCTCATGTGTAAGTGCTGCGGGCCTTGGGGGGAGCGGGGCTGTGGAAAGGTGGTGGGTGGGTGACGAGTGGGTGATTCACATGGAGGCATGATGTTCACTGTATGGTCCTCTATCTTCCGCTGAGGATGTATGCCCATGCGGTTGTGAGGGGAAATGTGACGTGTGAATAACCTCTTTCATGCTTCTTTGACTCGTGCCTTTCTCCTGTGCGCATGTGCCATCCCTGCTGTTGCCATCGGGGCACCCATGCGTCCACACATCTCCCTGTGATGACTTCGCCATCGCCATCACCACCAGCTATTCCATTCCTCTCAAGGTGAGCCGCCAAACGGGCAGCCCTCCAAACATTTCACGCGAGCAGGCCAAATCGTCTGTTGGATTCGTTAACTGCTGCCTGCTTGCTCGCTCTCTCATCTGCTACCTGTGCTGCACTCCATCTATGCACCTGCTGCTGCCTCCCGTTCCTCTTGTACTCGTTGTCCCATATCCCATCTGCCACCCACACAACCATCTCCCCATCTCTGTCCACTCTTCCGTTGCTCTTTCCCCTCCCCGTCCCCTCTCCCCTTCCCCTTATCCCCCCAGGTACCTGCAGGCGCTGCTAACGGAGGAGCTGCCGGCGCGCTTCCTGCGGCCCAACAGCAAGGAGGTGGACCTCCTCAAGGACCGCCCGCTGCCGCCCGACCCCTCCCAGCGCGAGTTCCGCGAGGGGCAGGTGGCAGGCGGCACTCTGGGCTTCGCTGGGGAGCTGCAGGTGACAGTCATTGCCGCCCAGCGCGTCATCAACCTGCCCCTCGGTACGACCTCATCTGTCATGGTGTGGAATCACCCGTTTGTGGACTGCTCGTTACAAGCACACTCGGTGAAGTGGTGAGGCGGGAGTGAACGGGTCGTGTCTTCCCCTCACCCCCCGTGCTCCCCCCTCTCCCTCAGGTGACAGCGATCCCTACGTGGTGTTGGAGTTGGGGCAGCAGGTGGCGCGCAGCAAGCGCAACAGCGAGACGTCGCTGGTGGGGCCGGCGGGGTACCCCATATGGAACCAGGACTTCGTGCTGCTCGTGCTCGACCCAACCCTACAGCGCCTCTCCGTCACGCTCCGCGGGTCGCTCGGCCTCTTCTACGTTGACTTTGGGCGCGGCTCGGTGAGGAGAGGAGGGGAGGGGCACATGGGAGGGGCGGAAGAGTGAGGGGAGGGGACGGTGAAGAGGGCAGGGCCCGTTGAGGGAAGGGGGGACGTTAAAACGGGCAGGTGACGCTAGCAAGTGCTGGTCGTGCTCCACCCTCCCTGCACCACCTCTTGGTCAAGCTCCGGGGTCTCTGGCGTTCTTCTACGTGGACTTTGGGCACGGCTTGGTGAGGGGGAAGGGGGCACAGTGAGGCGGGAACAGAGCACGGTGAGGCGGGAACAGAGCACGGTGAGGCGGGAACAGAGCACGGTGAGGCGGGAACAGAGCACGGTGAGGGGGCAGGGGGCACTTTTAGGGGGGCGGGGGACGGTAAGGAGTATGCATGGAGTGAGTCGTTGCAAGTGAACCTTCTGACTTTCCTGTTCAAAGCCACATGTGCTGCCCCTCTCTCCTGCCCCTCCGCTGTCCCACCGCAGGTGCGCCTGGGCTCCCTGCACGACACGCTGCCAACACACGTGTGGGCTCCGCTGCACAACCCCTCCTCCCTCTCACTCTTCTGTGCCCTCTCTCCTCGATCTCGCCTCTCGTCCACACTGCCCTCCTGTTTCTCGCCCATTGCAGGTGCGCCTGGACGCGCTACAGGACACGGTACCAACGGACGTGTGGGTGCCGATGCGCCTGCGCCTGCCGGTGGGGCAGAAGGCGTGTGGGCGGGTGAAGATGCGCCTCACGTACAAGGCGTTCGTGGCGGAGGACGACCACCAGGACGTCGAGACGTTCGACCAGCCCTACAGCGAGGCTGAGAGCGACGGGGAGGGCGCGGATGCGCTCGCTACAATTTCTCGCCTCCGGCGGTTTGTTGCTGACGTGGCGGACTCTGCTGCTCCGCCGGAGCTGATGAGGATCCTGGAGAATGTGAGGGTGGGCGAGATCCCACGTGTCGTTGACCTGGAGCGACTCAGTAGTGACGTGGCGAAGCTGTCTGACCTGGCACGTGCGCTCGAGGTGGCGCTGTTCAAGGACGTCAACCGATTGGCGGAGCTCCCGAGGCTGTCGGATCTTCCCAAGATGAAGGAGTTCTCCGTGCTTGCTGAGCTGGCGAGTATCCGCGCTGACATCGAACGGCTGGCGCAGGCGGCCCGTGCGCTGGAGCTGGGCGCTGAGCTGGAGAAGCGCGTGAAGGTGGATCTGTCGCGGATCGATCTGGACCTGTCGTCCGTTGATCTGCCCAAGTGGGACGAGTGGATGGCTGTGCCGCGCCGAGCCCTGCCCCAGCCCAAGGACCTGGTGGAGCGCTACCGCCTGCTGCTGCCCGACGCTGAGTCCCGGCGCCGCCAGCGCGAGCGAGAGGCGCGTGCGGAGGGCGGGGAGGAGGGGCGTGACGATGATGGTGATGATCCGGATGGTGGGACCGGAGGGGTGAGGCAGAGGGGAGGTTGGTGGAGAGGTGGGTGGAATGGGAAACGTGGGGAAGGAGGGCGGAGGAACGAGGGAAATGGAAGGGGAGGGGCAGGAGGGAAGAGGGAGCGGACGGGTGTTTCAGGGGTGGTGAGACGAGGCATGAAGTTGTGGCGAGGGGAGAGTGGAAGAGAGGGAGCGGAGGAGGGGAAGCGGGACAGAGTGGATGGAGGAGAGGGAGTGAGAGACGGGAAGGAAGGAGGAGGAGGGGGAGACGGGAAGGAAGGAGGAGAAGGAGGGGGAGAAGCAGGAGGAGGGGAGTGGGCATCAGGGGGGAGGAAGAAGATACGAAGGGTGACGCCAGCAGTGGTGGCGGAGGGACGGGGCAAGAGTGCCGTGGTGAGGAGAGGGGCAGAGGGGCAGCGGGCGGAAGGGGTGGAGGGGGCGTTTGAGTGGAGGGAGGCGCTTCAGGTGTTTGAGGACGTGTGGGGCATGATGGACGGTTCCCCCTCCATGCAGCCGGGGTCACTCTCGGGCAGACAGAGCACCTCCGTGCCGGATGCCCCAGTGTGGCGTGGGAGGGCGCGCTCAGATGCCCTAGCAGGCCAGTTGAGAGCGGATGCGGAGCAGGAGGGAGGGGTTGGAGAGGGGCGATATGGGAATGGGAGGGCGGGGATGAGTGAGGAGAGGTTTGAGAGGGTTGAGGGTGAGGGGGGAGGGAAGGTGGAGGGAGACAGGGGGGTCAATGGGAATGGCAGAGTGGCAGAAGGAATAGTCACTGCTGATGTGGATGAGGAGGGTGCCAGCATGGCAGCACATGCAGCTGAGTCAGCAGCGGCGGCCATGGCAGGACGAGGCAAGGGGTGGATCTCGCCCTCCCTGCAGTCTGCTGGTGGTGGGGCGAGTGGTGGGCGCGGTGTGGGGCATAGGGATGGTGACAGGGGGGGGGATGGGGATGAGCAAAATGCAGGAGGGAAAAGTGGGAGTGGGGCAGTAGCAGGGGTGGAGGGGCGAGGGGTGGAGGAGGAGAAGGGGGCGAGGGGTGGAGGTTCAACAAGGGGAGAGAGGAGGTGGTGGGAGGTGTGGAGGTGAGAGGTGAGGGATGAGAAGGGAGGAGGAGAACTAGGGAAGGGGAAAGAGGGTTGGGGAGGCGGTGAGATTGATGTAGGAGATGCAAGTGAGGCTGTAGGATGAAGGGAGGATGATCTGCGCTCAGCTAGACGACACGGTGTGGTTGATGGTGGGGAGTAGAGGGTTCAGAGTGAGAGCAGGGGGGAAGAACGTTGAGGTGGTTGGGAAGGAAAGGCTTGAGTTTGGAAGTGGGGAGAGGGGGGTGGCAAGGGAAGGGGAGATTGGAGGGGGAGGAGGTGGAGGCGGCTGTGGTGGTCTCGGTGTGGCATCAGGGCTCAGTTGATCATGGTGTAGCTGGTGGCACCTGGTGGCGGATGCAGAGAATGTACCGTACAAGTCTTGAAGGTGTGTGTATAGGTGGCTCCTATTTATGTAGGATTATGAATTATTCCCATGTGTTGTGCCACATGGTTGCAGTACTAGGTGTCCTATCAATGCATGAGGTGTCCAAAGTGTTAAATAAGGTTTTGTTGTAGGAGCAATGTGAATTTTAGAAACATGGCATGCTATGCTGAGGTATGGTGTGATACTGCCACAAGGCACTATAGCGAAAGAATGGTAGAAGGACGGCAGCACTATGCATGCATGGACCCAAGTCGTACGCAATGTGTGCTTTTTGTACGCCCTCGGCATAAGATGTAATAGTCGGCTATTAGGATCAAGGTGTGATGGAAATGAAACGATGTAGCGATAGTGAAACCTTCTCCCCCGCTACTTTCAGCTAATTCTTTTTATCGCAGCATTTTAAAGCATGGTCAATCTTTCCGACCAGGCCGCACCACAGGCATCAAAGATAGTGGTGGTGGGCGTAGTGCATGCATGGTTGATCGTCCCATCCAGTCAAGTTCGAAGGCAATTCGAGGACGACTTTTACCTCAGCCGAGCCAACCGCATTTTATGCTGAAATATATGACGACTCCGATTGTAAGCGATTTGAAATACGGTAGCAGGTGGCTGCGTGCCTTCTCAAACCAACGCTGAAGCAAGTCGGCCCAAACCAGAGGTCATCGAAGGCGGCAGAATGCTGGAGAACATTTCCGAGATAGGAGACGACGCGTTTGACGAGACTCCTCCGGTTTCCCAATCCGTGAATCATCGTCAAAATTCATGCGGAAATGCTGCTCTTGGTGAGCTTTGCACTACGGATTCAGCTTATCACGAGGCTGACGGAGTGGAACGACGGAGTGATGGAGCGGACCTGTTCCGCGTGGTGATCGTTGGTGCGGGCCCAGCAGGTCTAGTTCTAGCGAATCACCTGCTGACACGTGGCGGTGGTAGGTTCCACGTAAGTGTGGTGGAGAAGAGCGAGGACCCGCGAAAGAAGGTGGAGGAGGCGGTGGAGGTCGCGAGGAGGTGAGCTGATCGCATTGGGGAGGTGAGCTGATCGCATTGGGGAGGTGAGCTGATCGCATTGGGGAGGTGAGCTGATCGCATTGGGGAGGTGAGCTGATCGCATTGGGGGGAGTGGCAGGGTGTAGGGAGGGCGTTGGGCAAGGAGTGGGGGAATGTGGGGTGGGTGAGGGGGAGAAGGAGGGGGGTGGGAGAAGGAGGGGGGTGGGGGAAGGAGGGGGGTGGGGGAAGGAGGGGGGTGGGGGAAGGAAGGGGGTGGGGAAAGGAGGGGGGTGGGGGAAGGAGGGGGGTGTTGGAAGGAGGGGGGTGGGGGAAGGAGGGGGGTGGGGGAAGGAGGGGGGTGGGGGAAGAGGGGGATGGCGGGATGAGAGCGAAGAGGTGGAGTGCGGGGTATGGTTGGCTGATATCATGATGGTACGTACCAACGAAAGCGATCAGGGATTATCAGTCGCGTACCCATCACTCTGTCCCATCGTTTTCCCTCCTATCCCCTTCTCCCACCTCTCATGTGCACATCGATTCTCTCCCTTGCATCTCCACCGTAGATATTCCATCGGACTCAACATCCGAGCGTTTCGATGCCTGGATGCGGTCCCTGGGCTGCTGAAGAAGGTGCGTAGCAGTAGAGTGGGTCACGCAAGAAGACCCCACGTGCGTTTAATGAGCGTCGGTGCCATTAAATCCCACCGCGCCTTAACGAATGAAATGCTGCCTCCCCCTGGGCCGGGATACGCTTCCAATCGCCTCAAGTGGGAAGCAAAGGACAAGGCAGAGGGGCTTCAAGTCCACTCCATAGTCCATACTATGCATTCAGCCGCTTTCTGCGGGCACTGTTACTCCTCCTTGTAATTCCCCACGAACAATTGTTGTACCTGGCACAGTGAGTTTCCCCTTCGTGCTGCGCGTGGCTCTGTCGTGCTTCACTTCGCCCGCCACCCACCAGGTGCTCGCCTGCATGGTTCTCGTGCGCCAGCTGTGCATTGCCATCACTGCCAAGCCCTCAATCATCCCTTTCAGTCACAAGGTGAGCCCACTCGTTTCCCATGCATGCCCCTTGCAAGGCAGCCATTTGACCCTGTTCCTCACCTTTCATCCCCTTCCTTCCCTTTCCATGACCAATCATGTGCTACCAGCGCCCTCCATCAAGCATTTCTCCGTCCGTCCGTCCTCCCGCCTCCCCCCTGCAGGACCCGCCAGTGCTGCTGGCTGACCGCACGGCCCTCTGCTGTGCGCTGCTGCACGCGCTGGTGGGGGAGGATGCGCACGCACGGGTCCCAGTTGGGGACAACGGGGAGCATGAGGGGGAGGGGAATGGGGAACGGCCAGTGGGGGATAACGGGGAGAGTAACGAGGAGATGTGTGCAAGGGGAGAAAGGGAGAGTGTGGCAGGCAAGGCCGGCTCAGGAGGTAGTGCGGTGACGCACGGCGACAGGTCATCACGGGGAAAGCTGGAGCTGTACTTCAACACGCGGTGCACAGGCATTGACATCACGGCACACACTGTGACCCTTCAGCCCGCCCCGGGGGGGAATGCTGCGCTCCGCACCCGCCTGCAGCCCGCTCACTCGGTAGAGCGGCGAGCAGTGGTGGCAGGGGCAGGGGCAGTGGCAGGTGCATCAGCAGCAGGCGTGGCGAGCAGTGAGTGTGGAGGTCCAGCTGGTGCTGGTGTGGCCGCCCAGCGCCTGCAGCAGCACTCGCCAGCCCAGCTCTGCTATGACCTCCTGGTACTCACAGCTCTGCTATGACCTCCTGGTACTCACAGCTCTGCTATGACCTCCTGGTACTCACAGCTCTGCTATGACCTCCTGGTTCCTCCACCGCACCCTATCCTGCCTCTTCCCCCACCCTACCCTACCCTGCGTGTGCAAGCTCACGTGCTTAATTGCGCCAAGATATTTTTTTGTGGTTCGAGTGTCCTTCATGTCAGGTGTCATATCATATCAGATCATATCAGAGCATATCATGTCATATTGTATCATTCCATCCCATCCAATCTCATCACATCCCATCCCATCCCATCCCATCCCATCCCATCCCATCCCATCCCATCCCATCCCATCCCATCCCATCCCATCCCATCCCATCCCATGCCATGCCATGCCATGCCATGCCAATGACAGGTGGGGGCGGATGGGGTGCGCTCTGTGGTGAGGAGTGCGCTGGTGAGCAGCGCGGGGGGGTTCGCCATGGAGGCACTGCCGCTCTTTGGGGAGTGGGCCGTCGCCTCCATCCCTGCCCCCACCTCCCTTCCCCCCAACTCCATGATTCTTGTTCAAAGGGTAAGTGGTAACCATGTAACTGCATGCCTTGAAGGCGCCCCAGGATGTAACGAGGCACAGTGGTGGCGTGATAGGTGTGGGGGTGGCTGCCACGCACTCATGGAGTCTCACAGACAGCATAGCACCAGCCATTCGCACAGACGGCACCCTGTGGTGTGTTGTGCTGCCTGCATCCCCCGTCCCACACCCTTCGCAACGCAAGAGGAGGGTGTGGGATATCGGTGGTGGGGCTCCCTACTCAACCCCCGCCTCCCTCCGATCCTCCCCACCCCACTGATACAGGTTCCCCGCACTCCTGGCATATCGGTGGTGGGGCTCCCAGCACAGGGCGGCAAACTTTGTCTGTTGTGGGCATGGTCGGCCTTGGCACGGCCTGCTGAGTGGTTGGCGCTGAGAAGCAATGATGAGGACAGGGAGGACCATGCGGTGGGAAGGGCGGACGCAAGGAAGGAGGGGGAAAGCGTGGGTAGCAAGCAGGGTGTGACTGGTGCAATGGAGAATGCAGCGGGTGAAGGGAGTGTGGCTGAAGGGAGTGTGGCTGAAGGGAGTGTGGGTGGAGGCGGTGAAAATGCAGACAGGGTTGTTGAAGCAGATGGGGAGGGGGAGGAAGGGAGGGAGAGGGGAGACGATAAGGGGGGGCAGGTGAAGCAGGAGGGCAGGAGAAGCAGAGCGAGGGCGTACGTTGAAGAGAGAGTGCCATGGCTGGGAATGACAGAGGACGGGGCGGAGACACTGTTGAACCAGCAGCCACGCACAAGCATGCGGGTGAGACGTGTGCTGTGAGGGTCGAATGAGGGTGAGACGTGTGCTGTGAGAGTCAAGTGGCCCTTCTCTTTCTCTTTCTCTTTCTCTTCCCCGTTGCTCTGTGTTCCGCCCCTTGCTGCCACCCCTCTCATCTCTGGGCCTCCCATTTGAATACCAAGCCCTCACTGCCGCCCCTTCCTGCTCTTCAATTCCAAGCTTCCCTTCACCCGTCTCCCTTCAGCTCTTGTCCTCCACATATATCCCCTGCCTCTCTCCCTTCCTAACCTCCTCCCTCCCTGCCCCCATTCCCACTCCTCCCCACCCCATACCTGCCCCCCTCCCATCTGACCCCCTGCCTTCCCCCATTCCCGCACCACACCTTTCCGCAATCAGATCAAGTGCTGGCAGTATCACGACTCCGCCGCCCAAATTGCTCTAATCGGCGACTCAGCACATGCCATGTGTCCATCCCTGGGCCAGGGCTGCAACGCCGCCATCACCGATGCTACAGTGCTTGCCCGGCTGCTTCTGGGGGAGGTGGTATGTAGGAATACCCTGATTCCCCCATACACTAAGGAGACCACCTGGAAGCTGCTTCAGAGCGTTTGGGGCAGGGAAGGAAATGAAGGGGAGGATCCAGAGAGAGAGGTGCAGTGCGGCACTAAGGGGTCTTGTGCTCTGAGCAGGTTGGCTTGGTCCTTCACTCGTTTCGTCCAGAAGTTATCAAGGCTGACAGGTTTGGGGGGCAGAGTGGCACCAGAGAGAAGAGCGGGCGTGGGGGCAGAGGAGGGGAGGAGGGAGGCAGACAGAGCAATGTGTGCAGCATCACCGCAGCACTTGCGCACACACCTTGCGGTGATGCTCGCTCGCTACTCTGCTCTTCAGGTGAGAGCCATGGCACTGTGCCCGCATAGCAAAGAGGGTTGAAAGAAGCACTGACGGTGTCGGATGCAGCATGGCTACTTGGCAAGGCGCTAGTGTTTCCACCCACTGCTGCGCCCTTGATCCCACCCTGGTCCACCCGCCACCCACTTGTGTGCTTCAGGTGCCGGAAGGCCATGCCCTGGTTGACCTCTCAGATGCTGGTGCACCCATCAGCAACCTCTACTCTGTGAGTGACACACTGCACCAAATGCCATGTTGATCCATGTGAGCATGTTGCTCATGTACCATGGCACGCACACGTCCTTTTTCACGCATTTTGAATTGTCTTTCTATTGTGGAGCAGGCTCTCTCAGCGATTGACATGATTCTTCGTTCCATCCTTTCCAAGTTGCTGCCTGCATGGGTTGTGTCACCTCCCATCCAAGTCCTCTGCTCCAACACCACACTCTCCTATTCAACCATACTCGCTCGCTTCCATGGCTGGGTAACAACCATAACTAGTTCCAACACAAGTCTCAGACAGCAGTGGTATACAAGCCAGAGAAATAGCTTGCTCGACAGATCTTAATTTATTTATGCGCACGTCACAACACAATGCCGTCTATTAAAGATGCAGGCATGAACGGCATATGGCACAATTGCCCCTGAAGAATGCTCAAGCGCACGCAGTTAATATGTCCTATATGAATCGGGTTCAGTTGAGGCCAATGTTGGGATCCGAGGCAATGGAAACAAGCAGCACCTGTGTGGAATGTCGTGCGGCCTTGAAGATGGTGAGCTGAGCATGCTCACCCAGCGCACGGCAAAGATGTGCACCTTGGGGTCCGCCCACCCCACGCTCACCTGCAGCCCACTGGGCGCCCAGCATGAGGAGATGCAGACTGCTAGGCAAAATGGGTTGGCATCTGCACGCTATCCAACCAAGTCAATACCTTATGATTATGTTTATGTTCATTGAAGTGTAACAGAATAAATGTACAGAAAGAGTTATGAGACCTTGCTATGGAAAGGGGCTGTGCCTGATGTAGAGTGCGCAATAAGGCAACAAGGGAGTACACAAAAAAATGCAGTGACTATCATAACGCAGAATTGAGTGAACTAGCATTTTATTCACCTGTTATCGCCCCATTTGGTGAAGCACGCTATATCCCTCCTAGTGGCAGACACATTCCTGGGGGCGCATGGTGCCTTGCTAGCAATAGCTCACGGCTGGAGAGGTGTTTCCGACGTTATCTCGCCAGCGCATAACCGCAAATCAGTTGCCGCCCGCACTCATCCGCGCGTCTGCGCTGCTTGCTCCGGCCGGACCAGCGCACGCGGGCCATCCGCCTCTTCCCCCGTCTTCCCGACGCGAGCCGTGCGACTTTCCCTTCCCCAAACCACATCCGCGCCATGGCGTCCGATAAGAAAGGTACCGCGGCGCGCTGCCCTCTGACGATATTTTGCGCGGCGTGGATCCGAGCTCCGCGCGCAGCGTAACAAGGCAGTGCGGCAGAATTCCGTCCGCAGCTTTCCGCCGTTAGCCTCCCAGCCCGTTGCGCTCGCGAGCACATTGTTCCTCGAATCACGTCCTCTGCTCTATCCAACCCGTCATACCCACTCCCACCATACCCCCCGCCATACCCACTCCCGCCCATTTCCCCCCGCCTCCGTGCGAAGGCCGCCTATCCGCCATTCTCACTCAACTGTATCTCTGCTCCACTCTCCACGCCTCCCCCCTTGTCCGCCTTCTCCATCTCTTCATCCACTCCTTTCTGCGGCTGATTGCACTTGTCCGTTTTCATCCCTCGCTCATGTCCCCCCTGCGTTCTTCACCTCGCCACACCACACCATTCTCGCGTCTCTCTTCCTTCTGCTACCTCTCGAATGTGCCCTCACCTTATGTCTTCTTCGTTCCGTGTTTTTCCCTCCCAATCTCACGCGCACCTCGCAGGCAGCACTGGTTGGTTTGGGGATATGGTCTCGACAATAAGTGACTTTGGCAAGCAGACAACAGACATGGCTTCTAACCTCTACACTCATAGTATGCCCTCGCATGACTTGGTTTCTGAAACTTCAGTTGTAGTTCGACACGTCACAAGGGAATAAGCAATTCCAAGCACGTATGCGATGGCATGTGGCCATGGCACGCATGTACGATTTTGGTGCGAATTTAAGTTGCACCCTGCTGGCTCCTGATGTGCTCTCACTCACATACTCTCGTATTCCTAATGGTAACCTCCCGTCCTTCGCTGGCAGTGGGCAAGCTGGGCAACCCAACGCTCCTAACGCACGCAGGAGCAGAGGCGCTGTGGCGGGAGCACTTTTGGGCGCCACCGGATGAGAAGCTGCTGTTCTACTTCTACTGCAACCTGCTCACCAGCGTGGGGCCCGTTCCCGGCACTCTAGTCGTCACCACTGCGTCCATTGGCTTCCTCTCAGACGCCGAGTTTGAGTACAACCCGTTGGGCCGCCCCACAGAGATTGCCAAGAGCCACTTTGTGGTGAGCCAGTTTGCTTGTTTGTATCACGGCCTCGGATTTAGTGGAACACATTCCAACACTCTTCTCCACTCCCCTCCTTCCGAACTCCTTTCCACCCCACCTGTACAATTGTCTGTCTTAGGCCACCATTCCGCTGCACAAGATAACAGGAGTGGCGCCTGAAGCCAACCCATCTGATGAGAATGAGAAGTACATTCGGCTCACTACAGAAGACGACTTCTCATTCTGGTTCACTGGCTTCATCGCATATGATCAAGCCTTTGCAACTGTCCTTTCTGCTGTGGTCAGTACTTCTCATCCTCTTGAAGCCTTGTCATAGAGCAGGGATGTGGCACAATGTCCATATGGTCAGTGGTGAACTAGCCATGTGAAAATGGGGTAAAGCATTGCAATGTTTTTAGTGCTGTATGTGCCACATGACCTAGTTCTAGTCCTCGTAACGCCTGTAGTTTTGTGAACACTGTACATCACCTTTATTTGTGGGTGAAAGGGTAAAAAACACCACAATCTGAAAATGACCATACACGTTTAATACATTGGGAGGGATTTCTAAAACAGATCCTAACCTTCACAAGCAGTGAAAGCCTACAGTAGCAACTCGTTTATGTAGGCGCCTGCACTCGCAGATTGCCACTGCCAAACTTTGCTGTCCACTCTTCGTAAGCTTTCAACTCGCTGTTAGCCACGGAAGGGTTGACCCTTTGTAATGCATCTCGAAAGTCCTGGAAGTGCAAACATCACACATGAAATCGCTTCATCTAAGGCCCAAACAATATGTAACTTACAAGACCTCACCTGAAGACCAACAGGTCTGATATCATCCTTTTCCATCTTGTCTATCCGACCAGAGAGAGCAGCCTCCCTCAACGGCATCATGGCTGCTTCTCGGACAAGATGCCGCATGTCTGACCCTGAGTATCCTGCACAAGAAATTTCCGAATCACAACCAGACCCTGCATGACTGGTTGAAAAAATGCCTGTTGGTAAGCTAACGAACCTTCAGCTTCTTCAGCGATTGCGTCCATATCTGCCTCCGATAGTGCCAGAATGTCGTCCTTTTGAAGGAGGTTCCGAACAATCTCCTTTCTTGCAGCTGTGCAGGAGAAGAAAGAAACACCAATAAGACATTGGAAAATAAACCTGTGCCAATCAAAGCGCCGGAACTAACCTCTGTTTGGAAGAGGTATGTAGAGCCGGTTGGGCATACGCCGCCTTGCTGCTTCATCGAGTTCTTGCGGACGATTTGTTGCTCCTGAATTGGAACGATTAGAAAAAAAATCAGCGAGAGTTAGTAGTTTCAAAGATTTGGGACCTAAACTGCACCCCAAGACGCAGAAACAAGCCATCACTATTATACCAATGCCAGCACTCATAGTGATGCATTTACAGAATGCTCAAGTTCGAACAGGATCAATGAGAACGAGGCCGTGGAGGAAAAAAGAAATAAGAAGAAGAAACAAAGAGGAATGAGAAATTGAATCACACGGGGCAACGGGTTCCGCTACTAACCAATAACTAGAACGTGTCGATCTCCTGTCCCACATCCCTCCATTTCAATGAGAAATTGCGTCTTCAGCCGGCGGCTGGACTCATGCTCGCCCTCTGATTGACGCTGGCCACAAGGGAAGATACAAAACGAGACTTGACTATAAGTTCCAGAGCACCAGATGATTACTGGCAATAGGTCGAAATATCCTTACCTGTGATAAAAGAGAATCGATTTCATCAATGAAAATGACAGCAGGCTCCTTGCAGCTCGCCACACCAAAAAGGGCTCGCACAAGTTTCTCTCCCTCACCAATCTGCCACATGAGGGAAACGCAATTCACATAAGCCATGTCATACACCAGCTTTTCTTTTCTCAGGCAAATATGCAAGCAAGGAGCCTTTTCCTCAGGCGAATATGCAGGTATGGAACCTTACTTACCCATTTACTTGTCAAGGAACTGGCAGATATCGAGAAAAATGTTGCATTTGTTTCACCAGCAATGGCCTTACCAATCAAGGTCTTGCCTGTTCCCTGCCAAGTTGAGAAATACGTCAAGACTTGTCAGGTCCAATTAGTGTGTATTACCCCACTGCCATGTGCTCAATGTCCGAGCTACTCACCGGTGGTCCATACAGCAAAAGCCCAGAAACTGGTGCTCTGGTGCCTCGAAATAAGTCAGGTCGCTTGAGTGGCCAGATTATAACCTCAGTCACGCACTGCTTTGCATGCTCCAAGCCGGCTGCAGTTTCACGAAAAAATAAAATAAAAAACATTGTTAGCACACAACATAGTCAATGAAATCAAACAGCCATGTCACTCACCAATATCACTCCATCGCGTCTTTGTATCTTGTGTCATGATTTCATTGCAAATCTGCTCTATCAGGCGAGGTTCGATGTTCTTAAGCACATCAGGCAGTTGCCCGTCCTCGTCCTGTAGCTCTTCCAAACTGCACAACCCGAGCATCAGCATAAGACCAAGCATAAGCATAAGACTGTTGAAGCGTGATTGCAACGACTAAAGTGAAAACTGACCATTTCAAGGTTGACTCGTTCATCCCTGGGTCCTTGGGCGCTGCTTGACGTGGCAAAGTGCCGCCATTTGCTTGTTGTGATGTCCGAACAGGAGAAACAAAGCCGCTACGAACTCCTCTCTTCGACCCTGCGGGATCATGTACACCATGCTGCCTGGACGGTGCCTTTGAAGACCTGGCTGACGCATTGTCGATACCTTTCTTTAAGGAGCTCATGGCCTGTTTGAGAGGAAAACGGTGGTGTTACAAGAGCAGTACACGTTGCCACAGAAGCGAACTATTGAAGTTACGCATACCAGCTTCTCGCTTGCTGTAAGAAACGATGACTTGGGCCTTGGTTCAACATCTTCAACATCATCATCCGCCAGCAAGCGGGTTTGCTTGTAACGTTTATTGGCCCGCTGTGGCTTCTTCCAGGAAACATCTTCGTCCGAATCTTCTGAAACGTCGTCATCCAACAAAATAGGCCGTTGCTGATTACGTTCCTGCTGGTAGGATGGTCGCCTTGGAAGTGGAGGCAATGAGCTTTTCGGTTGAGCGTTAAGATTCGATGCATAGCTATTGCGAGTCTTTGCTGAAGGCGGTGCATTCATTCCAGAGGTAAGCTTATCTCGCGGCGTTGCTTCAGTCTGTCCAGGGGAGGCCACAAACGGCAGCTGCTGGACACCAGCAACTGCAACAGCACCTCCTGAAATGGCAGTACGCGCATTGTTGCTTGGCTCCTGAAGTGGACAGTAACGAAAAGATGTAAGAAGATATACGTAACGAGCGAGCAAGAAACACATTGATGAGTAAAACGAGAACACAGACCTCGTCATCCTCCCACACAAGCTCATCGTACGGCGAAAGTCTTGTCAGCTTGCTCAGAGAAATGCCGCGCGATGGGCCGTTCAAACTGATTTTAAGATCAGCTTGGCCAGCTTGAAGCAGAATATCGCTGCACAGGTAACTCCCATGAGTTTGCCTCAAACTCAGAAAGGAAGGCTATGCTATATCTATTAACGAAAAAACAGCCGACCTGTCGTCTGAAGATCGGCAAGAGGACAGATGCTGATGCACGTCCGATCGAATGCCACTGAAGTGAGATGCGCTTGACAAATCGCCATCGAAGGCACGCACAGAACCCAAGAGTTCAAGGGATCGGCTGCGGGGGCACTGCAATTCTGACGCGTCACCAGAAGACCGCAGCTCGGAAAGAAGGGAACATAGTCTTGAGAGGCTTGAGCGCAATGGAGATTCACTAGCCATTGCCGCGAATGGTGAAGTGGTGTACTTCTGCTGGTCTCAACTATGTCCACTGATGCTGCTGAGGAGGCTTCAGAGACACGCACCATCAAAGTGGAGGCAGAATGGATGTGGATTGAGGGACGGGTTGATATTTTGAATTCAAATGGCTACACCATTTTCTTGGAGTTGGTAATTTCCGTATATATCCTGTAACAAATTCTGTTGCGAAACTCAATTTGTTTTCGCTGATTCTGACTGTTGCCTCCGTCTCGTGGTGGTCGTCATGAAGCACCTCGTCTCTTTTCCTCTCCTCAAAGGTTCCTCGCTTCCTCTTCCCCTTTCCTTTTCCCAGTTTGTCCCAAGGGGTTTCTCTAGGGCTCTTGATTGGCTGCAGGCAGCCTACTAGGAAGCCATGGTCCACGTCGCCTTCTATCGCAACTGTGAGTGATAGAACTCTGACATGGTTAACTTTAGATTTTCGCTAACGGATTGGATCTGGTGTTACGATAGTGCGAACTGCGGCGCGTACACATAGTTTAACAACACACCCTAATTCTTGACAGCTCTTGTTATTTTTGGAGATGATTTTTAATCGGGTACGATTTTCGCAATAGTTTCCTGCTACTAGTGGGCTTAGTATCTGCCTGCATGGCGTGGAACGGCATCTCCTACGAGTATACTTTTACCCCACGTTTACCTTACCAGAAAGCCAGGATTAGGTGAACGAGACTTGATGGTTGCGGTAATGCTGGACTGCAACCGACCTACTGTCATTGTTTGGTCGAGCAGTGCTTGACCCGATTGTCTTCGTTTGTTTCTGCAGATGGCAAGACCTTTAAGAGGCCTCGTCGTCCGTTCGAGAAGGAACGGCTCGACGCGGAGCTGAAGCTGCTCGGAGAGTATGGTCTGCGTTGCAAGCGTGAGCTGTGGCGCGTGCAGTACGTTCTCTCGCGTATTCGTAAGAACGCTCGCGAGCTGCTCACGCTCGACGAGAAGAGCACTCGCCGCATCTTCGAGGGTGAGGCTCTGCTGCGCCGCATGCACCGCTACGGTCTGCTGGAGGAGAGCCAGAACAAGCTCGATTACGTGCTCGCCCTGACTGTCGAGAACTTCCTGGAGCGTCGCCTTCAGACCCTCGTCTTCAAGACCGGCCTCGCCAAGTCCATCCATCACGCCCGTGTCCTCATCCGCCAGCGCCACATCCGGTACGCATTTGCCTCCTGGCCCAGGTCGAGCGTGTTTCTTTGCGGCTTTCTGTATCATAAGTTGAAAGTCGTGCTTATTTGTGAGGATGTTCTCGCTAGATCCTTGTCCTCGAGTTCTTTAGGGCGGCTCTCAGTGTATTGCGTAAGTCTGATTCATACTGCAAACAGACAGTTCGCCAAATACCTAGTTTTGCAACTGGCGCGCTTTTTCGTGCTCCCAAGGCAAGCGCGCCCGTGTTCTCAGAAATGCATAAGCACGACTGCGTCTTCTTAAGAATCTGTACGGAATGTGCGGGGACGAGAGGTAATCAATTAGCCGGATCAAACCCCTTTCCGTATTGTTTTTCACTACCCCCCTAAGTCCACCGCTCCCATTCCATTCCCTCTGCTGTGCTCACGACGTGACTGACCCAACTTTCTTCACGAAATCACTCCCTCCCCTCTTCACAACGTGACCCTCTTTCCTCCTCAGGACTTGCTGTTCCCTGCTATTTCTAGATCCTGAAGCATTCACATGTTATTGTTCTGTCACGGTTTGGTGTGCCCTCGTGATTGTGATCTCTTCAGGGTGGGGAAGCAGATTGTGAACATTCCGTCCTTCCTCGTGCGACTCGAGAGCCAGAAGCACATCGACTTCGCTCTGACCAGCCCGTTCGGCGGTGGCAGGCCAGGCCGTGTGAAGCGCAGAAACCTCAAGGCTGCCTCCAAGAAGGGCGGTGATGATGGCGATGATGAGGAGGAAGAGTAAATGCACACTTGATGTAGGACAAGGTGTCCTTGCAGCTCAGGATATGCATAGTATTTGATGTAACATTGTGTTTCATGGCTGAAGATTCGACCATGGAATGAATGCACTAGTAACAAGGATTGCAAATTGTAATTCGTTTTTGCATGCTGTAGCAACGCCCCGAAAGCTGTGTTGGCCTGCTGGTTGACAAGCAATTAGTTTCTTGGCATGCAAATCAGAAAATAGGTTATAAGGAGGATTGTACCGATGTTCGTTGGAATTGGTCGATATCAGGTCTGTTATGACGAATCGCTTTCTTTGATCAAGTCTACAAACGAATCGGTTTTGGCTCCCGCCAAGCTCGATCAAATTCGCAACAAAAGACCGAGCAGGCTAATGAAGTGACACCGTTTCGCAGGCTTTCGTGTCGCCATGGCGACGAAATACCCTAACTTCAAGGAAGATAAAGGTGATCCCCGTCAAACCGGTTTTCCCATTTGCATCAGTGCCCTCAACGCATCGTCTCCACACTGTTTTTCCAAGTTATCCAAATCCAGATTCTCCTGTCTGCATGCTCGCCTTCTCCCCGCAAGCCCCAAGTGTGCGTCTCACGTTCTCCTTGCCCTCCCCATCGACTCCTTGCCTCGTTCGCGCCGTGTCTGCTCGCGGCGTCCACATGCGCCTTGCTCCTGCATGCGCTGCGCCGTCTCTTCTGTTCTACATCCGCAGTCTACTCTCCCCCTCCCCCTTCCTTTTCTCTTCCGCCGCATCCCTCTTCTACAACCTTCTCTATCGACCACTCTGTCCTTCCCTTTTCGTCTCTCGCGAGCCGTTCCACTCTGAAGCTTCCTTCTTCACGCCTCGTCTTCCCCTCTCTCCATTGCAATGCATAGAGGAGTGCAGGAAGTTTCTCAGCAACTACCGCGATGGGGAAGGCATCTTCAAGTACATGCGATTGCTGGTGAGTGGCTCAGACTCAACGCGTGCCTAGAAGTCTATCCATTCTGTTTCAGGCCGGAATAAGCATTTTTTTTTTAAGAATCTGGTGGCAGCACATGCACCTCCTCTCACCATGCCACCACATTCCTCTGCTACCCTTCACCACGGTCTCATCGTTTCAATCTCCGTTGCTTCTTGCGCCCTCACTCCTCGCCACTCACCTCTCTGCTCCTCCTTTCTCCATACCTGCCTCACACCCTTTGCCCTTGTCCAACATGCCTCGCCCACCCCTGTCAGCAAGACGTGGCGGATCGCAAGCTCCACGTCATCAACATCCACATGGCAGATCTCGTTGCGGTTAGCAGCACCCCTCCTCTCTTCCCACCCCCTCCCATCATCACCCCATTCCCTTTCGTTCTCTCCTTCCCTTCATTGCTCTCCGTTTCACTCTGTGACATTTGTGTATTCCCCCTGTCCATTCCTCAGGCCTCAGTCTCCCTCCCCCATACCCCATATACCTTTCACATCCACTCTGCTTTCTCCCGTCTCCTCTCCCCACCGCACACCTTGCAGTACGGGGGGGGCAGCAACGACGATCTGGTGGCGCGCATCTACAGCAACGCGCGGCGCTACATCACGCTCTTTGCCGAGGCGGCAGACGACCTCATGCCGGAGCCGTCGCTGGCAGGGGGCGGGGAGGAGAGGGAGGAGGACGTGTACGACGTGCTCATGAGGCAGCGCGCGGAGCAGCACGCGGAGAACCTCGCTCAGGGCGACGCTGCTGTGGCCGCCATCGACCCGCTCTTCCAGCTGCCCGCGCTGCTGCGCCGCCGCTTGTGAGTGCCCTGGGTGCACGCTGGCATGTGCCACATGTGTGTAGCAATCATCACGAGCAGCTATTCATGCCCATGCATGCTCGGTAGACTGACTGAACATAAACCAAACTCTCTTTATCTCTATCCCGCATGTCCTCACTCGGTGTTTCATCCACACTCCGCCCTTCCCTCCCATCCGCCCCCCCCCACAGCGACCTGCACTTGGTACCGGAGCCGAAGCGCAAGGCGCAGGCGATACGGGAGGTGGGGGCGGGGCAGATAGGGCGCCTGGTGGTGGTGAAGGGCATCGTCACACGCTGCACGGACGTGAAGCCGCTGCTGCAGGTTGCCACGTACACATGTGATGAGTGTGGCTTCGAGATCTACCAGGTGCGAGTCTGTGCCATGAAAGGCCAGCACATCCTCACGCGCGCACAGGCCATGGTGACACTGTCAGTCCATGCCTCGCTTCCACCACCACCCTGCTTCCACCACCACCCTGCTTCCACCACCACCCTGCTTCCACCACCACCCTGCTTCCACCACCACCCTGCTTCCACCACCACCCTGCTTCCACCACCACCCTGCTTCCACCACCACCCTGCTTCCACCACCACCCTGCTTCCACCACCACCCTGCTTCCACCACCACCCTGCTTCCACCACCACCCTGCTTCCACCACCACCCTGCTTCCACCACCACCCTGCTTCCACCACCACCCTGCTTCCACCACCACCCTGCTTCCACCACCACCCTGCTTCCACCACCACCCTGCTTCCACCACCACCCTGCTTCCACCACCACCCTGCTTCCACCACCACCCTGCTTCCACCACCACCCTGCTTCCACCACCACCCTGCTTCCACCACCACCCTGCTTCCACCACCACCCTGCTTCCACCACCACCCTGCTTCCACCACCACCCTGCTTCCACCACCACCCTGCTTCCACCACCACCCTGCTTCCACCACCACCCTGCTTCCACCACCACCCTGCTTCCACCACCACCCTGCTTCCACCACCACCCTGCTTCCACCACCACCCTGCTTCCACCACCACCCTGCTTCCACCACCACCCTGCTTCCACCACCACCCTGCTTCCACCACCACCCTGCTTCCACCACCACCCTGCTTCCACCACCACCCTGCTTCCACCACCACCCTGCTTCCACCACCACCCTGCTTCCACCACCACCCTGCTTCCACCACCACCCTGCTTCCACCACCACCCTGCTTCCACCACCACCCTGCTTCCACCACCACCCTGCTTCCACCACCACCCTGCTTCCACCACCACCCTGCTTCCACCACCACCCTGCTTCCACCACCACCCTGCTTCCACCACCACCCTGCTTCCACCACCACCCTGCTTCCACCACCACCCTGCTTCCACCACCACCCTGCTTCCACCACCACCCTGCTTCCACCACCACCCTGCTTCCACCACCACCCTGCTTCCACCACCACCCTGCTTCCACCACCACCCTGCTTCCACCACCACCCTGCTTCCACCACCACCCTGCTTCCACCACCACCCTGCTTCCACCACCACCCTGCTTCCACCACCACCCTGCTTCCACCACCACCCTGCTTCCACCACCACCCTGCTTCCACCACCACCCTGCTTCCACCACCACCCTGCTTCCACCACCACCCTGCTTCCACCACCACCCTGCTTCCACCACCACCCTGCTTCCACCACCACCCTGCTTCCACCACCACCCTGCTTCCACCACCACCCTGCTTCCACCACCACCCTGCTTCCACCACCACCCTGCTTCCACCACCACCCTGCTTCCACCACCACCCTGCTTCCACCACCACCCTGCTTCCACCACCACCCTGCTTCCACCACCACCCTGCTTCCACCACCACCCTGCTTCCACCACCACCCTGCTTCCACCACCACCCTGCTTCCACCACCACCCTGCTTCCACCACCACCCTGCTTCCACCACCACCCTGCTTCCACCACCACCCTGCTTCCACCACCACCCTGCTTCCACCACCACCCTGCTTCCACCACCACCCTGCTTCCACCACCACCCTGCTTCCACCACCACCCTGCTTCCACCACCACCCTGCTTCCACCACCACCCTGCTTCCACCACCACCCTGCTTCCACCACCACCCTGCTTCCACCACCACCCTGCTTCCACCACCACCCTGCTTCCACCACCACCCTGCTTCCACCACCACCCTGCTTCCACCACCACCCTGCTTCCACCACCACCCTGCTTCCACCACCACCCTGCTTCCACCACCACCCTGCTTCCACCACCACCCTGCTTCCACCACCACCCTGCTTCCACCACCACCCTGCTTCCACCACCACCCTGCTTCCACCACCACCCTGCTTCCACCACCACCCTGCTTCCACCACCACCCTGCTTCCACCACCACCCTGCTTCCACCACCACCCTGCTTCCACCACCACCCTGCTTCCACCACCACCCTGCTTCCACCACCACCCTGCTTCCACCACCACCCTGCTTCCACCACCACCCTGCTTCCACCACCACCCTGCTTCCACCACCACCCTGCTTCCACCACCACCCTGCTTCCACCACCACCCTGCTTCCACCACCACCCTGCTTCCACCACCACCCTGCTTCCACCACCACCCTGCTTCCACCACCACCCTGCTTCCACCACCACCCTGCTTCCACCACCACCCTGCTTCCACCACCACCCTGCTTCCACCACCACCCTGCTTCCACCACCACCCTGCTTCCACCACCACCCTGCTTCCACCACCACCCTGCTTCCACCACCACCCTGCTTCCACCACCACCCTGCTTCCACCACCACCCTGCTTCCACCACCACCCTGCTTCCACCACCACCCTGCTTCCACCACCACCCTGCTTCCACCACCACCCTGCTTCCACCACCACCCTGCTTCCACCACCACCCTGCTTCCACCACCACCCTGCTTCCACCACCACCCTGCTTCCACCACCACCCTGCTTCCACCACCACCCTGCTTCCACCACCACCCTGCTTCCACCACCACCCTGCTTCCACCACCACCCTGCTTCCACCACCACCCTGCTTCCACCACCACCCTGCTTCCACCACCACCCTGCTTCCACCACCACCCTGCTTCCACCACCACCCTGCTTCCACCACCACCCTGCTTCCACCACCACCCTGCTTCCACCACCACCCTGCTTCCACCACCACCCTGCTTCCACCACCACCCTGCTTCCACCACCACCCTGCTTCCACCACCACCCTGCTTCCACCACCACCCTGCTTCCACCACCACCCTGCTTCCACCACCACCCTGCTTCCACCACCACCCTGCTTCCACCACCACCCTGCTTCCACCACCACCCTGCTTCCACCACCACCCTGCTTCCACCACCACCCTGCTTCCACCACCACCCTGCTTCCACCACCACCCTGCTTCCACCACCACCCTGCTTCCACCACCACCCTGCTTCCACCACCACCCTGCTTCCACCACCACCCTGCTTCCACCACCACCCTGCTTCCACCACCACCCTGCTTCCACCACCACCCTGCTTCCACCACCACCCTGCTTCCACCACCACCCTGCTTCCACCACCACCCTGCTTCCACCACCACCCTGCTTCCACCACCACCCTGCTTCCACCACCACCCTGCTTCCACCACCACCCTGCTTCCACCACCACCCTGCTTCCACCACCACCCTGCTTCCACCACCACCCTGCTTCCACCACCACCCTGCTTCCACCACCACCCTGCTTCCACCACCACCCTGCTTCCACCACCACCCTGCTTCCACCACCACCCTGCTTCCACCACCACCCTGCTTCCACCACCACCCTGCTTCCACCACCACCCTGCTTCCACCACCACCCTGCTTCCACCACCACCCTGCTTCCACCACCACCCTGCTTCCACCACCACCCTGCTTCCACCACCACCCTGCTTCCACCACCACCCTGCTTCCACCACCACCCTGCTTCCACCACCACCCTGCTTCCACCACCACCCTGCTTCCACCACCACCCTGCTTCCACCACCACCCTGCTTCCACCACCACCCTGCTTCCACCACCACCCTGCTTCCACCACCACCCTGCTTCCACCACCACCCTGCTTCCACCACCACCCTGCTTCCACCACCACCCTGCTTCCACCACCACCCTGCTTCCACCACCACCCTGCTTCCACCACCACCCTGCTTCCACCACCACCCTGCTTCCACCACCACCCTGCTTCCACCACCACCCTGCTTCCACCACCACCCTGCTTCCACCACCACCCTGCTTCCACCACCACCCTGCTTCCACCACCACCCTGCTTCCACCACCACCCTGCTTCCACCACCACCCTGCTTCCACCACCACCCTGCTTCCACCACCACCCTGCTTCCACCACCACCCTGCTTCCACCACCACCCTGCTTCCACCACCACCCTGCTTCCACCACCACCCTGCTTCCACCACCACCCTGCTTCCACCACCACCCTGCTTCCACCACCACCCTGCTTCCACCACCACCCTGCTTCCACCACCACCCTGCTTCCACCACCACCCTGCTTCCACCACCACCCTGCTTCCACCACCACCCTGCTTCCACCACCACCCTGCTTCCACCACCACCCTGCTTCCACCACCACCCTGCTTCCACCACCACCCTGCTTCCACCACCACCCTGCTTCCACCACCACCCTGCTTCCACCACCACCCTGCTTCCACCACCACCCTGCTTCCACCACCACCCTGCTTCCACCACCACCCTGCTTCCACCACCACCCTGCTTCCACCACCACCCTGCTTCCACCACCACCCTGCTTCCACCACCACCCTGCTTCCACCACCACCCTGCTTCCACCACCACCCTGCTTCCACCACCACCCTGCTTCCACCACCACCCTGCTTCCACCACCACCCTGCTTCCACCACCACCCTGCTTCCACCACCACCCTGCTTCCACCACCACCCTGCTTCCACCACCACCCTGCTTCCACCACCACCCTGCTTCCACCACCACCCTGCTTCCACCACCACCCTGCTTCCATTCCACCACCACCCTGCTTCCACCACCACCCTGCTTCCACCACCACCCTGCTTCCACCACCACCCCTGCTTCCACCACCACCCTGCTTCCACCACCACCCTGCTTCCACCACCACCCTGCTTCCACCACCACCCTGCTTCCACCACCACCCTGCTTCCACCACCACCCTGCTTCCACCACCACCCTGCTTCCACCACCACCCTGCTTCCACCACCACCCTGCTTCCACCACCACCCTGCTTCCACCACCACTGTCACCACCTGCTTCCACCACCACCCTCCCTGCTTCCACCACCACCCTGCTTCCACCACCACCCTGCTTCCACCACCACCCTGCTTCCACCACCACCCTGCTTCCACCACCACCCTGCTTCCACCACCACCCTGCTTCCACCACCACCCTGCTTCCACCACCACCCTGCTTCCACCACCACCCTGCTTCCACCACCACCCTGCTTCCACCACCACCCTGCTTCCACCACCACCCTGCTTCCACCACCACCCTGCTTCCACCACCACCCTGCTTCCACCACCACCCTGCTTCCACCACCACCCTGCTTCCACCACCACCCTGCTTCCACCACCACCCTGCTTCCACCACCACCCTGCTTCCACCACCACCCTGCTTCCACCACCACCCTGCTTCCACCACCACCCTGCTTCCACCACCACCCTGCTTCCACCACCACCCTGCTTCCACCACCACCCTGCTTCCACCACCACCCTGCTTCCACCACCACCCTGCTTCCACCACCACCCTGCTTCCACCACCACCCTGCTCTGCTTCCACCACCACCCTGCTTCCACCACCACCCTGCTTCCACCACCACCCTGCTTCCACCACCACCCTGCTTCCACCACCACCCTGCTTCCACCACCACCCTGCTTCCACCACCACCCTGCTTCCACCACCACCCTGCTTCCACCACCACCCTGCTTCCACCACCACCCTGCTTCCACCACCACCCTGCTTCCACCACCACCCTGCTTCCACCACCACCCTGCTTCCACCACCACCCTGCTTCCACCACCACCCTGCTTCCACCACCACCCTGCTTCCACCACCACCCTGCTTCCACCACCACCCTGCTTCCACCACCACCCTGCTTCCACCACCACCCTGCTTCCACCACCACCCTGCTTCCACCACCACCCTGCTTCCACCACCACCCTGCTTCCACCACCACCCTGCTTCCACCACCACCCTGCTTCCACCACCACCCTGCTTCCACCACCACCCTGCTTCCACCACCACCCTGCTTCCACCACCACCCTGCTTCCACCACCACCCTGCTTCCACCACCACCCTGCTTCCACCACCACCCTGCTTCCACCACCACCCTGCTTCCACCACCACCCTGCTTCCACCACCACCCTGCTTCCACCACCACCCTGCTTCCACCACCACCCTGCTTCCACCACCACCCTGCTTCCACCACCACCCTGCTTCCACCACCACCCTGCTTCCACCACCACCCTGCTTCCACCACCACCCTGCTTCCACCACCACCCTGCTTCCACCACCACCCTGCTTCCACCACCACCCTGCTTCCACCACCACCCTGCTTCCACCACCACCCTGCTTCCACCACCACCCTGCTTCCACCACCACCCTGCTTCCACCACCACCCTGCTTCCACCACCACCCTGCTTCCACCACCACCCTGCTTCCACCACCACCCTGCTTCCACCACCACCCTGCTTCCACCACCACCCTGCTTCCACCACCACCCTGCTTCCACCACCACCCTGCTTCCACCACCACCCTGCTTCCACCACCACCCTGCTTCCACCACCACCCTGCTTCCACCACCACCCTGCTTCCACCACCACCCTGCTTCCACCACCACCCTGCTTCCACCACCACCCTGCTTCCACCACCACCCTGCTTCCACCACCACCCTGCTTCCACCACCACCCTGCTTCCACCACCACCCTGCTTCCACCACCACCCTGCTTCCACCACCACCCTGCTTCCACCACCACCCTGCTTCCACCACCACCCTGCTTCCACCACCACCCTGCTTCCACCACCACCCTGCTTCCACCACCACCCTGCTTCCACCACCACCCTGCTTCCACCACCACCCTGCTTCCACCACCACCCTGCTTCCACCACCACCCTGCTTCCACCACCACCCTGCTTCCACCACCACCCTGCTTCCACCACCACCCTGCTTCCACCACCACCCTGCTTCCACCACCACCCTGCTTCCACCACCACCCTGCTTCCACCACCACCCTGCTTCCACCACCACCCTGCTTCCACCACCACCCTGCTTCCACCACCACCCTGCTTCCACCACCACCCTGCTTCCACCACCACCCTGCTTCCACCACCACCCTGCTTCCACCACCACCCTGCTTCCACCACCACCCTGCTTCCACCACCACCCTGCTTCCACCACCACCCTGCTTCCACCACCACCCTGCTTCCACCACCACCCTGCTTCCACCACCACCCTGCTTCCACCACCACCCTGCTTCCACCACCACCCTGCTTCCACCACCACCCTGCTTCCACCACCACCCTGCTTCCACCACCACCCTGCTTCCACATCACCGCTTGCGCGCTCCCACACGTACCCAAGTGTTGTATACCCACAGCCGTGCCACCCTAAACCCCCTAATGCCCCTAATGCTTTGTTGTGCTACTCTCTGTGTGCTGTGTGCGTTGGGCCTGGCAGGAGGTGACAGCACGCACGTTCATGCCACTGTTTGAGTGCCCGTCCACGCGCTGTCGCACCAACAACGCACGGGGCAGGCTGCACCTGCACACGCGCGGCTCTAAGTTCCAGAAGTTCCAAGAGGTGCGCGCGGGGGCTGTGCCGTGTATACATGACTTCACATGATCGGGTGATGTGCATGGGCTGTGAGCATCGGCTGACGTGAGGATGAGCTGTCACCATATGGTGCATTTGTAAATGGTGGAGTGCATGCTTCATGAATGCTACCCTTGTGTCGCTTCTCTTGTATAGTCAGGGCCCTGAATGCTTCTCTTGCATAGTCAGGGCCCTGAATGCTTCTCTTGCATAGTCAGGGCCCTCAGGTTGTTTCCACACGTTCAGGATTCAGCTCTCCTTCATGCCTGTGTGCCATGGCACGGATGGCACGGCATGGCATGGCACGGCATGGCATGGCACGGCATGGCATGTCACATCACATGTGCCCCCATATTGCATGTATGCAGGCGCGCATACAGGAGCTAGCAGAGCAGGTGCCCAAGGGGCATGTGCCGCGCGCCATGACAGTGCAGATCAGGGGCGACCTCACCCGCCAGGTGCGCCGTCGCTCTACATCCCTTCTTGCTGCCTTCGTTGCTCGCACCATGCCCGATGCCTTCACAACCGGCATTGCTTGAGCCACTGGGACCTCCTAAAAGCGACTTTCTCCTTCCTTTGATTCCTTTCGCCCTGTGCGTGGCATGCAGGTATCACCGGGAGACGTGGTGAGTGTGGCGGGGGTGTTCCTGCCGGTGCCCTTTGTGGGGTTCAAGGCCATGCGCGCAGGCCTCACGGCCGACACGTACCTGGAGGCCATGTCCTTCCACCACTCCAAAAAGCGCTTCTCCGAGTGAGTCTCTCTTGCTGGAGGGAGGGGTCAAGGCCATGGAGGAGACAGGTCTCACGACGCACCATCGCGCTCACCATCTCGCCAAATCCCCCCTCTCACACCTCCAGATTTTCTCACCCGCTCCCATAACGCCCCCATGACGCACCCACGACGTCCCCACCATGCCCGAGCAATTTACACGCACGCACCCCTCCCCTCGTACCCACATGCAAGTGTGTGCCTTCCCACCCGCCATGCAGGTATGCGAGTGAGCAGACGCCAGAGGAGGCAGCGGCGGTGCAGCAGCTGGCAGCGCAGGGCAGCAGCGACGTGTACAGCCGCCTCGCCCGCTCCATTGCGCCGGAGATCTACGGCCACGATGACGTGAAGAAGGTGCTGCTGCTGCTGCTCGTGGGGGCGCCCACCCGCACCCTGCCCGATGGCATGAAGGTGCGTGCGATGCAGCCCGATGGCATGAAAGTGCGAGTGACCTTCTTCGACTGACCTTCTTTGACTGACCTTCTTCGACTGACCTTCTTTGACTGACCTTCTTCGACTGACCTTCTTTGACTGACCTTCTTCGACTGACCTTCTTTGACTGACTTTCTTCGACTGACCTTCTTTGACTGACCTTCTTTGACTGACCTTCTTTGACTGACCTTCTTTGACTGACCTTCTTTGACTGACCTTCTTTGACTGACCTTCTTCGACTGACCTTCTTTGACTGACCTTCTTCGACTGACCTTCTTTGACTGACCTTCTTCGACTGACCTTCTTTGACTGACCTTCTTCGACTGACCTTCTTGACTGACCTTCTTGACTGACCTTCTTCGACTGACCTTCTTCGACTGACCTTCTTTGACTGACCTTCTTTGACTGACCTTCTTTGACTGACCTTCTTTGACTGACCTTCTTCGACTGACCTTCTTCGACTGACTTTCTTCGACTGACCTTCTTTGACTGACCTTCTTTGACTGACCTTCTTCGACTGACCTTCTTCGACTGACTTTCTTCGACTGACCTTCTTCGACTGACCTTCTTCGACTGACCTTCTTTGACTGACCTTCTTTGACTGACCTTCTTTGACTGACCTTCTTTGACTGACCTTCTTTGACTGACCTTCTTTGACTGACCTTCTTTGACTGACCTTCTTTGACTGACCTTCTTTGACTGACCTTCTTCGACTGACCTTCTTTGACTGACTTTCTTCGACTGACCTTCTTTGACTGACCTTCTTTGACTGACCTTCTTTGACTGACCTTCTTTGACTGACCTTCTTTGACTGACCTTCTTTGACTGACCTTCTTCGACTGACCTTCTTTGACTGACCTTCTTCGACTGACCTTCTTTGACTGACCTTCTTCGACTGACCTTCTTTGACTGACCTTCTTCGACTGACCTTCTTTGACTGACCTTCTTCGACTGACCTTCTTCGACTGACCTTCTTTGACTGACCTTCTTTGACTGACCTTCTTTGACTGACCTTCTTTGACTGACCTTCTTCGACTGACCTTCTTCGACTGACTTTCTTCGACTGACCTTCTTTGACTGACCTTCTTTGACTGACCTTCTTCGACTGACCTTCTTCGACTGACTTTCTTCGACTGACCTTCTTCGACTGACCTTCTTCGACTGACCTTCTTTGACTGACCTTCTTTGACTGACCTTCTTTGACTGACCTTCTTTGACTGACCTTCTTTGACTGACCTTCTTTGACTGACCTTCTTTGACTGACCTTCTTTGACTGACCTTCTTCGACTGACCTTCTTTGACTGACCTTCTTCGACTGACCTTCTTTGACTGACCTTCTTCGACTGACCTTCTTTGACTGACCTTCTTCGACTGACCTTCTTTGACTGACCTTCTTCGACTGACCTTCTTCGACTGACCTTCTTTGACTGACCTTCTTTGACTGACCTTCTTTGACTGACCTTCTTTGACTGACCTTCTTCGACTGACCTTCTTCGACTGACTTTCTTCGACTGACCTTCTTTGACTGACCTTCTTTGACTGACCTTCTTCGACTGACCTTCTTCGACTGACTTTCTTCGACTGACCTTCTTCGACTGACCTTCTTCGACTGACCTTCTTTGACTGACCTTCTTTGACTGACCTTCTTTGACTGACCTTCTTTGACTGACCTTCTTTGACTGACCTTCTTTGACTGACCTTCTTTGACTGACCTTCTTTGACTGACCTTCTTTGACTGACCTTCTTCGACTGACCTTCTTTGACTGACTTTCTTCGACTGACCTTCTTTGACTGACCTTCTTTGACTGACCTTCTTTGACTGACCTTCTTTGACTGACCTTCTTTGACTGACCTTCTTTGACTGACCTTCTTCGACTGACCTTCTTTGACTGACCTTCTTCGACTGACCTTCTTTGACTGACCTTCTTCGACTGACCTTCTTTGACTGACCTTCTTCGACTGACCTTCTTTGACTGACCTTCTTCGACTGACCTTCTTCGACTGACCTTCTTTGACTGACCTTCTTTGACTGACCTTCTTTGACTGACCTTCTTTGACTGACCTTCTTCGACTGACCTTCTTCGACTGACTTTCTTCGACTGACCTTCTTCGACTGACCTTCTTTGACTGACCTTCTTTGACTGACCTTCTTCGACTGACCTTCTTCGACTGACTTTCTTCGACTGACCTTCTTCGACTGACCTTCTTCGACTGACCTTCTTTGACTGACCTTCTTTGACTGACCTTCTTTGACTGACCTTCTTTGACTGACCTTCTTTGACTGACCTTCTTTGACTGACCTTCTTTGACTGACCTTCTTTGACTGACCTTCTTTGACTGACCTTCTTTGACTGACCTTCTTTGACTGACCTTCTTTGACTGACCTTCTTTGACTGACCTTCTTTGACTGACCTTCTTTGACTGACCTTCTTTGACTGACCTTCTTTGACTGACCTTCTTTGACTGACCTTCTTTGACTGACCTTCTTTGACTGACCTTCTTTGACTGACCTTCTTTGACTGACCTTCTTTGACTGACCTTCTTTGACTGACCTTCTTTGACTGACCTTCTTTGACTGACCTTCTTTGACTGACCTTCTTTGACTGACCTTCTTTGACTGACCTTCTTTGACTGACCTTCTTTGACTGACCTTCTTTGACTGACCTTCTTTGACTGACCTTCTTTGACTGACCTTCTTTGACTGACCTTCTTTGACTGACCTTCTTTGACTGACCTTCTTTGACTGACCTTCTTTGACTGACCTTCTTTGACTGACCTTCTTTGACTGACCTTCTTTGACTGACCTTCTTTGACTGACCTTCTTTGACTGACCTTCTTTGACTGACCTTCTTTGACTGACCTTCTTGACTGACCTTCTTTGACTGACCTTCTTTGACTGACCTTCTTTGACTGACCTTCTTTGACTGACCTTCTTTGACTGACCTTCTTTGACTGACCTTCTTTGACTGACCTTCTTTGACTGACCTTCTTTGACTGACCTTCTTTGACTGACCTTCTTTGACTGACCTTCTTTGACTGACCTTCTTTGACTGACCTTCTTTGACTGACCTTCTTTGACTGACCTTCTTTGACTGACCTTCTTTGACTGACCTTCTTTGACTGACCTTCTTTGACTGACCTTCTTTGACTGACCTTCTTTGACTGACCTTCTTTGACTGACCTTCTTTGACTGACCTTCTTTGACTGACCTTCTTTGACTGACCTTCTTTGACTGACCTTCTTTGACTGACCTTCTTTGACTGACCTTCTTTGACTGACCTTCTTTGACTGACCTTCTTTGACTGACCTTCTTTGACTGACCTTCTTTGACTGACCTTCTTTGACTGACCTTCTTTGACTGACCTTCTTTGACTGACCTTCTTTGACTGACCTTCTTTGACTGACCTTCTTTGACTGACCTTCTTTGACTGACCTTCTTCGACTGACCTTTCTTCGACTGACCTTCTTTGACTGACCTTCTTTGACTGACCTTCTTCGACTGACCTTCTTCGACTGACTTTCTTCGACTGACCTTCTTCGACTGACCTTCTTCGACTGACCTTCTTTGACTGACCTTCTTTGACTGACCTTCTTTGACTGACCTTCTTTGACTGACCTTCTTTGACTGACCTTCTTTGACTGACCTTCTTTGACTGACCTTCTTTGACTGACCTTCTTTGACTGACCTTCTTCGACTGACCTTCTTTGACTGACTTTCTTCGACTGACCTTCTTTGACTGACCTTCTTTGACTGACCTTCTTTGACTGACCTTCTTTGACTGACCTTCTTTGACTGACCTTCTTTGACTGACCTTCTTCGACTGACCTTCTTTGACTGACCTTCTTCGACTGACCTTCTTTGACTGACCTTCTTCGACTGACCTTCTTTGACTGACCTTCTTCGACTGACCTTCTTTGACTGACCTTCTTCGACTGACCTTCTTCGACTGACCTTCTTTGACTGACCTTCTTTGACTGACCTTCTTTGACTGACCTTCTTTGACTGACCTTCTTCGACTGACCTTCTTCGACTGACTTTCTTCGACTGACCTTCTTCGACTGACCTTCTTTGACTGACCTTCTTTGACTGACCTTCTTTGACTGACCTTCTTTGACTGACCTTCTTTGACTGACCTTCTTTGACTGACCTTCTTTGACTGACCTTCTTTGACTGACCTTCTTTGACTGACCTTCTTTGACTGACCTTCTTTGACTGACCTTCTTTGACTGACCTTCTTTGACTGACCTTCTTTGACTGACCTTCTTTGACCTTCTTTGACTGACCTTCTTTGACTGACCTTCTTTGACTGACCTTCTTTGACTGACCTTCTTTGACTGACCTTCTTTGACTGACCTTCTTTGACTGACCTTCTTTGACTGACCTTCTTTGACTGACCTTCTTTGACTGACCTTCTTTGACTGACCTTCTTTGACTGACCTTCTTTGACTGACCTTCTTTGACTGACCTTCTTTGACTGACCTTCTTTGACTGACCTTCTTTGACTGACCTTCTTTGACTGACCTTCTTTGACTGACCTTCTTTGACTGACCTTCTTTGACTGACCTTCTTTGACTGACCTTCTTTGACTGACCTTCTTTGACTGACCTTCTTTGACTGACCTTCTTTGACTGACCTTCTTTGACTGACCTTCTTTGACTGACCTTCTTTGACTGACCTTCTTTGACTGACCTTCTTCGACTGACCTTCTTCGACTGACTTTCTTCGACTGACCTTCTTTGACTGACCTTCTTTGACTGACCTTCTTCGACTGACCTTCTTCGACTGACTTTCTTCGACTGACCTTCTTCGACTGACCTTCTTCGACTGACCTTCTTTGACTGACCTTCTTTGACTGACCTTCTTTGACTGACCTTCTTTGACTGACCTTCTTTGACTGACCTTCTTTGACTGACCTTCTTTGACTGACCTTCTTTGACTGACCTTCTTTGACTGACCTTCTTCGACTGACCTTCTTTGACTGACCTTCTTTGACTGACCTTCTTTGACTGACCTTCTTTGACTGACCTTCTTTGACTGACCTTCTTTGACTGACCTTCTTTGACTGACCTTCTTTGACTGACCTTCTTTGACTGACCTTCTTTGACTGACCTTCTTTGACTGACCTTCTTTGACTGACCTTCTTTGACTGACCTTCTTTGACTGACCTTCTTTGACTGACCTTCTTTGACTGACCTTCTTTGACTGACCTTCTTCGACTGACCTTCTTCGACTGACCTTCTTTGACTGACCTTCTTTGACTGACCTTCTTTGACTGACCTTCTTTGACTGACCTTCTTTGACTGACCTTCTTTGACTGACCTTCTTTGACTGACCTTCTTTGACTGACCTTCTTTGACTGACCTTCTTTGACTGACCTTCTTTGACTGACCTTCTTTGACTGACCTTCTTTGACTGACCTTCTTTGACTGACCTTCTTTGACTGACCTTCTTTGACTGACCTTCTTTGACTGACCTTCTTTGACTGACCTTCTTTGACTGACCTTCTTTGACTGACCTTCTTTGACTGACCTTCTTTGACTGACCTTCTTTGACTGACCTTCTTTGACTGACCTTCTTTGACTGACCTTCTTTGACTGACCTTCTTTGACTGACCTTCTTTGACTGACCTTCTTTGACTGACCTTCTTTGACTGACCTTCTTTGACTGACCTTCTTTGACTGACCTTCTTTGACTGACCTTCTTTGACTGACCTTCTTTGACTGACCTTCTTTGACTGACCTTCTTTGACTGACCTTCTTTGACTGACCTTCTTTGACTGACCTTCTTTGACTGACCTTCTTTGACTGACCTTCTTTGACTGACCTTCTTTGACTGACCTTCTTTGACTGACCTTCTTTGACTGACCTTCTTTGACTGACCTTCTTTGACTGACCTTCTTTGACTGACCTTCTTTGACTGACCTTCTTTGACTGACCTTCTTTGACTGACCTTCTTTGACTGACCTTCTTTGACTGACCTTCTTTGACTGACCTTCTTTGACTGACCTTCTTTGACTGACCTTCTTTGACTGACCTTCTTTGACTGACCTTCTTTGACTGACCTTCTTTGACTGACCTTCTTTGACTGACCTTCTTTGACTGACCTTCTTTGACTGACCTTCTTTGACTGACCTTCTTTGACTGACCTTCTTTGACTGACCTTCTTTGACTGACCTTCTTTGACTGACCTTCTTTGACTGACCTTCTTTGACTGACCTTCTTTGACTGACCTTCTTTGACTGACCTTCTTTGACTGACCTTCTTTGACTGACCTTCTTTGACTGACCTTCTTTGACTGACCTTCTTTGACTGACCTTCTTTGACTGACCTTCTTTGACTGACCTTCTTTGACTGACCTTCTTTGACTGACCTTCTTTGACTGACCTTCTTTGACTGACCTTCTTTGACTGACCTTCTTTGACTGACCTTCTTTGACTGACCTTCTTTGACTGACCTTCTTTGACTGACCTTCTTTGACTGACCTTCTTTGACTGACCTTCTTTGACTGACCTTCTTTGACTGACCTTCTTTGACTGACCTTCTTTGACTGACCTTCTTTGACTGACCTTCTTTGACTGACCTTCTTTGACTGACCTTCTTTGACTGACCTTCTTTGACTGACCTTCTTTGACTGACCTTCTTTGACTGACCTTCTTTGACTGACCTTCTTTGACTGACCTTCTTTGACTGACCTTCTTTGACTGACCTTCTTTGACTGACCTTCTTTGACTGACCTTCTTTGACTGACCTTCTTTGACTGACCTTCTTTGACTGACCTTCTTTGACTGACCTTCTTTGACTGACCTTCTTTGACTGACCTTCTTTGACTGACCTTCTTTGACTGACCTTCTTTGACTGACCTTCTTTGACTGACCTTCTTTGACTGACCTTCTTTGACTGACCTTCTTTGACTGACCTTCTTTGACTGACCTTCTTTGACTGACCTTCTTTGACTGACCTTCTTTGACTGACCTTCTTGACTGACCTTCTTTGACTGACCTTCTTTGACTGACCTTCTTTGACTGACCTTCTTTGACTGACCTTCTTTGACTGACCTTCTTTGACTGACCTTCTTTGACTGACCTTCTTTGACTGACCTTCTTTGACTGACCTTCTTTGACTGACCTTCTTTGACTGACCTTCTTTGACTGACCTTCTTTGACTGACCTTCTTTGACTGACCTTCTTTGACTGACCTTCTTTGACTGACCTTCTTTGACTGACCTTCTTTGACTGACCTTCTTTGACTGACCTTCTTTGACTGACCTTCTTTGACTGACCTTCTTTGACTGACCTTCTTTGACTGACCTTCTTTGACTGACCTTCTTTGACTGACCTTCTTTGACTGACCTTCTTTGACTGACCTTCTTTGACTGACCTTCTTTGACTGACCTTCTTTGACTGACCTTCTTTGACTGACCTTCTTTGACTGACCTTCTTTGACTGACCTTCTTTGACTGACCTTCTTTGACTGACCTTCTTTGACTGACCTTCTTTGACTGACCTTCTTTGACTGACCTTCTTTGACTGACCTTCTTTGACTGACCTTCTTTGACTGACCTTCTTTGACTGACCTTCTTTGACTGACCTTCTTTGACTGACCTTCTTTGACTGACCTTCTTTGACTGACCTTCTTTGACTGACCTTCTTTGACTGACCTTCTTTGACTGACCTTCTTTGACTGACCTTCTTTGACTGACCTTCTTTGACTGACCTTCTTTGACTGACCTTCTTTGACTGACCTTCTTTGACTGACCTTCTTTGACTGACCTTCTTTGACTGACCTTCTTTGACTGACCTTCTTTGACTGACCTTCTTTGACTGACCTTCTTTGACTGACCTTCTTTGACTGACCTTCCTTTGACTGACCTTCTTTGACTGACCTTCTTTGACTGACCTTCTTTGACTGACCTTCTTTGACTGACCTTCTTTGACTGACCTTCTTTGACTGACCTTCTTTGACTGACCTTCTTTGACTGACCTTCTTTGACTGACCTTCTTTGACTGACCTTCTTTGACTGACCTTCTTTGACTGACCTTCTTTGACTGACCTTCTTTGACTGACCTTCTTTGACTGACCTTCTTTGACTGACCTTCTTTGACTGACCTTCTTTGACTGACCTTCTTTGACTGACCTTCTTTGACTGACCTTCTTTGACTGACCTTCTTTGACTGACCTTCTTTGACTGACCTTCTTTGACTGACCTTCTTTGACTGACCTTCTTTGACTGACCTTCTTTGACTGACCTTCAGTGCGCATCCATGTGTGCCTCATGCAACCGCATGCTCTCCCTCCGCATCCTCCCTGCACACCACAACCCCCTCACACCCCTCCCCCTCCCTGCGCTGGGTCAGATCCGTGGGGACGTGCACGTGTGTCTGATGGGCGACCCCGGGGTGGCCAAGAGCCAGCTGCTCAAGCACATCGTCACAGTGGCGCCCAGGGGCGTGTACACCACCGGCAAGGGCAGCAGCGGCGTGGGGCTCACTGCTGCCGTCACACGTGACACTGTCACCGGCGAGATGGTGCTGGAGGGCGGCGCTCTGGTGAGTGCGCCTGTGCCCATCTGTGTTATTGCTCTGAGTGGTACACCAAGATCGTGTACGGTGTTGGTGGTCACGCTGCACATGGCCTCACCCTCTCATTGCACCTCCTGCTCTCCTCCCCTCCCCACCTCACTCGCACCACCAGGTGCTAGCGGACATGGGCATCTGTGCCATCGACGAGTTTGACAAGATGGACGAGAACGACCGCACCGCCATCCATGAGGTCCGTGTGCCCTGCTGCTTCCCTGCATTCTGTGCCAGTGAACGCTGATATTGCCATGTGCCATGTGTCAAGCAGCGGATTTATTCGCATGGACATTTTATAATCACATGTAACATGGGCGATGAGTGTGATTGCATCGTGGCTCCTATGCCATGTGCGCTGTTGCACGTGGTGCATGCATGGCAGGTGATGGAGCAGCAGACGGTGAGCATAGCCAAGGCGGGCATCACCACGTCGCTCAATGCTCGCACCGCCGTGCTGGCCGCTGCCAACCCCGCCTGGTGAGATCACGCACCCTCCTGCCATCGCTGCTGCTCGCACAGCATGCAGCTGCATCTACCCCATCCCGTCCCTATCCTTTCTTCCCCTTCCCGACCTTTTTTTCTCCTCAATTCCCAACATGCTGCTCCCTCCACCCCCTTCTCCTCTCCCCCTCCTCCTCCCCCTTCCTCCCTCCCCCAGGGGGCGCTATGACATGAGGAGAACCCCAGCGGAGAACATCAACTTGCCGCCCGCACTGCTCTCCAGATTCGATATTCTCTGGCTCATGCTCGACCGCGCTGATGTGGACGCTGACCTGGCGCTCGCCCGCCACGTGCTGCACGTGCATCAGCACTCCTCGCCGCCCGCTCTTGACTTTGATCCCGTTGACCCAACGCTGCTCAGGTGCTTTGAAAAATGTTTAGGTGCCCTAAACTGCTGTTCTGGTGCATTTTCAGGTGCTTTGAAACTCTTCTCAGGTTATTTGAACATAATTCAACAACAGCATGCCCCTCTGCCCCTGTCCCCCCCTCCCTCCACCTCCTCCTTCCCCCACCAGGAACTTCATAGCGACGGCACGGACGTACGAGCCGAGTGTGCCGGAGGAGCTGACGGACTTCATAGCGTCGGCCTACGCGGGGCTGCGGCAGGAGGAGGCGGCCAGCGATGCCCCTCACACCTACACCACCGCGCGCACCCTGCTCTCCATCCTGCGCCTCGCTGAGGTGATAGCATAGCATGTGATGGTGTGGGAAGGGATGTTGTTGTTTGCGTTGTCATAGCAAGTTATGCAGGAGGTACCAGGATACAAACATTTTCGTTCACCACGTTCTCTTCTGCTTGTGGCCTTCATGTCCCACCTCTTCCTCCCCTCCATTAAACCCCTTCCGATCTTTCTCCCACTCTCCCCTGTCACCCCCAATCTTCCCAACCCCCCTGCCCGCCAGGCACGGGCGCGGCTGCGGCTGGCGGGGGCGGTGGCGCAGAGCGATGTGGAGGAGGCGCTGAGGCTGATGCACGGGTCCAAGGCGTCACTGCAGACGGAGGCCCGGCAGCGCGCAGGGCTGGACGCCATCTCCGCCGTCTACTCCATCGTGCGGGACGAGGCTGCGCGTGCGCGCTGCACCGTGGTGTCCTACTCTGACGCCCTCAACTGGATCACCCGCAAGGTGCCCTCCCCTCCCCGCCCTGCCCCGCCCTGTCGTGTCTGTGGCATGCTGTGCTGCATTGCACTGTGGACTGGGTTTCTTCCTGTAATTTCCAGGGACTCATGATGAGGTGAATTTGTGTTGTGGTGCCACTGGGTGCTGTTGCCGTCGCAATTTTCTCCCATTGTCTGCCACACTTCTGTATCCTCCTTCCTTATCCCTGTCCACGTGCAGGGGCACAGCGAGGTGGAGCTGAGGGAGTGTTTGGAGGATTATGCGGAGCTCAACGTGTGGCAGATAGACCAGGACTCCCTCACCATCCGCTTCATTGACTCTTGATTTGTAAATGACAATTTCGTATGTCTGTTTCTAGTATAAGTTCCGTTTTTAGTAAAAGCGTCCTTAACAAGAACTATTTTCGGATGAAATTGGCCCACCAAAGGTGGCCACCATAAGTCAGCCCCACCAACACAATCACAGCAGCCTGTGAACAGGGAGCACTAGATTTACCAAGTTACACCATGGCAAGACCGAACACAGCACTAGCTGTTCACTTCGCACCCTCACCAACACCTGTTAGCATGGTCTTCACCGCCTGTACGTGTCGCGCTCGTCCCGCCCTCTCTCCCGCTCGTACCCTCGCCTTGAGTCGTCCCGCTCCCTGCGATCCCATTCCGAGTAACGCTCCCGCTCCCTCTCCCTCTCATACTCCCGCTCCCTGTCACGATCACGGTCTACCCCCCGGTCGCGCCCGCGCTCATCCCGCTCGCCACCATAGGTGCTCACCAGCCTGTCCCCACCGCCCCCGCGCCCACCACCACTGTCAAACCCCCGCGGACCGCTATCAAACCCCCTCGCACCGCTGTCAAAGCCCCTTGCACCGGCGTCAAAGCCCCTGGGGGGAGCAGGGGGGAGGCGGTCGACAGTGCTGGGGAGGCGGTCGGGGGCGGAGAGGAGGCGGTCCCCCGAGGCAGAGGCGATGCTCTGCTGCACCTTCTGCGCTATCAGGTGCTGCGCTGCTACCACCCCCTCCGATGGACCCGTTATTGTCACCTTCCTGCCAGTGCAAGGGGGGAGGGGGAGACGTGGAAGGACTAGCTGAGACACATGCCCCAGCAGGCATGCAAGACGGGCAGCGATCCAGCGACAGGTTGCCTATGGGATGCAAGGAAAAAAAAAAGAGGTGGGGCTAATGTTGCCGTGGTTATGGTCGGTACTGACCTGTTCCTGGTGCCTTCAACGTAATCGTTGCGGTCAGATATGAGCATGCGCACCCCCGCCGACTGCACACATGCGAGTATAGATGTGGTGATGCACAGAGATTGCACAGAGAGAGCACAGAGGCATGTGGCATCCACCAACACGCATACTGCAAGGTTAGATCCCAGAGAAATGCGCTGGACATTGCAACAAGGGAGAGAAATGAGGAAATGAAGGGGCGGGAAACGAGGAGACGATGGGGAGAGAAAAGAGGAGGTGAAAGGGAGAGAAACGAGGAGATGAAGGGGAGATGTGCAAGCGGAGAGGTAGGAAAGGGGATAGGGAAGCTTGTTGTGTTGTGCTCCCATGCTCTGACTGAGAAAAGATAATTACCAACAGGAGCTTCAGCTGCACGGGGAGCAGCAAAAGAGATGGTACCAGCGGCGAAAGAAGAGGCATCGTCAGTGGTGAAGCAAGTGATGTGACCGGATAGCCTGCTGGCACTAACGATGCCCTTTTCCTGACAGAAACCCTGCCCGCTGTACTGTACCCCACCCACGCACGCACCTGCTGGATCTCATGCAGCGACTTGCCGCCCTTGCCCACAACAGCGCCCACATGGTCGTCCGGCACCGCCACTATGATGGTCGTTGGCACTCCGCCACCCGGTGGCAGAGGAGGCGGGCCCTGCATGCAGGGGTGGCGGAAGAGGTGTTGGAAAGAGGTAGAAATGGGTTCGGAGGGGTTGGGAATGGCAGAGAGACAGTGAGCAGTGTGGGTACAATCACACTGCAACCTCTCTGGCACTGGCAGCACGACAAGGGTCCACTGCTTGTGAGATTACGGGCGATGATGGGCCACACAAAATCGCGCACGCAGGCAGAGCAGGGCAGCAGGGGCATCACAGTGGCCCCACGCAGTGACACAGCACTCCCACCTTGCCACGCGGGTCCGAAAGGTACGGAGGAAGTCCCCTAGGCGCCGCATAGGGAGCTCCAAAACCCCCGCCTCCGCCCCCCCCTCCTCCATATCTGTCCCCTCCCCCATAGCCTCCGCCCCCACCCCTGCCCCCACCTCCGCCCCCGTACCCAGGACCACCGCCATAGCCGCCACTGAACCCGCTGCCCCCCCTCGCCCCGTACCCATCGTTGTACCCCCCTCCGCCCCCGTACCCGCCCTCCCTGCCCCGTCCTCCTTCCGAAAACCCGCTGCTCCTGCCCTCGTGCCTGCCCCCTCCCGCTGCCGCGGGCGGAGGGGGAGGCGGCTGAGATGACCCGCCCGCCGCTGGTGGGGGATGCGCAGTGAGGCGCGGGGGGAGAGAGGCAAGGGATGGATACGGGAGGAACAGAAGGGAATACGTGAGTGAGCGCGGGAAGGATAGAGACACGTGGAGGAGATATGTATCCACGTAGGAGCGGGGCAGGTGGCTCACCGGTGTAGGAGAGGGGCACGTGGCTCACCCGAGGAGTGATATGATATGATATGATATGATACGATACGCTGGACCTCTGCTCACCGGTGTAGGAGAGCGGCACGTCAGCGTACTGCACGTAGGTGGGGTCTTCCGACATCTTGGTGAGCAGCAGCGCCACCGCGCGCAGCTTCTGCTCCAGCGTGCCCCCTATCGTGATGAGCCTCTCTGCGAACCCTGGGCCAGCAGTGTCCTGCGACGACAGCTTGATGGTCGCCTGCGAGTCCTCCACGAACGACCTGCGCCCAGCGACGGCCAGCCGCCCCCGATGGTCCGCGACGGCATGGCGCCATGGCGCGCACGATGTGAGGGAGGCAGCCATTTGGGAGCGGCGTGATGGCGTCGGGTCCACGTGGCAGGGCGTGGTGGCATGACATGCGAGGTGAGAGGGCACGGGCAGGAGGAGGGTGGAGCCGGGTGCGGAGGGGTAGAGCGGGGGTTGGGATGGGTGGGACGGAGAGCAGAGCAGATGGGAGACGGTGGGGGGTGAGGAGTGGATAGTGGATGGCAAAGCTGGCTGAGGGGCGCGTAGGACAAGGGGGGGGAGGGGAGAAAGTGAGGGTGACAGTGTGGAGCCGCGGCACAACTGCCGTTCTCGGTTCACGGTGTGGGACGTGCTGCTGCGGAGGAAGGGCGCAATCGCTTGAAGATGCGGAGGGAGAGGGTGGGAAGCGATGATGCGCGGGAGAGGACGATGCTGCGAGAGAGTAGACGCGGGGATGATACACGAAACAGACAAGAGCGGGCGATGGTAGAAGATGAAGGGGAGGCAGGTGGGATGATGTATGGGCACCACTGATGACCCATGAGAAAACGGCAAACGGGGGAGCGAGCGAATCGAGGTGCGCAGACGAAGGGCTTTGTGTTAAGCCGTTGCGCAAACCCGTGCTGTTATCCTGTTACAAGAAAAAACTGATGAATTACGCCGTTGCGCACTGTTTGGGCGATGGCGGCTGATGTTGCAGATGCTCGCTTTCTAGAACGGCATTACATGGCAGCAATTGCTGCACGGAGGATTAAGAGCAGGTGACATCCGGGATTGAAAAAAGGCAGATGAGAGAGAGTCGCGAGGAATCGGTGGAGGGAGCTTGCGGCTGCGGGGATGAGGGGGGCACGCGCGGAGGGTGAACGCCTTGGTCTGCGGGTGCTCCGGAGGGAGGCGACCAGGAACTGGTACTGATTGGAGCCATAAAAGCATCGCGAATCGTAGCAGTGGTGGGGATGGAGTTAGAGTGCTGGTGATGGAGTTGAGAGTGGTGGTGATGGATTTAAGCGTAGCACGGAGTGGTGAGAGAAGGTCTAGGGTGGTATTGAGGAGCGACGGTTTCATCCCTGTGAAGACACCCACACCCCACAATGACACAAGCAGCGTAAGAATCGGGCCAGTGAATGAGAGGGGACACGAGGAAGGACAGAAGGAGGGTACTGATCGATCTTCAGTGTCGAAAAGAGCCATGAGCGGCGCCACTGAGGGAAGGAATGCAGGCGGAAAGAAGCAATTGGTGGAAGAAGCAGTCATTCCCAGTAGTGGGGGAGACTGACCGGATGGTGGCGCCAGCTTTGCCGATGATGGCGCCGCACACGCGGTGCGGCACCACGATGCGCAGCAGGTCCAGCTCGCCCTCGCGCGCCGTCTCCACGCGCCGCGGATCCTGCGCGAACGGCACCGTACGACACACAGCGGCGGATTTAATCACGCTCACCAGTTAACATCACGGAAAGGCATGAGTATCACCGACGAACGACAGGCGAGCGAACGCGTAGAGCATGAATCTTTGAAGATCCCGTAAGTGCTGCCAAGACACTGCTGTGCCTTGTCAAAGCAGTATGCTAGAAAAGACTGCAAGAAAAAAAAGGCACGAACGACGGCAAGAAGGCGATGGTTGGTTGGCGTACGTCGGCGAGCTTGGAGAGGATGAGGTGCAGCGCCGTGAGGATGGCGCTGACGGTGCCGCTGATGAGCACGATGCGGTCCGCGGTGCCGGGGAAGAACTCGTGCGCGCGCGACATGACGATCTTGGCGCCCGACTGCACCTGGAACTCCGATATCACCTGCCCCGCCTTGCCGATCACCGACCCCGCAAAGTTGTTCGACACCAGGAACCGCAGCGTCGACTCCAACGCCCGCACTTCCTCTGCTCAACCCGGACAATATCGGGGAAAAAAAAATCAAATAGGCCAAATCGGTAAGAAGGAAATGAAAATTAAAACAGAGAAGAGTCTATAATAAGAATCAGGTTCAGATAAGCTCGGCATGGAGGGCAGATGTGGAACCCTCACCTGTATCGCGGGTGTTTTGACGTTTCGCGTCATCCCGCCGATCTTCCACGTCATCATCATGCTCTCGCTTCACCTTGCTCCTAGACCGATTAGGACTTTTAGGGCTCGGCGTCCTCCTTGGGCTTCTTGGACTTCTCGGGCTTCTCGGGCTTCTAGGGCTTCTGGGGCTTCTGGGGCTCCTAACGGGTGACGCGTCCGCCATGGCCGTTATCTCAAGATTTGCCCTGTTCGCTAGCAATCATAACACGAGATGCAGGAGGGAAAGGACACCGCAATATAGGGACCCGCCACAGGAGAACATCACAATCAATTGTAATGAATACAGTTACTACTTTTGCAGCCACATGCACGGCCCATACATAGATTTTCCTCCTTTTCCAGTAATGTAATTTCATGAAGAGATCATAATGCCCTGAATGCTCGTAAATTATTTTGTCATTAACCGAAGTGCACATAAGTAGTACTAGAGCAGTTAAGATACAAAGTCGATTTACTAGTAGTAGGTTTTACTAATAAATCACATCATAGACGGGGTCAATATTTTAACACTCGTAGTGTTTTATCGAATTGCAGCTACGCGATGCACTTTGACATTACAAACCACGAAACCAGCCTGGGGAAAAGTGTGTCGACACTTTCAAGGCGTGTCGAAGACGCCATTTCGCTTCGTGTGACACCCCCGCACTGGCAATGGACGCATGAGGAAGAACTTGTGAGAGTTGGGGCTTCAAGATTTTGTAGTCAAAGTGGCAGCACGATGGTCAGCATTTGATTGAATGCAATCGCACTAAATTGCGGTGTTTCTGTGCGTGCGCGGGCAATCGCAGTGCGTGCGGACCAGAGTTGGCATCGCGTCTCGCCCGTGGCGATGGCCGCAGACCGATGGGGTGGGGGAGACCCGGACGGAGGGGAGGACGCGTGGGGCCGCGGGGAGGCGGAGAGCGAGGGCGTGTGGGAGCGCGTGGTGTACCAGGCGGACGACAGGGGCGCGCTGGAGCGCCTCATGAAGCGCAAGGGCGCGGCGGGTGGACGAAATGCCGCGGGCCCGAAGGTGAGCGCAGTGCGACGACGGGAAGGAAGCGCGAAGGCAGGGAGGATGCTGATAGCGATGATGGTCGTCAAGCGGCGCCAGCTACTCCCAATCTCCGCTTCTGCACCTTGGTCCTTTCCTCCATCTGCCTCGTGATTATCTTCTGTTTCCCTGCTCCGCTATTTCTCTCATTCCACTTGGCAGCCTTTGATTGGTGAACCACACGCCGCTGTCGCTGCACTTGGAGAGTCAGCAGCGGCCAACAGGGACGTGTCAGGAGTGAAATTTGGGTGGCAGGGTTTGGCAGCATCCAACGTGGCAGAGAAGGAAAGAGGTGACACGTGGCAGCGGGCCAAGTGGGGGCTGCGATGGTTTGACTCGCCCACTGCCGATGACTGGGTATGTGCCAGCGTGCCATGCCATGCATGCCCATCTGCTAGCGTGCCATGCCATGCATGCCCATCTGCTAGCGTGCCATGCCATGCATGCCCATCTGCTAGCGTGCCATGCCATGCATGCCCATCTGCTAGCGTGCCATGCCATGCATGCCCATCTGCTAGCGTGCCATGCCATGCATGCCCATCTGCTAGCGTGCCATGCCATGCCATGCCCACCTGCTGTACTTACATGTTGTGTGCCCTGTGCTGCTCGCTGCCGTCCAATACCCTCTCTTCCACATGCCATTCATCCGTGTCATATCATGCACACTCGCGCCCATGTCTGCCCATCTATTCGTCTGCCCAAGTCTGGCACGCCTTGTTACTTCCACGCCCGTTCTCCCTCTGCGGTGCATCGTGTGTGCACGGCCGTCCCCTGCTGCCAGGAGGACGGCTTCCCCGACGACCACGTGGACGCCCAAGCTGCACCCCAGGCTGCAGATGCGGCGAGGGAGGCTCATGATGCGGGAGAGGGGGAGGAGGCACGGGAGGCAGTGCAGGAGGGAGGGCGTGAGGGGGAGGGCGTTGAGGGGGAGTACAGCAGGCGCGTGGCGGAGGGGCTGCTGGCGCGCCTCTCCTTCATGCCCTCCCCACACCCGCCGCCACCACTGCCACCGCTGCACCCACCAGCACTGGTGCCTGCTGCATCGCCCCTACCTGCACCCATGCCGTGTGAAGCAGCCGCTCAGCCTGGGCCCCCCACCCGCCCACCTTTACCTTCCCACCCTCCCCCTGCCACTCTCCACCCTCCATCGCGACCTGCTGCACCCCCGGCACCACATGCACCTGTTGCAGCGACTGCTGCCATGGCAGCACCAGCAACAGCGGCAGCAGCAGGCGTCATCCCATCAGCACCCACACGGACCAGCGCCGCCAAGTCATCATCACCAAGCCTCGCCTCCCTGCTGCCCCCCGTGCTGCCTCCGCCTCCTCCCCACCCTGCATCCTCCTCCCCGCCCATCACAACGCCGCAGAGGGGGCGGGCGGCGGGCAAGGCTTCAGTGGGGCATGCGAGGCAGGAGATGCAGGGGCAGGCTTGGGCAGAAGGGCAGGGGCGCTCGCAGGGGGGAGAGAGGGAGGGCAGCAGGGGAGGAGGGGCGGTGGGAGGGTTGGCGCTGCAGCTGCTGCAGCTGACAGGCGCACCTCCGCCCCTGGCGCATGGGGGAAAGGGGAGAGGCGGACGGTACCGAGGGAAGAAGGAGAAGGTGCGTGCATGGTGCATGGTGCATTGCGCATGGTGCATGGCGCATGGTGCATTGCGCATGGTGCATGGCGCATGGTGCATTGCGCATGGTGCATGGCGCATGGTGCATTGCGCATGGTGCATGGCGCATGGCGCATGGTGCATAATTCTTAGCGCATGGTGCATGGCGCATGGTGCATGGTGCATGGCGCATGGTGCATGGCACATGGCGCATGGTAGCATGGTGCATGGTGCATGATTCTTGGCGCATGGTGCATGGTGCATGGTGCATGATTCTTGGCGCATGGTGCATGGTGCATGGTGCATGGTGCATGGCGCATGGTGCATGGTGCATGGTGCATGATTCTTGGCGCATGGTGCATGGTGCATGGTGCATGGTGCATGGTGCATGGCGCATGGTGCATGGCACATGGCGCATGGTAGCATGGTGCATGGTGCATGATTCTTGGCGCATGGTGCATGGTGCATGGTGCATGATTCTTGGCGCATGGTGCATGGTGCATGGTGCATGGCGCATGGTGCATGGTGCATGATTCTTGGCGCATGGTGCATGGTGCATGGTGCATGGCGCATGGTGCAATAACATGCGGCGAGGCATGGAAGCGCGTGTTGCTGCACATGAGCTGTCTCGTCATACTGCGCGCAGTGCATGCTTTGTGGCCGGGTCAAATGAATGGCAAATAGTATTGACATGCCCGTCCATGTGCACGCGCCCATGCCCCACCAGGTGCGCGCCACAGCAGCCCCGGCGCCCACCAGCTCGCAGGCAGTGCCAGCAGCGGCACCCGTGGTATTGCAGCAGCAGCTCTCACAGCTGCACGCGTCTCAGCCACCGCAGGGGCACTCCACCCACCACTGCCAGCAGCAGTGTGAGCACGAGGTGCAGACTGAGGCAGTGCAACCGCCGTGTTACCAACCTCAATCTCAGCAGCAGCAGCAGCAGCAGCAGCAGCAGCAGCAGCAGCAGCAGCAGCAGCAGGATTGTGTTAGGGGAGCTTTCGATGGGCAGGTGCGGTAGGGTGGGGTGGGGTGCTGCCTGCCAGGGTGGGACGAGACGATGGCATCATTGACTCGCATGCACCATCAACCATGCACCATCAACCATGCACCATCAACCATGCACCATCAATCAACCATGCACCATCAACCATGCACCATCAACCATGCACCATCAACCATGCACCATCAACCATGCACCATCCACCCATGCACCATCCACCCATGCACCATCCACCCATGCACCATCCACCCATGCACCATCCACCCATGCCCCCTCCACCCATGCACCATCCACCCATGCACCATCCACCATGCACCATCCACCATCCACCATGCACCATGCACCATCCACCATGCACCATCCACCATGCACCATCCACCATGCACCATCCACCATGCACCATCCACCATGCACCATCCACCATGCACCATCCACCATCCACCATGCACCATGCACCATCCACCATGCACCATCCACCATGCACCATCCACCATGCACCATCCACCATGCACCATCCACCATGCACCATGCACCATGCACCATCCACCATGCACCATCCACCATGCACCATCCACCATGCACCATCCACCATGCACCATCCACCATGCACCATCCACTATGCACCATCCACCATGCACCATCCACCCATGCACCATCCACCATGCACCATCCACCATGCACCATCCACCATGCACCACCCACCATGCACCATGCACCATGCACCATCCACCATGCACCATGCACCATGCACCATCCACCATGCACCATGCACCATGCACCATGCACCATGCACCATGCACCACCCACCATGCACCATGCACCATGCACCATCCACCATGCACCATGCACCATGCACCATCCACCGTGCACCATCCACCATGCACCATCCACCATGCACCATCCACCATGCACCACCCACCATGCACCATGCACCATGCACCATCCACCATGCACCATGCACCATGCACCATCCACCATGCACCATGCACCATGCACCATGCACCATGCACCATCCACCATGCACCATGCACCATGCACCATCCACCATGCACCATCCACCATGCACCATGCACCATCCACCATGCACCATCCACCATGCACCATCCACCATGCACCATCCACCATGCACCATCCACCATGCACCATCCACCATGCACCATGCACCATGCACCATCCACCATGCACCATGCACCATGCACCATCCACCATGCACCATGCACCATCCACCATGCACCATTCACCATGCACCATCCACCATGCACCATCCACCATGCACCATCCACCATGCACCATCCACCATGCACCATCCACCATGCACCATCCACCATGCACCATCCACCATGCACCATCCACCATGCACCATCCACCATGCACCATCCACCATGCACCATGCACCATGCACCATCCACCATGCACCATGCACCATGCACCATTCACCATGCACCATGCACCATGCACCATGCACCATCCACCATGCACCATCCACCATGCACCATGCACCATCCACCATGCACCATGCACCATGCACCATCCACCATGCACCATCCACCATGCACCATGCACCATGCACCATGCACCATCCACCATGCACCATGCACCATCCACCATGCACCATTCACCATGCACCATCCACCATGCACCATCCACCATGCACCATCCACCATGCACCATCCACCATGCACCATCCACCATGCACCATCCACCATGCACAATCCACCATGCACCATCCACCATGCACCACCCACCATGCACCATGCACCATGCACCATCCACCATGCACCATGCACCATGCACCATCCACCATGCACCATGCACCATGCACCATGCACCATGCACCATCCACCATGCACCATGCACCATGCACCATCCACCATGCACCATCCACCATGCACCATCCACCATGCACCATCCACCATGCACCATGCACCATCCACCATGCACCATCCACCATGCACCATCCACCATGCACCATCCACCCATGCACCATTCCCAATCTTGCGTTGGACTGACTGGGCGGCGCACCGCTCTCATCGCATGGCTGCTTGCCTTTTGCTGTCCTGCGTTTCTCACCTCCCTTTAACCACCGGCTTCTCCCTTGCCGTTTATCCTTCCTCGTTTTCTCCTCCCCTCCGCCCCCCTCCTTGCAGCTCATGCCGCCCGGCCTCCCCCCGCCCCACACCTCGCTCGCCTCGCTGCTGCCACCACTCCCCTCGCCCTCGTGTGCCCCTCCCACCCCGAGAACACGCGTTACTGCTTCAGCAGGGAGCAAGCCCAGAGGGCCTGGCGCTGCAAGGTGACTGTATGCTGGTGACTGTATGCAGGTGACTGCATGCAGGTGACTGTATGCAGGTGACTGCATGCAGGTGACTGCATGCAGGTGACTGTACGAAGGTTTCATGTTGCCCACATGTTGGGTACTCGCCACTTCCTGTGCTCCATACACCTTTCTCTTGCTCCAAGCCCCCTCGGCACTTCCCCTCCCCTCTTTCTTTCCCCGTCCTTTCTTTCTTCCTCTCGCTCTCACTCAGTCTGCCCTTCAAGTCGCGTCTGGCTCGCCTGGAGGCGGCACAGCGGCAGCAGCAGCAGCACGGGGCAGAGGCAGGCAGCGGGCACGAGGCAGTGCACGGTGCACAGGCAGTGCAGTATGCACGGGCAGATGCAGCAGAGGCGCATGCGCCCTGGGATGGGATGCGTGACTTGCATGTGACTGTAACCAGTGTGAGCTTCGAGGGCCACGTGGCATTGTGCCTGTGCCAGCAGGCCCAGCAGCGTGCCACGTCTGCTCCCATGAGTCAGCTGCGCTGCCAGGCTGGCACGGGTTATGCGGGGGAGGGGCAGGGAGACAGTGGCGGAGGAGGGGGAGGAGGAAGCGATCACTGGGGTGCGGCAGCTGCTCAGGATGCTCGCGGTGCTGTTAGTGCTGTTAGTGGTGCTGCTGCTGCTGGTGGTGGTGGTGATGCTGGTGGTGCGTGGCGTGAGCGTTGGCGTGCAGGCGATGCGAGTGTGGGAGGTGCAGGGAGAGACGAGCATGTGGCGCGAGCAGCAATGCTTGCTGCAGGTGGGTGGTGCTCATGTCAAACTTGCCCTCATCACTCACACTCACTCTCACAACTCACACTCACTCTTAATGCTCACATCAGGGGTCATAGCAGACAATGTGTGCAAACGTACCCATTCTTTGTTTCTCCTTCCTCCCCTTCTTTCTCTCCTGAATTCCCTCCTCTGCATGCCACACCGCTTGTGTTCCTCACGCTTCCACCCTTACGCGCCTCCACTCCCAATGCTCCCCCATCCCGCCACCCCCACATACCAGACGACGACCTTCTTCGGAAGCAGGCACAGCTGTTCCTTGCAGTCATCCCCACCAGCAGCACCACTCTCAACAGCTCCGCACCGTTTGCAGCCACTGCTACTGGCACTGCTGCAGCTTCTCCTGCCCCCAGTGCTTCCCTTGCGCCTGCCATTCAGCCCGGCACTGCCATCACCATCCGTCCCCCCTGGTACTTGCACCGCCATTGCAATCGTCCTTTTTTTTCTTGCTACTTTCCTACTTCTCCTTTTCCTGCTTCTGTCTGTACCCCTTCCTGCCCCTTAACCAGCCTCTGTATCCTAATCACGACCTTGTCTGCCTGCCAGGTACCACCTCCCCTTGGTACTGCCTCCCCCATGGGGCCCCACCCACGCTGTCTTTGCCACTCACGCTGCTGCTCACACTGCTCAAGCTGCTCCTGTGGGCGGCACGCAAGGCACTGAGGTGCCACCCGCTGGGCTGGCAGCAGACGGCGGAGCAACACCTCACAAGGGACTACCAGTGGACATGGGAGTGGAGGTGGCAGCAGCATGGGGAAACATGGGCTCGTGACCACCTGCACTTCTTGGCTGTACATAAGTACTTTCACCACGTTCTGGCATGGAGATTCGGTCAAGCTTCATGTGGGGGCCTGTTCTCTGCCCGTGCAACAACACCTCGCCCACCAGAGGGTGCACATGGACGACGCTCTCATGCAGCATGCATGCGCAACTCAGGTTCGCACTTCCAGTGGCGTTTACCTGTATCTACTTGGTCTTCGTGCGTGTAATTGCATATCATATTGCCATATTATTTCATTCGAATGTTATGAATTTTCCAGGATTAAAGATCTTCTCAACCACAGTGTATATCCAATCCAAAGGCCTATTTGACACAGAACAACACCCGCTCATAACAGTCCATATTCTTGAGAGTATTCTTGGATGTTCACAGTACCGAATTACTTTTACCAGTACTGTTATAACGAGTACAACATTCACATCGCGATCTGTTCATGGAACGCAGAGTGATTGAATTGAGTGTGAAGCTGGTGATGCCCACGCCTGGCGATTCCATCCGAGTCTCCACCAGACACTCCCGTGTGACCCCACGGCCAGCGGGCTCCTAAATCCACTCGTGTTGCTGCGCTTCTTCCACAATGCCTCCACCCTCGCGGCGACGCGGTGCCAGGGATGGAGGAGACGACCCGTCCTCCCCGCGCGCTGACGGCGGCGCGGCGGGCAAGCGTGCACAGGCGCACAGGGCGGCGCACTACCCGCACCGAGGGAAGGCTGCCCCGGCAAACCTGGCGTGGAATGCGGCGGTCCTTGCGCTGGTGCTAGCTGCGGGATGCGCGGCGGCGGTGATCGTCGTGCTGACGTGGGGCGACGCGCTCTTCGGCTCCTCCGAGAAGCAGCGCCACCTCACGCCGCTCAACGCCCCGCGCGTGGCGGATCTTCCCATGGTGAGGTGCTTCCCATGGTGATGCTTCCCATGGTGAGGTGCTCCCCATGGTGAGGTGCGGGCGGTCGGAGGGGGTTGGGATGGTTATCCCGGCAACGCAGTGCATGGCAAGCACGGGCAAGTGGCATGCGAGGATCAGGAGCGGCGCAAGGCGTTGAAGTCATGCCTCCCCAAGGCCGTCGCTGCTCCTCGCGCCCACGACCGTGCGAAGCGTTTCATATGTGTGTGCATGGATGCACGGGTGTACAGGTGGATGATTGAATGGGTCGATGTGCATACGTGCATGGGTAAACGTTCCTCATGGGATGCTTTGGCGCATTGCGGTTGGCACCTAATGGCATGCGGATCACATGCATTGGCAGGTGGGCTTGACCCCTCTCCTCCCATCGTGTGCTGCCATGACATGGCATGACCTTGCATGCTGCATCATGTGTCGTCATCTCATGGCATGGCATGGCATGTGTGGGCAGTTCAAGGGCGGGTATGCGGAGGAGATGCTGTGGGGAACTTACCGCCCGCAACTCTACCTCGGCATTCGCCCACGGTAGGCTGCTCTGCTCTGCTCTGCTGTGCTGTGCTGTGCTGTGCTGTGCTGCGCTGTGCTGTGCTGCGCTGCGCTGTGCTGCGCTGTGCTGCGCTGTGCTGTGCTGCGCTGCGCTGTGCTGCGCTGTGCTGTGCTGTGCTGTGCTGTGCTGCGCTGTGCTGCGCTGTGCTGTGCTGTGCTGTGCTGCGCTGTGCTGCGCTGTGCTGTGCTGTGCTGTGCTGCGCTGTGCTGTGCTGTGCTGCGCTGTGCTGTGCTGTGCTGCGCTGTGCTGCGCTGTGCTGCGCTGTGCTGTGCTGTGCTGCGCTCTGCTGTGCTGTGCTGTGCTGTGCGGTGCTGTGCTGTGCTGTGCTGTGCTGTGCCGTAGCGGAAGAGGGGGCGCCACTGAAGGGAGAGGGGGCGCCACTGAAGGGAGAGGGGGCGCCACTGAAGGGAGAGGGGGCGAGCCTGTCAGCAGTGCAGTGCGGGCGGCAGGGGAGGAGGAGGTGGCTTGTGGTTGCCACGCTGCTCGCTGTGCCGCTGCTGCGTGCGGTGCCTCTTCCCATCACTTGCTCACTCACTCGCTCCACTCCCCTCTTTACCATCCGCGCATTCCTGCATTGCACACGCCTCTCCTCTTCCACTCCTGCCCATGCTGCCTCCATGTCCTGCCCCCCATATTCCTCGCGTGTCGTGCCGGTTGTCTCTGTCTTTCCATTCCCTCCCAGCCTGCCCCAGTCGGTGGTGGCGGGGGTGATGTGGTGGGCGCCGAGGCAGGACGACTTTGTGGTCCGCCACACGTGTGAGCTGCACGACCCCGTCCTGCACTCCTACTCCTGGCTGCGCCATGATGGCCGCCGCTACGCCCGCCAGGTATGGGGAGGTGACACGGGAAGGAGAAACCTTGGGAGGGGAGGGAGAGAGTGGGAGTGGACGAAGGGCATGAGGGTTGAGAGTGCAGGGCCCATGGGATTGGCATGGATAGGGGAGAGGAAGGGCAGTAACTCAAGTGCTGCTCATCCGAGTGAGTTCCCATGTGCGCACAGGAGGTGAAGGACGGCCCATTCGACCTGAGCATGGCGTTCCTCAAGTCCTTCAACGGCAGCACGGGGTACGGGGGTGACTGGGCCGTGCGCGTGGCCGTGGACCTCAACCGTGAGAGGGTGGGCGGCGCAGTCAACGCCCAGTCAATGCCCTTGTGAGTCAACGCCCAGTCAATGCCCTTGTGAGTCAACGCCCAGTCAATGCCCTTGTGAGTCAACGCCCAGTCAATGCCCCTATGAGACAACAGTAGTTATTGCCACGTTGAGGCCTGCTCCCACTTCCTTCTCCCTCCCCACCTCCACCCCACACACCACTTCCGGTTCTCACTCGTCTCACTTCTCCTCCTCCCCCTCCCTCTCTCATCCCCACTGGCTGTTCCTCTTGCTCCCCCCTCTACCCTCCTCCCCACCTCCCCCCCCCCCCCCTCCCTCCCTCCCGCAGCACCTTCTTCTTCTACGTGGCGGACGAGGCGGGCGCCCCGCTGCTGGCGCTGCCCTCGCCCGCCGAGGTGGCCCGCCTCGTGCTGCACCCCGCCGCTGCCACTGGGGTGGGCGGGGGAGAGGGTGCGAGTGGCAGTGCGGGGCGAGGGGGGGCGGAGGGTGACGAGGAGTGGGTGCGAGGGGGATTTGAGGACGAGGAGGAGGATGAGGAGGAGGAGGAGGAGGAGGAGGCGATGGGGGTGGGGAGGAGAAGGTTGAGGAGTGTGGAGGGCAGTGGTTTGAGAAGGGGTGGGGCGGGACGAGGGGTTGAGAGAGGGGGAAAGAAAGGGAGGAGGCTGATGGGCGAGGGGGGTGGGGCGGAGGAGGCGGAGGGGCGAGGGGGGCAGCGGGCAGTGGTGGTGGCGGGGGGGGTGTCGGATGTGTTTGGGCGGTGGGAGCTGCATGCCGTCACACAGGTATGCCACCTGTGCGCGCTGGCAGGTATGGCACCTGTGCGCGGCGGACAGTGTGTGTGTTGTGTTGCACTCACGCTCGCCGCTGCTGCTTCTCAACCCAAACCTCTTCCCTCGCCCCCCATGCCCCCTCCTCTCCCATCCGCAAGCAGCAGGCGGAGGGGCCGGGGGCGACATTTGAGGCGGTGCACACGCGGCACATGCACAACCTGTCGGACACTGTCAAGGCCGCCCTCATCCGCCACGTACGTGCTCTCATGCCCGCCCTGCTGCCATCATCTGCATGTGCCCACATGCACCTGAGCATCCCGAGTTGTCATTCCTCCGTGGCCTCCCTCTACAACAGAGTCTCCCTCTACAACAGAGCCTCCCTCTACAACAGAGTCTCCTGCTCTACCTCCTCACACCCCCCCGTCCACCCTTGCATACTTCCCCACACCTTCCCCCTCCGGCAGTACCAAACCACGCAGCAGCCGACACTGGGCAACAAGGCACAGCCGGGCGCCAACGTGGCCATCATCCAGGTGCAATACAGATGCCCACGCTGCCTCATATGTCTTGCGTTGTGAAGGCAAGGCAGCTGCATCGTCCACTTGCACTCCACTCCACCACCACAATCTGCTGCACTGCATCTGCTCGCCTCTGCTTGTGCTCCCGACCCGTGCGCATGTTTCTGCTCTCTTTCTCCTTGTCACCGCATCATGTGCTTCTCGCTCCACCCATCCATCGCCTCTCGCTCGACTCTCACCCTCTCTCTATCTCCTTCTCCCCGCCACCCCACACACGCCCCGGCCACAGCTGACAGTGTGGCTGCCAGCGGTGGTGGACTTTGTCTTCCTCTCCGGCCTCCCCGCTGCCTCTGCTGCGCAATCATCGTCACAACAAGCCACCAGGCGCCTCAACCTTCTCTCAGGTGCCTCTCATAGTCCTTGCCTTCAAACGGAATGATGAGCAGCACAGCACACACACGCACACGCATGCAACCCCCCTCTTCCCCTCTCCTCCCACCGCTTCGCCGCTGCCCTCCTTCCACCGTCCGTCACCAGGCCCTGCGTTGGCGCGACGCATGGGAGAGGCAGACGCGGCAGTGGAGCGCCGCATGGAAGCTTCCTTCCCTGTCGTCCCTGAGGTGAGGAGAAGCGGCAGGTGGCAGTGGGGGTTGAGAAGGGAGAGGAAAGGTTGTGGGGAAAGGGGTACAGGGCGTGAGGCAGTGGGGTGGTTGTGCGAGGTCAGGGACCATTCTCTGGTGCCAGTGGCCTGTGGCCGTGTGAGGTCATTAGAGTCCTCTCTGCCACTGTGCCTACCCCTCGCCACAACCCGTCCCCTGCCTGCCCGCCCAGCTGGCAGAGAAGATCCCAGGAGTGGGCGACGCGGTGAAGGCAGCGCTGAGCAACCTCATCGGCGGCGTGGGGTACTTCCACGGCCGCTCCCGCATCGCCATTCCGCCCCATCTTAAGGTACTTGCCATCACGCCTCCATCATAGAGTGGTTCACTCACTTCATCTCTTCCCCTCATCCGTTCATCTTCATCTTCATTCGCCCGCTTGTCCCTCAAGCCTTGGCCACCGCTGCCCGTGCACATGCGCTGCTCATGCCTCCTTGCTCAACGTCCCGTCATTCTTTCCGCCAATCGCCACAACCCCGTGCGCACACCAGGACCCCAGTGACCCAGCGGCGTACTGGCAGTATTGGGCGGCGGCACTGTTCACCGCCACGCCCAGCCGGCCCATGTTCCCTCGGGGCTTCCTCTGGGACGAGGGCTTTCATCAGCTCGTGCTCAGGTAACCTTCAGGTGGCCCTCAGGTCACCTTCAGGTGGCCCTCAGGTGACCTTCAGGTGGCCCTCAGGTGACTCTTAGGTGGCCCTCAGGTGCCTTTATGAGCTTCCACAAGCTTTTGCTTAGGTGATCCTCAGGTGCCTCTCAGGTGGCTTCAGGGGCCCCCAGCAGTTCGGGATCAGTTGACTGTAAGGTGGTGGCCAGGTGGCTTTAAGGGCTTCCACCAGCTCACCCTCAGGTGGTTCTCCAGTCAATCGCTCCGAGTCGCACTCAGGCGCCAGGCACGCGGCGCACCATGCCCATGGATGTCCTCCCTTTTCTTCCACCCCCCTGTGTGTGCATGGCATGGCATGATGGCATGACGGCACGGTATGGCATGGGGGCAGGCGGTGGGACGAGCGCATGGCGATGGACGCGGTGGGGCACTGGCTGGACCTGCTCAACGTGGACGGCTGGATCCCTCGGGAACAGATCCTGGGGGATGAGGCGCGCAGGTGAGGGGGCAGGGGGATGAGGCGCGCAGGTGAGGGGGGCGTGGGGATGCATCACCACTGCTGCTCACTCCCGGTTGGTCCTCATACTTGCCATCTCACCTCACCTCTGAATGTTTCACACTCCCTCTCCCCCACCCCTCCATTCCCCCATGGCAAGGGCAGCAAGGTACCGGAGGAGTTCATAGAGCAGCATGTGACCAACGGCAACCCGCCCACGCTCTTCCTCCCTCTCACCGGTGTGCACTCCAAGTGCATTTCGCCCTCGTTCTCCTTCTCACTCGTACCAAACGACCCCGTCCCATCCCCTCGGCGGACTCTATTGCTACGAATCAATGCTCTTCACCACGTGTTGCTCTCTGACTGCCGTATGCTCTCCATGTCTGCCTGCTCTGGACTTCACCACCTACATAGCTTGCGCTTGTCATGGCCTTTGCTGTGCTGCCATGGATGCACGAACCTTGGATGCTGGTCTTGCTGTTCGCTACCTTGTTATTGCCTCCCAGAAATCCGTTTCCCTCTCACCTTATCACCCATCTCTCCACAGAGATTGCTGATCTGGCAGCTCGCAGTGCTGCCACGTGTCATCGGCTGCCAAACGGGTCGTTTGTGCCGAAGGAGGGGGTGGGAGAGGGAGTGGGGGCAGGAGGCGGGGAGGCGGAGGGGTGTGAGCGGGTGTCGTTCCTGCATGCATGCTTGCCGCGCCTCAAGGCGTGGTTCCGCTGGTTCAACTCCTCCCAGGCCGGTGCGTGTGGTAGGGCAGGCGGCTCACTGCTGCTGGGCAGATGTGAAAAGCAGAACGCATGTGGGAAGCTGTGTGTGGGATGGCACTTAGGCACGCCTCTTCATTCCACTTTGCTGCGCCGCACCTTGCGAATGGACATGTGTGGGTGGAAGCGGAGAGGGGCAGGGGCAGCGCTATGAGAGGGGCAGCGCTATGAGAGGGGCAGCGCTATGAGAGGGGCAGCGCTATGAGAGGGGCAGCGCTATGAGAGGGGCAGCGCTATGAGAGGGGCAGCGCTATGAGAGGGGCAGCGCTATGAGAGGGGCAGCGCTATGAGAGGGGCAGCGCTATGAGAGGGGCAGCGCTATGAGAGGGGCAGCGCTATGAGAGGGGCAGCGCTATGAGAGGGGCAGCGCTATGAGAGGGGCAGCGCTATGAGAGGGGCAGCGCTATGAGAGGGGCAGCGCTATGAGAGGGGCAGCGCTATGAGAGGGGCAGCGCTATGAGAGGGGCAGCGCTATGAGAGGGGCAGCGCTATGAGAGGGGCAGCGCAGCCCCACCGAATTGCAGCAGTGGATCAGGGACTGCAGGGACAGCCTCTCGCAGGAGGCGAGGGATCTTCTATCCGCGGAGCAGACAAAACCCAAGGGCCAGCTGCAACACCGCTTAGCACTCCTAGTCCAAGGGGGCCGGAGTGCCGCCCAGATCACAGCATCCAGACAGATGGAACTGAACCCCCGGCTAGGCCACACCCAGCGCCTCATGTCCCTCACGGGCTATGGGGCGGGGGACTGGCTCATGGCAATCCCCTACATGCCTTCCCTACGCCTATACCCCTGCCACTTCAAGTTCGCCCTCCAGTTTAGGCTCGGCCTGCCCCTGTCTGTGCCCGACTGCTGCGACTGCACCAAACGGGTCCCCATCCTGGATAAGAGACTGCCGAACCACTTGCTTAGGTGCGGTACAGGGCACGATCGGACCAACACCCACAACGAGCTGCGCGACGAGTGCATCCGCATGGCGCAGGATGCAGGATTTGCCGTGCATAAGGAGTGCACGGCCTTTAGCCCTGTAGACAACAAGAAGGCCGACTTGGCCTTCAGGGATGGGAGCTCGGGGGCGGTATGGCTGGCAGACATCACCATAACGGACCCCATCAGTAAGCGTGATGAGACCGCAAGGAAAGGGAGGGGTTGGGCAGCGCGGGAGGCAGCGGACAAGAAGATAGACCTCTACCACGGCAGGGCTGAGTTTGCTGAATTTTTCCCCTTGGCGGTAGAGACCTACGGCTGCCCGTGCGACGAGGTGCCCACGTTCCTGAAGCTGCTGGCGGACAAAGCTGCACGGAGAATCTTCAACGCGGACCCGTCTACCTACCAGGCCGCGAAGATGCTCCACCAGTTCCGCCAGCGCTGGTCGGTCGCACTCCAGAGAGCCCAGGCGGTGAGCTTTCTCACAAAGCTGAACCAGGCGGCAAGGGCAGAGAACCCCCCACTGGGAAGACCAGAGGGGGAGGTGAACCCGGGGGACTGCTTCGCAACGCTCGAGGCACCTAAGATAGGGGGGGGGGGGGGGGGGGGGGGTTTGGGGAGGGACTAGGGGTGTGTGTTCTGAAGGTTTTGTATTATCGTTGCTCGACCCCATTTGCTAGTCTTCATGCTAGACATGCCCTGGCCTAGAATATGCATGTTTGTACCGAACCACACTTATCAATACAAAGGACCGTTAGAGAGAGAGAGAGAGAGAGAGAGAGAGAGAGAGAGAGAGAGAGAGAGAGAGAGAGAGACAGAGAGAGAGAGAGAGAGAGAGAGAGAGAGAGAGAGAGAGAGAGAGAGAGAGAGAGGAATAGCCTCTGCCCTCTGCCCTTAGCCACTGCCCTCGGTTGCCTAGATATTTAAGGGCCCGTCTCACCCTCCCTTTCCTCATTATTCAGTTTGCGGCTGAATTTTTCCGCTCGTTCGTTCGAGAGAGCGAGAGAGAGAGAGAGAAAGAGGAATAGCCTCAGCCCTCTGCCCTTAGCCACTGCCCTCGGTTGCCTAGATATGAGCATCATGATGAGCCCGAAGAACATGGCGCAGAGGTAGTAGTTGCCGTCTTGCAGGGAGATGTCAAGCGTGGTGCGGAAGAAGATGGTCATGGTGACGAGTGCGATGAGGATGATTTGGATGGTCTGAGCGACGTAGAGGAACGTGTTGCACTTCATGAGGAGAAACTCGCGCTCGAAGACTGCACAAAACATTTCAGATGTTGGGAGGGCGTTGCGCTTGTGGGCAAGGGCGCCGGGAGGGCTTTTCTCCTTGGGGTAGGGCACTTGGTGGGGGTTGGGGTGAGGATGGGGTTTACAAGTTTGGGAATGTGAGGTGGGGTTTGAAAAAGGGGAGGAGTGGTTAGGAGGGCAGGAGGTTTGGGAAAATTGTGGAGCAAAAGCAAAAGTGCGGGACGAAGGGACCAGAGCCTGACGACAAAAAACATGGTACGTACCGAGAGGTGGGCACCAGTGGTACGTACCGAGAGGTGGGCAGAAGTGGCCTTGCCGATCTGCGTCTCTTTGAACACCGCCTCAAACGCCTGCGCCGGCACATAGTGATACGGCTGGCTGCCCGCCCCCCCTTCCAGTACTGCCCCTGGTCCTTCATCGACGTCACCTCTTGCAGGAAATCCGCCTCGCCTTTCCTCTCTGGGCACTCAAAGCCCAGCTGGTTGAAAAACGGCACCACGTGTTCCCTGGGCCCGTGAAACACAACGTGGCCCTCGGAGAACAGCAGCACGTCGTTGAAGAGCTCGTAGGTCTCGGGGGCGGGCTGCAGGAGGGCGACGAGCGTGGTGGCAGAGTGGAGGTGCGTGAGATGGCGCAGGCAGCGCGTGATGAGGAAGGTGGCGGACGAGTCCAGCCCCGTGCTGATCTCGTCCATCAGGAGAACTTGCTTGGGGCCCACGAGGGACACGCCTGTGGTGACGCGCTTCTTCTGCCCGCCTGAGATGTCGCGCAACATTTCATTTCCCATTATTGTGTCCACACAGATGTCCAGACCTAGGATTGAGGTGCAGCTCCTGCCCTATGCCTCCTACAGGCGGGTTTTCTGCCACCGCTGCCTCACCCCACTTAAGTAGGAGTCCCACGGATTGAGCCCTCTTAAGAGCCACCAACCACCGTTGCCTGAATTGGTGCAGAAACTTGGCAGCATAATAGGATTTTGAGTCGGCGTTGAAGTGGCGCCGAGCCGCTGTGTCTGCCAGGAGCTTGAGGAAGACAGGGACCTCGGCGCATGGGCAGCCGTAGGTGTCTACTGCCAGTGGGAAGAAGCCAACCATCTCTGGGCGGTTGGCGTAGTGCTTGATTTTCTTGTCTGCTTGTTCACGTGCCGCCCATCCCCGGCCCTTTTGTGCTTCCGGGTCCCTAGTTCTGATAGGGTTAGTGATGGTAACGTCGCAGATGTACACCGCCCCACTGCTTCTATCGGTCATGGTGAAGTCGGCCGTTTGCTCCTCGATAGGGCAGTAGGCGGCCGACTCCCTGTGTACTATAAACCCCGCGTCTTGCGTCATGCTAATGCAGGCGTCCCGCAGCTCATTGTGCGTGTTCGTGCGGTGCTTGCCTGTGCCGCAGCGGAGCAGGTGGTTCGGGAGGCGGGGGTCGGTGATAGGCGTGTGGTCCGCGCAGTCACAGTTCTTGGGTGTGGAAAACGGTAGGCCGAGGCGGAAGCGTACCGCGTTGGCGAAGTGCACTGGCCCTATCCGTCTTGCGGGAGCGATGGGGATCGCGGTGAGCCAGTCGCCTGTGGCATAGCCTGTCATAGGGAACATCCGCTGCGTGTGACCAGCGAGCGGATTCGGCTTCATGCGCATTGTCGCCTGCACCTGCTTTGCGTATCTGCTTCCGTGGACTTTGAGTCCTAGCACGTGTTGGAGCCGGATGTCAGAACGCTCAAGCCTCTCCTTCTCCAGTACCTCCCGCGCATCAAAGGGCAGTGCCTCTTCACACTCGGTCAGCCATGTGTGTAGCGGTGTGCTGTCAACCCGCGGCAGTAGCATATGGTTCCGTGCTAGGGTGAGAGCGTTATCTTCTTCCAGCGGTAGACAGCCGAGATACAGCGCCGCCTGCGTGAAGCTGGCTGCGAAACCGTAGATCCCCTCGACTAGGGGGTCTGTGATGCCCAGTCCTCCCAAGGATGGCGGCAGCGACGCTTGCTCCCAAACCCGCGATTGTTCTGTTCGACACGTCAGAACGCGAATATCACACGACGTGAGGAGCGTGGCGAGCGGATCCCGGCCCCACTGGCTCCATGTATCACGGGGGAGGAGGTGGAGTGGTGTCGTCCTGATGAGGTATGCAACTCGTCGCGAGATGCATCGCGTAATTAGAAGGGCTGCTACCTGGGGGTCTGTTCGCTCGAGCAGGGGTAGGGGTTTTGACATCTCAGCAAGTTGACCTGCCAGGAACTGAGCTGCGCCGCTTTTCGGCCCCACGAAGCTACCCAGTAGCTTCACGCCGTCTTTAGAGAACGGCACTCCTGGCGGAAGGCAAGCTGTGTCGATTGCGCTTGAGCTCCAGGCGCTACATTTCTGTGGGTTATGTGCGAGGCCCAGGTGCGCCAACTTTGCTGTGAAGTATGTGAATGCAGCTACAGTATGTGCAACCCAGGAAGGTGACATCGTCCTCATATGCCAAGCACAGCACGTCAGGGTGTGATTCGGCAGTTTCTCGAAGTGTGGCGTGTATCCCTGCTGCAAATAGCAACGGCCCAAGTGGGTCTCCTTGGCGCACGCCGCGTTCACTTGCTAGTGGTGCGCTGTTGAAGTTGGAGTCCAGTAGCAGCTGCGACGGGTTACCGTATGTCAGTTTCACGAGCGGCAGCAGCGGCGAGAGGGTGGGCTCGTGTAACGCGTCGGCGATGGCGGTTCGCGAAATGCTGTTGAACGCGTTTGAAATGTCGGCTTGCAGTACCAGGCTGTCCGGGCGGGCATCCGAAAAAGCCCTGGCTGCGTGGATTACTGCCTCTGCTCCACCTGGTACTGCCACCCCGTACTGTAGCGGTAGGAAAAATTCGCGGACCGGTTCTCCCATGATTAACAGGGCAGCCTTGGCTGCCAGCCTCGTTAGGCACTCGCCGATGGCGATTGGCCTAGCCCCCCCCCCCGGCTTGGCAAGGGCGATGAGACGCGACGCCGTCAGCAGGTTTGCTACCAAACCTGGCAATTGTCCTCCCAGCATAGTGTTGACCAAGGCGTGCAGATGGGTGCTGACCATTCCGTTGGTGATCGCCGCGTCACGCAGGTGTTCGAATGTCATCCCTGATGGTCCGGCCCCGACCCCATTCTCGCATCTCCCCAACATTTTAGCGAAGTCAGGGTGGGGGATTGACAGTTTTGACCCTTGTGTCTCGGGCCACGTCACTGCCTCATCTCCAGCGGGTGGGTGCTTTTTGCACAGCTCCTCCAATATTTCCGGGCTGGGTGTGCAGACGGGCGTTGACTCGAGGGCCAGCACGGCTCAGCGCAGACTGCCACGTTTTGCCAGGCTCTCTGCACGGCTGATGACACCTGTCGCATCTGGCTGATGTCTTGGCGGGGGCGGTGTGTTGACTGCGTTCAACGCGTCTTGGTACAGCTGATCCCATTCGCCACGCTGGAAAGCTCGGAGCCGGCTCTTGACACTTGGCCAGTTCGGGCGTTGTGGCGAGGTCTGGCGAAGCGTCAGGCGCGGGAGAAACAGCAGCAGGCGCCATCCCATTTCCGAATCAGGGTTTCGTGATAGGTGGTGTAACGGTGTCAGTAGCGCGAGCGAAAAAAGCTGACACAGGTTTGGCGGTAAACGCCGCGACAGTGGAGGCTGACGACTGTCGCAAAGTGCTGGAATGTCCCAGTTCGCGATGGCTGCGAACAGGTCTGTCCGCTTCGCTAGCTCGTCTGGTGAAAAGTAGTGGGGAATTGATGCTGGTGGGCGCGCCGCAGCACCGGCAATGGCGGTTCGATTTCTCCCAGCGCGGCTCGATCTCATTGGTGGGCCTGAGGTTGGATTTGCACCCGTCCGATCAGCATCGGATGGTGGCTGAGTCATCGGTGGTACTTGCAATTCCGCCTGCTGCACCACGTCTTCCCTTCTCCTTGGTCCTTCTCTCGCCATGCCTTCCTCCTCCGTCTCCTCCTCCTCGCTCTCGGGAAGGGCTTCTTCCCTATAAGATGGGTCGTCCCGCTCGTCTTCATCATTACTAATAGTTTCGTCCACATTGTTTAAAGCCATTCTCGCCGTCGCCTGATACCCATTCTCTGGCCCTCCGCCTGTTCCGCTTACGGTTTCTCTCCTCGCCACGCGTCTTCCTTGCTCTAGGGATGGTGATTGCCGGAGCACCTGAGCCGTCGCCAGAGCTCGTTGCCGTCTGGTCGGCTGCGGTCGCCAAGCCTCCGGCGGAGCCCGAAAGGGCGACCATGGCGACGAAGCCCCCTCTACCGCCGGCTCCGAAACCCGTGACAGCAGTCTCTGAAAAGACTCCTCCCCACGCACCCGCGGATCCCCTTGTCGGGTCAGAGGCAGGCCCGTCCGCTCCCGCTGCTGTTCCGTCTGCTCCGCCTGCGGCACCTGGCCCCCTGGCTCCCCTTGTCGAGCCGTCGGCGTCTGCCCCTGCTGGGGGTGTTGCTGAACCCCCTGCACCTGTCCCTGGCGCCCCAGTTGCGCCGACCGCTTCTGTCCCCTGCCTACCTGCGTAGGCCTCTGCTTCGTCACCAAAGGCGGCGTCCGCCACCATTGGCGAGCCGGCTCCGTCGGTTGCGCCTGCGGCGGCGGGCCAGTCCGCCCCTGCTGTGACGGCGGTGGCTCCTGCAAGCCAGCCGTCACGCCCTCCGTCGCCTGACCGTCGCTCGATGCGCCCCCATTCCCCCGCTCCCCATCAGGACCGCAAGTCCTCTCGTCGCCGGCGTGAGTCTCCACGGCGGTACCAGCAACAGTCGCACTGGCCTGCTCACCCCGGGGGTCAGGGGGATTAGAGGGGTCCCCGTGCTCGTGGCGGGGGTGGGGGGTATCGCCCGCCTGTGACGATGGCGGATCTTCAGCGGGAAGTATCGAGGGCGGTTCGGGAGGAGAGGGCGGCGCAGAGCCAAAGCAGTTCGATGCGCGCCTCGCCAGCCCTCGAGGCTCCTCATCCGGCCGCGCTCCCCGCGACCTCGCAGCCTGTTGCTGCGCCTCCTCCTTAGATCCTTGCGCCGCCAGCTCCTTCTCCCGCTGTATCGGCACCTGCTCCCGGTTCTCGTCTCCATCTGCCGCCGGTTCCGCCCGTTGCGGGAGTGGAGTTTGTGGCCGTGGGTGGCGGCTCGTTGGCGGCTCCGTTTGCTCTCCCAGCTGATGCCGATGAGCCGCTCCAGTTCCTGGCGGAGGCACTCCAGCCTCCGCAGACCCGTGTTCTCGAGGCAACTCTCGGACAGCTACACCGCCTCGCTGACAGTCTCCATGCTCTGCTGCTGATTCAGGTGCTGGCCCACTCATCTCTCCCTGTGGTCCCTCCTGAGACCTTCCGTGGCCGCCAGCGTGACTCTTGCCTGGACGCGGCGGACCAGCTCGCGGTGCTGCTGGCGCCCGTGCTGGCTGCGCCCGCGAAGGGTGGCGCTGCTGCTGCGGGACAGCTTGACGAAGCCGTCCGGGGCTTGAGGCGGCACTTGCGCGGATGGAGCCGCGGCGATCGGCGCAAGCACGCTAGTGGTCCGCGAGCTGTGGCGCTCCCTGACGGGCATTCTTCACGCCCTTGGAGCTCACCGCATGTAGATGCGGGCTCCGATCGCCCCATTTTTTATTTGCTTGTCTAGGTTGTTGTAGGAGGAGCCATGATTGTAATGCCGTTGTATATGAGCAACTCTTAGTATTGTCACTTGCTGTCCCCTCAAGCGCGGCCGAAGGCCGCGCTGTCGAGCAATTTTTCCGCACCAGCCGAACAATGAGGTGAAGGGGCCTTGAGGGGCCTCTTATATAGCTCTCAAGGAGAGGGCAGAGGGCTAAAGGGAGAGACCAGAGGCTAGGATCCTCTCTCTCTCTCTCTCTCTCTCGCTCTCTCGAACGAGCGAAATTTTTCCGCACCAGCCGAAATTTTTCCGCACCAGCCGAACAATGAGGTGAAGGGGCCCTGAGGGGCCTCTTATATAGCTCTCAAGGAGAGGGCAGAGGGCTAAAGGGAGAGACCAGAGGCTAGGATCCTCTCTCTCTCTCTCTAACTGACCGTGTATTGATAAATCAAAGGGATACAAGCATGCAGGATATGGATTCTAGAGGATCCTCTCTCTCTCTCTCTCTCTCTAATGGTCCTTGTATTGATATAGCAGCCAAGTACAAGCATGCAGGTCATAGAGTCATAGCTAACTAACATGCAAGGCACAAGCACCACAAATCTACAACTCCACTAGGGGCTCAATGACTGCGAAGCAGTCCCCAAGGTGCAACTCGTCCCCAATCCCCCCCACAGGCGGGTTCTCTACCACCGCAGCCTCCCCAAGTTTGAGCAAGAGGCCCACAGATTGGGCCCTTTGGAGGGCCACTGACCAACGTTGCCTGAACTGGTGTAGGAACTTTGCAGCATAGAATGATTTGGAGTCGGCGTTGAAGTGGCGCCGAGCTGCAGTGTCCGCCAAGAGTTTCAGGAAAACTGGCACCTCCGCACAAGGGCAGCCGTAGGTGTCTACCGCCAGAGGGAAGAAATTCACCGTCTTTGGCAGGGTGGGGTAGTGCTGGATCTTCTTGTCCGCCTGCTCCCGTGCCGCCCAGCCCCTGCCCTTCTGCGCCTCTGGGTCCCTAGTGCTAATAGGATCGGTAATAGTGACGTCGCACACGTAGACGGCACCGCTGCTTCTGTCCGTCATTGTAAAATCAGCGGTCTGTTCCTCAATGGGGCAGTGCGCCGATGACTCGCTGTGGACAATGAACCCCGCGTCTTGGGCCATGCTAATGCAGGCATCGCACAGCTCATTATGGGTGTTGATGTGGTGCTTGCCCGTGCCGCAGCGGAGTAGGTGGTTAGGGAGGTGGGGGTCCGTGATGGCAATATGGTCTGCGCAGTCGCAGATTTTCGGTGTGGAGAAAGGGAGGGCCAGCCGGAAGCGCACGGCGTTAGAGAAGTGGGTGGGCCCTATCCTCCTGTTTACCGCAATGGGGATAGCCGTCAGCCAATCCCCGGTCCCGTAACCTGTCAGTGACTACATCCGCTGCGTGTGTCCGCACAGGGGGTTCAGTGCCATCCGTCGTGTCTCCATGACCTGCACGGCATATCTGCTCCCATGTACCCTCAGTGCCAATGCGTGCTGGAGTCTGGTGTCTGATCGCTCCAGCCGCTCTTTCTCCAAGATCTCCCGTGCGTCAACTGGTAAAGCCGCTTCGCACTCCGAAAGCCACGCGTGGAGAGGCGTGGCGACGTCTGCAGGCAGCAGCATGTGGTCCCGGGCCTGCGTCAGCGCGCCATCAGGGGCGCCTTCTAGTGATGCCAGAAAGAGCGCGGCCTGTGTGAAGCTCGCCGCGTAACCGTACACTCCCTCGATTAGGGGGTCGATAATGCCTATCCCCCCCAATGACGGCGGCAGTGACGCCTGCGCCCAGACACGTGCTTGTTCAGCGCGGCAGGTGGGAACACGGATGCTGCATGCTGTCAGTAGCGCTGTAAGCAGATCCATCCCCCACTGACTCCAGGTGTCGTGAGGCAGAAGGTGGAGCGGCGTTGTTCTGGTGAGGTATGCCACCCGCCTCGAGATACAGCGGGTGAGCAATAGTGATGCTACCTGGGGGTCGGCTTTCTCAAGGAGTGGCAAAGGTTTTGCCATTTCCCGTAGCTGACCCGACAGGAACTGCGACGCCCCGCTGTCAGGACCCATGAAGCTGCCAAGCAAGCGCACGCCGTTCTGGGAAAAAGGCACTCCCCGCGGAAGCTGGTCCTTCACTGCTCCTTCCCTGCTCCAGGCTGCACATTTCTGTGCGTTGCGTGTTAGCCCCAGGTGCGCCAGACTCTCGGTGAAATGATTGAATGCAGCTACAGTGTCCGCCGCATTCCCCAGGAATGTGACATCGTCTGCGTAGGCCAGACAAAGCACGTGGGGATATGCCTCGGCGGTGTCGCGAAGTGCTGGGTGTATTCCCGCCGCAAACAATAAAGGGCCAAGTGGGTGACCTTGCCGTACGCCTCGTTCGCTGGTCAGTGGGTCGCATTCGAAATTGGCGTCGAGATGCAACTTGGACGGGTTACCGTAGGTCAGTTTCACCAGCGGCACTAGTGGCGAAAGCCCGGGCTCCTATAACGCCGTCGCGATGGCTTGTCGAGAGATGCTGTTGAAAGCATTCGAGATGTCGGTTTGCAATACCAGGCTGTTGGATAGCTTGTCCAGATACGCCCGTGCCACGTGGATAACTGCCTCGGCTCCCCCTGGCACAGCCACCCCATACTGTAGAGGCAGGAAGTAGTCACGTGCAGCATCGGCCATGGCTGCGAGGGCTGCCTTGGCTGTCAGCCGGGTGATGCACTCGCCGATGGCAATTGGTCGAGCACCCCCACCAGGTTTGGCTAGGGCTATGAGTCGCGAGGCTGTCAGTAGGTCCGCCACCGGTCCTGGAAGGTTGCCCCCCAGAATGGTGTTTATCAATGCGTGCAGATGGGTGCTGACTCGTCCGTTCGTGATTGCCGCGTCGCGCATGTGCTCGAAAGTTGTCCTCGAAGGTCCGGCACCGACCCCGTTCTCGCACCTCCCCAGCAGTTTGGCGAAATCCGCGTGGGTGATGGACAATTTTGACTCTCGTCGGGGTGGCCACGTTGTCGTCCCTAGTTCGGCTCTTGGGTGTTTCCGTCGGAGCTCGTCCAGTATTTCTGGAGTCGGTTTGCAGACTGGCGTTGACTCTAACGCCAACACGGCTCGGCGCAGACTGCCCCGTTTCGCCAGGCCCTCGGCTCGGCTAATGACCCCGGTAGCATCGGGTTGATGACGTGGCGGCGCGGGTGTGTTGACTGCGTCAATCGCCTCCCTGTACAGTTGGTCCCACTCGCCACGCTGGAAGGCTCGGAGCCGGGCCTTGATCTGGGGCCAGTTCGGTCTCAGTGGCGAGTTTTGGCGAAGCGTCAGACGCGGGAGAAAAAGGAGAAGGCGCCAACCAGCCTCGGATTCCGGGTTTCGTGACAAGTGGAGTAACCGAGTTAGTAGCGCCAGCGAAAACAACTGACACAAGTTTGGCGGTAACCGCCGTGCCAGGGCTGGCTGCCGACTGTCGCAGAGGGCAGGGATATCCCAGTTCGCGATGTCCGCGAACCAGTCTGCCCGCATCGCCACCTCCTCTGGCGTGAAATAGCGGGGGGAATTGGAATTTTCTCGCCCCGCAGCCGTGTCTGTCGTGGCCCGATTTCGCCTAGTGCGGCTCGTCCTCGCTTGTGGTGGTGTGGTTGGAATCTCGCCTGTACGATCGGCATCGGACGGTCCACGAGCCGGATCCCTTTGCTCGCCACGGGACTGCCTTGGTCCTGCTCCCGTCCTCCCCGCGTTCTCCCTTATTCCTTCCTCTCCTTCCGTCCCTTCGTCTTCGCTCGCAGGCATGGGCTCCTCCCTATAAGAGGGGTCCCTTCTTTCGTCATCCTCATTATCTAGTCTGGTTAAAGCCCTACGTGCCTCCGACTGATAGACGTTCTCCGGCCCTCCTCCCTGTCCGCTAGCCGCTTCTCGCCCTCCGCCTCGCGCTCCTCGGCCTCGCGATGGTGATTGCTGGAGTGACCGATTACTCGCCAATGCGCGCTGGCGCTGCGTCGGTTGTGTTTGAAAAGCCGTCGTCTGCCTCCGGAGCGGGGACCACGGCGACGGGGTCCCCGCCGCCGTCTGCTCCGAAGCCCGTGACAATAGACGCTGAAAAGGCTCTTCCCCTCGTATCCGTGGGTCCCCATGACGTGAGCGAGGCTGGCCTGTCGGCCCCGGTTGTTGCTCCTCCTGCTCCGCCTGTCGCTCCTGTTCCCCCTGCTCCCGTTGTTGCGCCAGCCGCGTCTGCTCCTGCTGGGGGAGTTGCTGTTCCCCCTGTCCCTGTCCCTGGCACCCCCGTTGCACCTGCCGTTTCTGTTCCTGGCGAGCTTGCGTCGGCGTCTGTTTCTTCCCCGAAGGCGGCGTCCGCCACCACTGACGGCCCGGCTCCGATGGTTGCGCCTCCAGGCGTGGGCCAGCCTGCTCCCGCTCTGCTGTCGGCGGCCCCTGTAGTGCAGCCGAATCGTCCCCAGTCGCCAGACCGCCGACTATCACGCCCCCATTCTCCTGCACCCCAGCAGGAGCGCGAGTCGACGCGGCGCCGGCGCAACTCTCCCCGGCGCTACCAGTAGCAGGCTCAGTGGCCTGCTCGTCACGGTGGCAATGGGGGCTGGAGGGGTCCCCGCGGGGCATTCCGCCCGCCTGTGACAATGGCGGATCTTCAGCGGGAGGTGTCGCGTGCCGTGCGCGAGGAGAGGGCGGCGCAGAGCCAGAGCAGTTCACTACGGGCCGCGCCAGCGCACGTGGCTCCTCGTCAGACTGGGCCTCCCATGGACCCTCCGCCAGCTGCTGCCTTTCCTCCTCCTGTCCTCGCCCCATCGGCTCCTTCTCCTTCTTTTTCGGCGCCTGCTCCCGGCTCTCGTCTGCATCTGCCACCGGTTCCGCCTGTTGCGGGAGTGGAGTTTGTTGCTGCGGGGGGTGGCGCTACGGCTCAGCCGTCCCACGTCGTTGCTGCTGATGAGCCGAAACTGTTTCTGACGGAAGCGCTGCAGCCTCCGCAGACGCGTGTTCCAGAGGCGACCCTCGGCCAGAGCCTCCACGCGCTGCTTCTGATTCAGGTGCTCGCGCACTCATCCCTCCCCGTGATTCCTCCTGACACTTTCCGCGGCCACCAGCGTGACACGTATTTGGACGCGGCAGACCAGCTCACAGCGTTGCTGGCGCCCGTCTTGGCTGCGCCCGCGGAGGGTGGCGCTGCTGCTGCGAGACAGCTGGACGAGGCTGTACGGGGCCTGAAACGGCACTTGCGCGTAGGATCTGGAGCCGCGGCGATCGGCGCAAGCACACCAAACAACAATGAGGAGAACGGCCTTAGGAAGGCCTTAAGTAGGGCCTAGAGGCAAGGGCAGAGGCTAGGGGCTGAGGGCAGAGGCTATTCCTCTCTCTCTCTCTCTCGCTCTCTCGCGAAAAAATTTCAGCCGCCAAACAACAATCGCTGCCACTGACCATCGCTGCCGGAACTGATGCAGGAACTTGGCGGCATAGAAGGATTTTGAGTCGGCGTTGAAATGCCGCCGAGCCGCTTTGTCTGCAAGGAGCTTGAGGAAGATGGGTACCTCCGCGCACAGGCAGCCGTAGGTATCCACTGCTAGGGGGAAGAAACCTACTGTCTCCGGGCGCTTGGCGTAATGCTGAAAATCCCCTGCCTTTTTTAGCCTCCGGGTCCCTGGTGCTTATAGGATCAGTGACGGTGACGTCACAAATATAAACCGCCCCGCTGCTCCTGTCCGACATTGTGAAATCAGCCGTTTGCTCTTCGATGGGGCAGTAGGCGGTGGACTCCCGGTGAACTATGAAGCCCGCATCCTGCGCCATGCTAACGCAGGCGTCTCGCAGCTCATTGTGAGTGTTTATGCGGTGCTTGCCCGTGCCGCAGCGAAGCAGGTGATTGGGGAGGCGGGGGTCAGTGATGGCCGTGTGCTCCGAGCAGTCACAGTTCTTGGGGTTTGAGAATGGCAACGCCAGTCGGAAGCGTACTGCGTTAGCGAAGTGTACCGGCCCAATCCGTCTCGTGGGATCGACCGGGATTGCCGTGATCCAGTCGCCGGTGCCATAGCCCGTCAGGGAATACATCCGTTGCGTGTGTCCCGCGAGCAGATTCAGCCGCATGCGCCTCGTCGCCTGTACCTGCACGGCATATCTACTCCCATGCACCTTCAGTCCGAGCACGTGCTGGAGCCGGATGTCAGATCGCTCCAGCCGCTCCATTTCTAATATCTCCCGTGCATCTGACGGTAGCGCCTCCTCACACTCCGTCAGCCAAGCGTGCAGTGGCGTGGTGCTGTCCCGAGGCAAGAGCATGTGATTCCGTGCAAGGGTCAGTGCGTTCTCGTCTCCTAGCGGGAGTTCGTTAAGGAGGAGCGCCGCCTGGGTGAAGCTCGCCGTGAAGCCGTAAATCCCCTCAACGAGGGGGTCCGTTACGCCCAGGCCTCCTAGTGACGGCGGTAATGACGCCTGCTCCCAGACCCGTGTTTGTTCAGTTCTGCATGTCGGCATGCGGATATCGCAAGAGGTAAGGAGCGTGGTGAGCAGGTCCATACCCCACTGGCTCCAACTATCTCGGGGGAGGAGGTGCAGGGGCGTTGTCCTTGTGAGGTATGCGACACGCCTCGAGATACATCGCGTAATGAGCAGTGCCGCTGCGGATCCGCCCGTTCCAGAAGTGACAGCGGCTTCGCCATCTCTTCGAGCTGCTTTGCTAGGAATGTAGAGGCGCCGCAATCAGGCCTGCCATCGTTTGAGAAAAGAATTCCTGGAGGGAGGGTGGCTGTCTCCGGCGCACTCGAACTCCATGCAGCACATTTTTCAGGGTTGTGCTCGAGGCCCAAGTGTGCCAACTTGGTCGTGAAGTGAGTGAAGGCTGCTACAGTGTGCCCTGCGTCACCCAGAAAAGTCACGTCGTCCGCATACGCCAAACAGAGCACGTCGGGGTAAGCGTCTGCGGTTTCACGAAGTGTGGCATGTATCCCTGCCGCGAACAGTAACGGGCCTAGTGGGTCTTTCTGGCAGACTCCGCGTTCACTTCGTAGAGGGTCTGTGTTGAAATTGACATCCAGGAGCAGCTGCGACGGGTTACCGTAGGTTAGTTTCACTAGCGGGAGTAGTGGCGAGAGGGCGGGGGCTTGTAACGCAGTGGCAATGGCTTTTCACGAAATGCTGTTGAACGCGTTCAAGGTGTCCGCTTGCAGAACCAGGCTGGTGGTGCGGGCGTCCAGAAAGGCTCTGGTCGCGTGGATGACTGCCTCGGCTCCACCTGGCACTGCCACGCCGTACTGTAGTGGCAGGAAGAATTCTCGCGCAGCTTCTCCCATGGCTGACAGGGCTGCCTTGGCAGCCAGCCTCGTCAGGCATTCGCCGATTGCGATTGGCCGGGCACCTCCCCCAGGTTTGGCCAAAGCGATGATACGTGACGCGGTGAGGAGGTTCGCCACCGAGTCTGGCAGATTTCCACCCAGAATGGTGTTGACCAAGGCGTGCAGATGGGTGCTGACCAGTGCGTTGGTGATGGCCGCGTCGCGCAGATGTTCAAAGGTCATCCCCGAAGGCCCGGCTCCAACTCCATTCTCGCATCTGCCCAACATTTTGGCAAAGTCCACGTGGGCGATTGAAAGTGTTGACTCCTGCGCCGTGGGCCAAGGCACCTCCTCGTGTACAACAGGGGGGTGTTTTTGGCGTAGCTCTTCCAGGATTTCGGGGCTGAGAGTGCAGACGGGCGTTGACTCCAGGGCGAAACGGCTCGTCGCAGGCTGCCACGTTTCGCCAGGCCCTCAGCTCGGTTGATTACCCCAGTCGCATCTGGCTGGTGTCGTGGCGGTGGTGGCGAGTTGACTGCGTCCACCGCATCCAGGTACAATTGCTCCCATTTGCCACGCTGGAAGGCTCGGAGCCGGGCTTTGATTTTCGGCCCGTCCGGTCGCTGTGGCGAGGTTTGGCGGAGAGTCAGGCGCAGGAGAAACAACAGCAGACGCCAACCTGTCTCTGACTCGGGGTTTCGCGAGAGGTGTAGTAACGGTGTCAGCAACGCCAGCGAGAATAGCTGACACAAATTTGGCGGTAATCGCCTTGACAGCGAAGGCTGACGACTGTCGCATAGAGCCTTGATGTCCCAATTCCCGATGTCAGCGAACAAGTCTGTTCGCTTCGCCAATTCGTCAGATGAAAAATAGCGGGGGGTCGGAGCGGTTGGGCGTGTCGCACCAACTGAAATCGCGGTCCGATTTCGACGAACGCGGCGCGATCGCGCGGGAGAGGCGGAGGTTGGAAATTCCACCGTCCGATCGGCATGGGTCGGTAGGTGTGCCTCCTGGGGCGTGTGATCGCGAGTTCGCCTCCCTGCTGCTTCCCTTCTCCCTGAGCCTTCCCTCGCCCCGCCTCCCTCTTCCTCTGCCACATCGTTCTCGCTATCAGGTGTGGGCTCTTCCCTATAAGTGGGGTCCCGCAGCTCATCCTCTTCATTAGCTGCTTCCAGATTATTTAAAGCTACTCGTGCTGCCGCTTGGTATCCGTTCTCTGAACCCCCGCCGGTCCCGCTTACTGTTCGCCTTTCTGCCCCGCGACTTTCTTGCGCCTGCAATGGTGATTGCCGGAGCTTCTGAGCCAACGCCAGAGCTCGTTGCCGCCTGGTCGGCTGCGGCCGCCGAGCCTCCTGCGGAGCCCGAAAGGGTGACCATGGCGACGAAGCCCCCTCTACCGCCGGCTCCGAAACCCTCGACAACGGCCTCTGAAAGGACTCCGCCCCATGCATCCGCGGATCCCCTTGCCGCGCAAGGGGCTGGCTCGTCTGCCCCTGCCGCTGTTCTGTCTGCTCCGCCTGCGGCGCCTGGCCCCCAGGCTCCCCTTGTCAAGTTGTCAGCGTCTGCCTCTGCTGGGGGTGATGCTGATCCCCCCGCACCTGTCCATGGCGCCCCTGCTGCACCGCCTGTTTCTGTCCCCGTCGTGCCTGCTCCGGCCTTTGCTTCGTCACCGAAGGCGGCCTCCGCCACCACTAACGGACTAGCTCCGTTGATTGCGCCCTCGGCAGTGTGTCAGTCCGCACCGGTTGTGACGCCGCACTGGGATGGTGGAATGCGGGCATGGCATGCAAGGGCACACTGGGATGGTGCCGTGAGAGGAAGGGGGTTCCTCCCACATGGGTCTTGGTCCCTCACCACCACCATTGCTCCATTGCCCTGCCCCCCCCTTCATGTGAGCAGTGCCCCTCCTCACAGCATGTGAGCCGCACTTCATGCTGCCAAGGTGTTGGTGAGTGGGTGGCATGCGGCACTGCAAGAAAGTTGAGGTGCCAGCTGTGCTCTCTCATGCACCACCCTCCTTGTTTCCTCCTCTGCCTTTGATCAGGGAAGCTGCCTGGAAGCTACTACTGGCGGGGGCGGGATGCCAGCACTGTGCGCGAGCTCAACCCCAAGGCCAGTCCCACCCCGCCCTCCTTCCTGCCCTCCTTGCTGCTCTCCTTGCTGGTTATTTTTGTTGTCATCTCTTGTTCCCTTTCCTTAATGCTGCACCACTCGTCTGGCTCCCTTACTGTCCCCCCGCCCTGCCGTACGTCCCTGCCGGCATGTCGCCCCACTCCAACCCATCCATTCACCCCAGCCACTTCCATCGCCTTGCCCTTTGTCCCCCTCCCTCCCCGCCCTTGTCCCCCCGGTCCTCCCCCTCCCCCCCTCTGGCACCAGACGTTGCAGTCGGGGCTGGACGACTACCCACGTGCGTCGCACCCGTCGGAGGACGAGCGCCATGTGGACCTGCGCTGCTGGCTCGCCACCGCTGCTGCTGCCATCGCCAAGATAGGCAGCGTGGTTGGGGAGGACGTGCAGGTGAGACGAGAGGCCGTGCAGGTGAGAGGGGGCGTGTGCGAGAGAGATTGTGGGCTGCCATCTCGCCGAGCTTGTCTCCTCACAGCAGCAATGTGGCTGCCTGTTGGCCGCATGCAGCAACGTGGCCTGTTCTCTTTATTCAGCCTCTGCGCTGCAGTAACCTCACTCCCACTCCTTGCATTTGCTGCAACTGTGCATGTGTGTTTTGTGCGTGCATGGGTGCATGCATGAGTGCGTGTGTGTGTGGATATTTGCGTGTATGAGTGCGTGCATGTGTGCATGTGTGCGTGTATGAGTGCATGCTTGTGTGACCGCATGAATGCAGGAATATGAGGCCACAGCCCAGCAGCTCACGGACTTCACACGCCTCAATGAGGTACCCCTCCCCTCGCGCTCATGCCTCTTGCACCCACGCCCCTTGGGTGGGCAGTGGGCGGGTGGGTGGAGTGGATGCATTGGTGGATGGGTGGAAGGGTAGATGGGTGGGCGGTGAGAGCAGCCAGTTGCAGTGGGAGGGGCATGCATGAGTGACCATGGCTGGCAGGTACAGGGGATGGCAGATTTTCATGTGAGGCACTCACAAGGGGTGGGTAAGGGTTCAGTGTAAGGATGGGGGCTGGAGGGAAGCGACGCCAGCTGGTGTAATCAGAAGCTGGCTGCCCAACACCCTCCCCACTCTGCACCCCACTATCTCTCCCCCACCCACACTCTTCTCGTTCCCTTCCGCCCCTCGCCCATCCACCCTCCTTCTCTTCGTCTCCCTCACTTCTCCGTCCCATGTTCGTGTCCCCCCCCTCCTGATGGGCAATCGCCCTGCCCACGGCACCAGCTGCACTGGGACGGCAGGAGGCAGCGCTACGCCGACTACGGCAACCACACCGACAAGGTCAGCGGGGGGACGCATGGGCGCAGAGGGGCGGTGCATGGGCGCAGAGGGGCGGTGCATGGGCGCAGAGGGGTGGTGCATGGGCGCAGAGGGGCGGTGCATGGGCGCAGAGGGGTGGTGCATGGGCGCAGAGGGGCGGTGCATGGGCGCAGAGGGGCGGTGCATGGGCGCAGAGGGGCGGTGCATGGGCGCAGAGGGGCGGTGCATGGGCGCAGAGGGGTGGTGTATGGGCGCAGAGGGGTGGTGTATGGGCGCAGAGGGGTGATGCATGGGCGCAGAGGGGTGGTGTATGGGCGCAGAGGGGTGGTGTATGGGCGCAGAGGGGTGATGCATGGGAAGGCTGCGTTGAATGGTGAGAGGAGCGGAGGGGAGGTGAAAGGAGGTCAAGAGGTGTCCATCTCCCCACATCCATATCCACACGCCCTGCCTGCCGCCCTGCCCGCTGCCCTGCCCCTGCCCTGCTTGGTGCCGTGCTGTGCGCCGTGTTGTGTGCCCCGGGGGCACCAGGTGCGGTTGGAGGCGGTGGAGGCGGTGGACCCCGTCACGTACAGCGTGCGACGGGAGCAGCGCCGCGTGGTCAAGGGCTCTCCCACACTGCGATTCGTGCCACACTTTGGATACGTCTCACTCTTCCCACTGCTGCTGCGCTTGATTCCGCCTGTAAGCTGTTTGTTCTGTTCCGCTCCTTTTCATTCCGTCCACCCTGCCACTCCAACCTATTTCCCCTCCACGCCCATTGCCCTTTTCTCGCCCGTCCTCTCGTGCTGTGTTATCTCGGTGCCCCATCTCTGCCTGTCCGCTCCCGTCCCCCATGGCATGGGCAGCACGCGAGTGAGTTGGGGCAGCAGCTGGAGGCGCTGCGCGAGGAGAAGCTGCTCTGGACGCCCTTCGGCCTGCGATCCCTCGCCACCACCAGGTGCCACACTCCCTCGCCACCACCAGGTGACACACTCCCTCGCCGCCACCAGGTGACACACTCCCTCGCCACCACCAGGTGACACACTCCCTCGCCACCACCAGGTGACACACTCCCTCGCCACCACCAGGTGACACACTCCCTCGCCACCACCAGGTGACACACTCCCTCGCCACCACCAGGTGACACACTCCCTCGCCACCACCAGGTGACACACTCCCTCGCCACCACCAGGTGACACACTCCCTCGCCACCACCAGGTGACACACTCCCTCGCCACCACCAGGTGACACACTCCCTCGCCACCACCAGGTGACACACTCCCTCGCGACCACCAGGTGACACACTCCCTCGCCACCACCAGGTGACACACTCCCTCGCCACCACCAGGTGACACACTCCCTCGCCACCACCAGGTGACACACTCCCTCGCCACCACCAGGTGCCACTCCACACATGGGCGTGGGGAGATGACAGGTGGGGAGATTGTATGCCCATGCCGCAGCCCATGCCCACGGCCATGGTGCTGCTGCTCTTGCTCATGCCTATGGACATGCCCATGCACATGCCCACGCCCATGCCTAGACGTCGTCTTGAACCTCCTCACCCTCGGGGTCCGTGAGTAGCGCGAAGGATGCGTTCCATGAATTGAAACCTACCTTCCCTTGGCGGCTGTTGCAAGCTTCAATGCATTTTTTAGTCCAATGACCCTTTTTCCAGTAGTCGTTGAACTTGCCAAGGTCGTCAGGCTCCAAAGTGATGTGATTGATGACGGCATCCTTAAACAGCTCCTCCTCGGGATAGATGACGCGCTTTTCGACGTCTGGACCCTTCAGCAGGTCATCACATGCCTTCTTCATTGCCTCCTGCGAGTACACACGGACAAAACACGATTAGTAAAGTTCTGGAAAAACGGATAATCTTACACAAAAGGAACACACCTCCATGGTTTTCTCGTTACACCAGCTCGGTTGGTGTACGGCTTCAAGCAGACTCTTGGTCGTTGAAGCCAACGTTTGATGGATCTCATCGGAAATACGAAGACGCGTTTCAATACGCTGCACCACGGTGCGCAAATCTTTCAGCTCGGCGCGGGTATCAGCATCGATGTGATTGTACGAGTTCGCCTCCTCATGCTCATGCGCACGCCCATGCCTTTGCCCATGCCCATTTCCATGCCCATGCCCATGTCCATGTCCATGTCCATGTCCATGTCCATGTTCATACCCATTCCCATGCCCATGCCATGCTCTCGTCAATGCCCATGCTCGTGCTCATGCTCGCTGCACCAGCAACCATGCTCAGCTCCTTGTCTCCGCGCAACCTTCCACTGCTGCTGTGCACGTGCGCCCCTCCCCCAGCGCGCTGTACATGCGGCGCAACACGGAGCACGACCCGCCGTACTGGCGGGGGCCCGTGTGGATCAACATCAACTACCTTGCACTCTCCGCCCTGCGCTTCTACTCCACCCGTACGCCCTCACCCCCCGGGGTGGGCCACCACCTCCCTTGCTCTCTTGTGCTCGCGCCCTCGTGTGCCGTGCTGCTGACCTCAGGAGTGCGATCATCAGTCCTAACCTTGCCCTGTGCAAGGTTCTTCTGTGAATCGTCATCCTGAATCAGATGGGTTCTGATCTCTCTCTGACTCTCATGGCATACCGTTGTCCGTCCTCTCCCTCCTTCCATTTCTAGTGCATGCGTACACGTATATATGGAACCCTGCAGACTCATGCATTGCCGTGAGCCTGAACACACATACATGTGTGCGCACGTGCACGCGCGACACACACACACACACACACACACACGTGCACGGGCGTGTGCACACACTCACGCATACATGTCTGCATTTGTACACACACACACACACACACACACACACACACATACACACACACACATGCATGCACATGTGCACACACGTCCGCATATGCATGCTTCTTTCGCAAACCAGTAGTCCTTCCCTCGTGACCTTCTTCGTTCCCTCGTGACCCGGTCTTTCCTCCCTCGTCACCCATGCTTCCCTTCCCCACTCACCCGCAGAGGCAGGGCCACACAGGGGCAGGGCAGCAGAGCTGTACCGGGAGCTGCGCTTCAACCTCGTCAGGTAATGCCACCCACTGCCTTCACTAGCTATCAAGCTCTTGGGGTTTTCCTTGATTCTCCGTGCTCTTCACCGTGCCGTGCACCACCATTTGCTGGCTGGCAGGAACATTGTGGAACGGTACGAGGAGAGTGGGTATTTCTGGGAGCAGTACGACAACACAGCGGATGGCAAAGGCAAGGGAGCACATCCATTTACCGGATGGACTGCCCTGCTCGTCCTCATTGCATCCGATGCTTTATGATGACCAATCATTCATGACTGCTACCTATAACTACTGTGCAAGACGTTCGCAATGCTGATTGCTGGAACTTCCTGATTATTTCAGTTGTACCATGTGCAATGATTTCACCCCCTTTTTAATCGTACTAGACATCCCGAATGCCGGAAACTTGCGTACGGATTACCAGCTGGATAATGGCAGATTATCTACTGACATTCCAAGAACATGATGGTATGCACTATGTACATTGGGGAGACCCTATGTACAACGCAATATGATGTGGCGTGGGTGCTCCCATCAGCGTGCGGAGGCAAGGCAACTGCCACACCACAGCACAGACTCCTCTGGCTTTTTATTTGAACATACCGGTAGTCCTAGCCTGTATGTCATCCCGCTTTTAGGGTTCGGTAGGGAGTCCATAGTCGTCAGCAGCAACCATTGGCGGTTCCAAGCAGGAACACTCCCGTGCCACAATAGGCTTGAGGCCGACGGAGGCGTGGGGGAACGAAAGCTCGCCGAGGCGTTCCTGCTGACTGCCACCCCGCCATACCGCTCTGGAAGTGCTGTTGCTGCATGTGCTGCTGCTGTAGCCATTGCATCCTTCGCTGGTGCTCGACGAACATCGCCTGCTGCACATAGATCCGTTGCATGCACGACTCTCGCAGCACGAGCCTCGCCTGCGGCGGCTGCAGCTGGTGGAACCCGCTGGTCGCCCCCGTCGCCCGCTGCGTGCTGTCTTGATCCGAAAATGCTATACGCGCTTCCTTCGGGTAGAGGTCGTCGGGCAAACGAACTTCCGTGTCACAGTCGTCAGTAGCACACTGCTTGTCCCCAGCCGCCTGTGCGATCGAATCGGACAATGACGAAGTTGACGTGTTTCTGGATAGGCACGAGAAAGTGGACGCCACGGACGCCTCGTCGTCCGAATCGCCCACATTATCGTCAGATTCGTCGGTGAACTTCTTGTTATCGTCGCATTCCTCGCTTTCGTCGCCACCCTTGCCGGAGCGCTTCAGCGCCGTGCTCGCCGCAACGATCTGCTCACTTGGCGTAACAGCGGCTGAACCATTATCGGCAGCACCCCACGCGTCATTACCACCGAAGACGCGAGGCGCGAGGTAAAGGGCGGAGATAGGCAAGACACGGCGCTGCTGTGCGCACTGACTCGAGCGTGGCATTGGCTGCGATGACCTGAATTCCTCCAAGCAGCACTCAGCCATCTGCGTTGCCACATCCACGCAGTTAGCGTCGCCCGTGGCACTAGTCTCACCGTGGGGCCCTTGTGGAGTTGCAAGCTTGCTGCGTCGCTTCATGTCGTGCCGGGGTACGATTACGAGTGGAACTATCGGTGTCCTGCTGCTGCGCGTTCTTACGCCAGCTGCCGTCAGCGAGATGCAGGCTTGGGAAGAAGAGAGGATTCTTTATATAACTATTCCAGGAGAAAGTGACCGGAAGCTGGCTGAACCAGGGCTGAAATTTGTAACAGACTGAAATTGACCAGTGCTGGTTTCGGGCGCGATTTTCAAGGGATGACATGGCGATGTTGGTGTGTTGGGTCGACCGTAAGTGACGGTGAAAGCGCGTCTCGGGACGCTGCTATGCCCCATAGTTTTCCTCGTTGCTTGCTGCTGCTGCGTGGCGTACAAGTGGGGGGGGGGAGGGGGGATGGGGTCGAAACGGGAGAGTGTGCTTTCCGAAGCGAAGGGGACAGGAAGACGGGGTTTCCGGAGGCTGCGAACGAAAGAAACGGAGGGGGCGGCTTGTAGCAGATTTCGCGAAGTACAAATGCACGTCGCCTCACCTTGCCAAGTCGCGACAGCGACCTTCGCGTTTTGCGTTTTTTCGCCGTACTCGTCAATAGAAATACCTCGCATCTCCTGATGCACGCCCTTCTAACTCAAAGTGCTATTTCTCATACTTCAAGATGTTACCGAACATATTTAGGCTATTGTATCATTGGGTCGTTTCATACTGTTCCTACTGTTCCTACACAAGACCATCTGGAAAGCATCTGGTTGACTAGAGGGTACGGTACGATGCCGCCATGGATTCCTCCGCGTAACTTCGGAAGCCTGTTACGTGAAGGTTACCTATCAGTTGGTAACAATGAGCACAGTTCTACATTCCTGAGTGCATTGCGAAGCAGAAGATATTTTTATCGTGTCCATCCCGCGGACATTTTATCTTCAGCTACTCGGGTCAGGCTCACTGTTTCAACGTTTTATCAAGATCAACTATTACCTAGGCTTCAAGACATTGAATTCAACAATGACGTCAAGGTTTTTTCCGCACACAACTACCAAGGCTGCAATTTACAACATAAGAGTTACAACTTGGATCAGGCTGCTCATGATCCCAAGGTCTCAACAGCGGGAACTCAGCACATCGCTCAGGAGATCAGAGCCCGAGCTTTCGGGATATTATTTAAGGAGGTGGTGCTCAGTTTCTTGGCAGCTCAAGTTTCTGTGTTCATTATTCCCACCCTGAAGCTTTTTCCATCACGACTGCTGCTTTTTTGGTTTCATCACTGCACCATGCCTCCTAAGGGTCGTCCAGCGAAGGCTCCTGTTGAGGTCACGCCGCCTGCTCCTGACTCTCCTGACGTGCCGTCGCCTGACTCTCCTGTCTCTCCTGATGGAGTAAATGTCCCGCGGACTGACAAGATCGCTGTTTCGGGACCTGCGGGGAAGAATGGTTCTGGAAGCACGGACAACAATGATGCGGTTAACGTCTCCCTCCCGTCTGCTGCTGCTGTCGATGCTGCTATCGCTGGCTGCTCTGGTTTAACTGTGGAAGAAAAGGCGAGCATGCAGCAAGTCGCAGGAGGATCAGATGAGGGTTTCCTGGAGGATGATTCGGATGAGGAACTCGACATTGACATTGCAAAAGAGGCTGCTTTCCGTCTTCGCTTTATTGCAATCCTTCTGATCCCAATGGCGCTGTCTCAGGATGTTAAAGCTATCATTGCTGCACTCCGTGTTCTAATGAAGAAGGTCTGGAGCAGTTCACTTACAGAGAATGCGGGAGTCACTGCTAATATCCAGGAGATGTCACCTGGTTATGTGGCCAAGACTCGCTTCTGCCGTCTTCAGATTTCTTTCCTCGACGAGCGTGACGCACATCACATCAAGTTTCATACCTTCGAATATCAGAAGACGAACGGCCCGTCGGTGAAGTGTCTCTGGCAGCATACTGAGGACTCCTCTTACCTCAGGGAGAAGTCGTCTAACCCGCTCGCGATTGAAGTTCTCTTTAAGCGGGTCCCTGCTAACATTGTACCTGACGTGCTTAAAGATCTTCTTGTCCGTTTCAAGCTTAAAATGAGGAAGCAGTCGGCTTTCAAGGACGGTTTCTGCTTCCATCGAGTGGCTCACCCGCTGACCGGCGCAGACACTGATGTGGTGAAGGGACTGGTCATTCAGCACCCTGGGGACCGGTACCGCTGGCGCCATATTGTTGACAACCCACTGGAGGTCGGCGCGAAGCTGCTGGTTCACTATCCTGAGTTGTCCTGTTCTCTCTGCGGCGGACACCATTATGAGATTTATCATGATCTGTTCGTCACCGAGAGACAGAACAATATAGGGAAGTGGTCACTGACCTTGGGAAATATCCATCGCATCAACGGTAACTGCACGGATCAGTTTACAGCTCACGACTCACCTTTTCCTTTTCTTACGCTTACTGACGAATCTGCTTGCTGTCGCAGCTGCTTCCTTGCGTACTTCCGCACCGATCACCCCCATTCTGAAAGATCCTGCTGTTGCTCTTATCTCCACCGGTGGGAACCGCGAAGAGTGGATCTGCACGCAAGTCTGCTGCGGGAAAGCAAAAGGGAAAACTTTCATGGCTGCCTCAGACCACATTGCATCTGCATCTCATCTGCTGAACCTGGAGAAGCTGGGTACTGCGACCAAGTTCACACTCGACAAGATGATCCTCAGCAATCTGAAGAAGGAGTATGGGGTCTGAGTCGAGCCGAGCAGGGTGTTTTCATTGCAATAGCCGTTTGGGTGTCCGTTGTTGGAGTAGTTCTCGTTACCAGCCTGTGGATGAAGCGGGGCTGCCAGATGGTGAATAAATGAGTAACAAAAACTTCTTCTCCTTAGCAGGCCTGAATGTCAACGGCCTTGGCGATCTGACAAAGCAATCTAGAGTAACCTCATGGACAAGAACATCAGCAGACGTACTGATTCTCTCGGACACCAGACTGCCTGACGACCATCCTTACTGGAAGACAACCTCTTTCTCCACAGTCCTAACCACCCCCCCAACTGCTAAAGCGGGAGGTGTGGCGGTGCTCACTAGGAACCCATCTATCACCATACATAAGATCTCCACTCACCCTTCTGGCAGACTGATAACCGCTGAAGTCAGTCGGCCCGGTCTCACTTTAACTCTTTTAGCCACATACTTCCCTGCTGACGCAACTGATCGTAGCTCCTTTTTAGCCAATGTCATCGGCCCTGCCATAGATCTTGTTCCACCCACAGCGCACGTTGTCCTGATCGGGGACCTGAACACAGTGGAAGACCCGTTTTTAGACAGGACATCACAGTCAGGATCGTCACTAGAAAACGACAGACTTATCTCGCGATGTAGCCGCTTTCAATTCTCGGACGCTTTCCGCACGCTGCATCCAAAGCTGAAGGAATTTACCTTCTACTCCGCCTCCAAAGAGTCTAGCTCCAGGATAGATCGCGCGCTCGTCTCTTGCTCCTTACTTCCGCACCTGGAGATAGCCGCACATACCATGCCAGAGGAGTACATCTCAGATCACGGTTTCGCTATTAAAGTTGCTTTCAAGGTAAAGGCCACTTCTCACCTGGGCCCCGGAATCTGGAGACTGCATGCTGCAGCCATCGGCAGGCCAGGGGTCAGGAAAGCGGTGGAAGCTGCGCTTGCCAAGGCAGAGGCAAGTGGCGAGGAGGATTTTGAGCTATTGCTGGGCAGACTTAACGCGGGCCTGCGGTCGTATATGAAGGAGGAGAGGAAAAGGGTCAAAAAGACCACGGCGCATCTGGCAGACGTGGTGGCGGAGCTTTGGCAAGAGCAAATGCGGAACCCAAGCTGCCAGCGCGCTAGGGATCTACTGTTGGTCAGGGAGACGCAGCTGCGGGAATACCATGCGGCGAAGCGGGACAGACTTCATCTGATGGCGGGTACGAACATTGAACTGGCGGGAGAGGTGTCGTCCCCTTTCCTGTCAGCGAGGGTAAAGGTCAGAAAGCAGCGCACACAGATTGCAGAGCTGTCAGTAGGCGGTGTGACGGTGACAGATTCCAAAGAAATTCTGGCGGCGGCCACCAACTATTTCACAGACCTTTTTGGATCGGACAGTCGCTCGACGACGGCCATTTGGAAACTATTGCCGGGGAAGAAGCTGGGCTCTGACGCAGCGGCGGCACTGGAGGCGGACTGGTCGGAGCAGGAGGTGAAACAAGCTTTCAAAGCCTTGGCAAACAACAAATCGCCCGGGAGAGACGGTCTTCCGAAAGAGCTCTTCGAGCAGAACTGGGATGTCTTGGGGGGAGAGTTCCTGAAGATGGCGAAAAGTTTCTCAGAATCGGCCTCGCTCCCTGCAAGCGTCAAGGAAGCGGTTACCATCTTGCTTTATAAAAAAGGAGACAAAGACAAGCTGGACAACTATCGCCCCATCACCTTACTCAACTTCACCTACAAGGTTTTGGCGAGAGTTGTGGCGAACAGGATGAAGCAGTGGCTCCACTTAGTGATATCGGAGGAGCAGTACGGATTTATACCTGGGAGGAGGATCTCTGACGCGATTGGCGTGGTGGCTGACGTCGTTGAAGCAGCGAAAAAGGGGAACGAAGATTGGTACATGCTCCTGGTGGACTTCCGTAAGGCTTTTGACTCGGTGTCCCGGAGTTTCCTCTTTACGATCCTGAGAGATATGGGTTTCCCGGAGAGATTCGTAGGCTGGGTGGAAGGCCTGCACAGAGATACAAGGACAAGGTTACTAGTCAATGGCTGGCTGGGAGAGGCGGTGGAAGTAAAATCAGGGGTGAGGCAGGGGTGTCCGCTTGCTCCATACCTCTTCCTCTGCGCGGTGGAGCCGCTTGCGCAAGAAGCGTGTAGGCGGAAGCTGGGCCTCTGCAACAAAGCTGGACAGCGGTTAGTTTACCTGGGTTATGCGGATGACACAACACTGTTTTTG